TAACTAACATCTTAGAGTAGGATTGCTCCATGATGCAGGGTCCCTGTTCGGGCTCCAACAGATTCCCACTAAGAGTACATGACGCAGGCAGCTCGCGCGAATGACGCTCGTCCAACAAAAACTGCTACTCCTGCCAGTGCTACTAATGCCTGCTTTATGATTGCTGCTGCTGTGGGCTGAAGGCTCAGACTGTAATGTTCTTGGGGATTCACGGGTTTGGGTTCAACAGGTTCAGGGTTTTTGGGCTTCAGGAGTTTCAGGGCTTTGGGGGTTGAGAGGTCCAAGGGGTAAGGGCTAGGGCTGCGATTTTGGGAGCGTCCTGACACTTCTCAGAACCCTGACCAGCCCTGGCTACTCCAGATCCCCAACCAATGTGAGTCTGCACGGGCAGCGCCGTTTCACGATGCACTTGCTGGAGTACTTCAGCCCTGGCACATGTCGCCAAGGACGAAATCTGGCATGCTGGGATAAAATATGGAAACGAAGCACCGCCTTAGGAGAAGGCTCAGTCCATACATGCAGAGCAGGAACACGACAACAATACACGTGACAAAGCGCGTGGGAATGTAGCCGCTTTCATCTGCCCCAGCCTCCATCAGCAGCTGCTTAGTTTCCTCGTGCCCACGGCAGGCCGCCCACCGCACCGCGGTCATTCCCAACCAGTCGACTGTGCCGAAATCCGCCTTCTTTTGCAAGAGCAGCCGAACGATCCGCACATCACCCCTGGCCGAAGCATACTTCAGGGCTGTGCCATTGAGCCGGTCGACCTTGTCGACGTCGGCCCTGACCATGACAAGGAAGCGGACAACCTCGAACTGGCCCGCGGTGGCTGCGCGAGTCAGAGCAGTTGAACCGACCTCATCCTGTGCGTTCTTGTCCGATTTCTTTTCTACCAATAAGCGCACGATGTCCAGATGCCCAATCTCGCTTGCAGCGTGCAGGCACGGGCAAATCGCACCAGGACGCTCAGTGCTAGCCCGCGCCTTCAGAAGCAAGCGGACAACTTCCAGGTGTCCGGCACAGACCGCGTGGCCAAGAGGTGTCTCACCCTCTTCATCGGTCACGTTGGGATTCTGGTGACGGCGCAGAATCTTCTCGACATCCGAAACACGACCCTCCCTGGCAGCGCAGATCAGCTCTTGCTCAGACACATCCCAGACACGCAGCATCTTCGCCGGGCTTCGGCGGGTGCCTGCGCCCATTGAAAGGAAGGTTCGCCTCTCCTTCCTCCATGGTCGTTGGCTCAGGAGGGTAGGGTTGAACATCTGGGCAGCTGGCTCAACAAAGAATCCTAGAACCCCTCAGACTCAAAATGGTGAAGCTATTCCGTTCAAACCCCCGAATGCAGTCTCATCCAGCTTGCAGCAACCTGGCTGAGAATGATGGAATACAGAACTCCTGATCTGGCCTTGCTGCACTAAATTGGGTCCGGCGGCTCTTTGGCAAAACTGGACCCGGAACAATGCTGTACACAGCTCGAGGCGAAAGAGCCCATTTTCCACAGAATCGTTCTATCCGGTCAAACAGCCCCAACCAAGGCATGCTGCTGCGCGAGGAGGGAACTAAAAGGAGCTGTGGCCTCATCTGGGTTCATTGGCGTGGCCACATGGATGAAGGTGTTGCGGACCTGGTCGTGCTTTCTGACACCCCAGCGTTGCACGCCGGGGATCTGGCTTAGGATCGAATGGCAAAAGCAGTAGGGAATCAGGGAATCAGGAAAAATCAGGCGGTTGAGGGAGCCTGAAGGAGTGAAGCTAAGGGTTGAAACCGAAAAGGCTGAACGCCTTGTGTCAAATCGGGTGAACTTCAAATCAAGCTTCTCAAAGCATGAGAACATCAGAAACCCCCAACTGCAAAATCCAAAAACAAGCAATCCCTAGAACCCTCCTTTTCCCACCTGAAAGCTCCTAGTAGTACAGAAAACCAGGTCTCTACATTGACTCCCTACCCACAGGTAGATCACAAAAACCCTCCAACAAGCCATTCAACGCACCCTTCTAACTTCATGAGGCCGCCTGCGAGCCCTTGCTTTTGCATCAAAAGGAATGCGGTTTGGGATGTGTAGGGTTTGGGGTCTAAGTTTAGCGGAGTTTTGCGCGTAAGGACAGGGGATCTTATTGGGTTTAGGGTTTCAGGTTAGGCCTTATCGCCAACCTGTCCAGGGGTGCCGAGGCAACAACTTGTCGGCTCTCAGCTGAGGTTCCAACAACATGCTGAGGACTTAGACCCAAACTAAACCCTAAACCCTCAACCCTCAAACCCTAAACCCTAAACCCCCGCAACCCCCTCAACCCTGAGCCGTAACCGCTGCCATCTTCCACAAGGAACTGAAGCCAAGCACTCGGAATCCGGCGTGCACTGCTTCTGGCGGATAGGAATGCAGATCCTTGCTTTCGAAAAACAACGGCCCTGTTTGTTCTAAGAGATTAGCTTAGTGTTGAAGGTCCAGGGTTTTGGGCCTAAGCCTCTGGGTCTAGGGTTTACTATGGTTTACTGTAAGGTCTGGGGCGATAAGTCCTGCCCGATGCGGGTTTTGACCAGCCTGCAGGGGAATTTTTCGGTCTCTGAACCCTAAAGTGCACAGGAAACCGACAATTCAAGCACTCTGGCACCTGCGCCAAATCTTGCAGCAGCCTCCTCTGAGCCCAGTCTTCTTCACGTCTGCTCAGATCTAGAATGAAGCTGACAAACTCTTGGCTTTTCAGGTCTCGAACATGGTCTGTTCTCTGAAAGTCAACAACACTACAACACGGACATGATTTTCATGAACCCCCATATCTCAGCAAGTTTCCTCACGCCTGAACCCCAAACACACATCCTTGTCAACTGCTGCAATCAAATCCTACAGACATGCGCCCGCAAGGCGAGGCCCATGAACCCTCTGAACCGTACCTGCTGAGTTCCGTACGCAATCCGATTCCGGAATTCGGATCTCCATATTTGCTAGCCTGATCCAATGCTGCCATCTCAACTCGCACTTATGCGATGTCGAGTTTGGGGATGCTACAAGTAGGTTACGGGCTTACTGTGGAGTGGAAGAAGGGTTCGAGGCGTGCAGACGCAGTCAACGTCTCGGTGCCAAGATGGAACGCACATGAAGGCATGCCTCTGGAAGCCTTCTGAAAAAGCATCTTGGATGCCGGAGCCGAATGACATGCCGACCTCCTTGCACAGAAAACAAAGCCCAAACCACGGTCCCCAAGTGATGGGGCGCACAGCCTTGACTTGTGCAGTGCGTAGGCTGATGGCGCTGCTTGGGCCTCGAAGTGATCAGCCTCCAGGAGGTGCCCAGGGGAGTCAGGAAGCAGATTCGGGCATGGAACCCTCAATATATGCGGGTTTCTCTATGCCCGTGGCAATAAGCACCAAAACAGGGACCCTGATATGGAGAACCTCCCATAGAGGGTTGAGAATTCCTTGGGGCTGTTAGCACCCGCTCTTTGACTCTGTCTCTCCGAGTTGAGCTGTTCACATGGGAACCTCGCAAGATAGAATCCCTGGTACCTACGAACCCAGAAAACTGTACACATGACAGGCCGAAGTTTGTAGGGCTCAGGGGTTGCAGGACCAAACTTCAAAGCCCCCAAACTTTAATCCCCCTAAACCCAAAGAAGTCGGGCAAAGCACACGGGGCTGTAGGACAATGAGTGGAAACACTGCACATCAAAAACAAAGCCGCGTCTCCAAGGCTGCAAGCGCTTATCAATCATTCACACTGAGAAGACCTCCTGGCCCTCAAAGCAAGATGAAGCATGATGGCCTGCGTGTACTCGCTCACTGCGATTCCTCGACAGAGTGCGGAGTGTGCCAGCCGTGACACCAATTCCGAGCTCTCGCAGCATGCAGTGGAGCACCTCGTCACCTCGTGAGCTGACCGGGCACAATCCTTCCAACTCAAGCCCAACAGCTCCTCAACGCACATGCGGTATCGGTCCTGGGGGAGCCATCATCTCGTGCTCTGAGATGGCGGTGGGCAACGCTGGTGCTGGCCGCAGGGACCCAAAAAGCTGCGCGTGGGAGGTGTCTGTAATCGATCTGTCGGATGCCTGGCCTCCAGCATACCACATAAAGAACTTAGGCAAAGCAAAGAACGTGGTCGTACGTCGTCACGAGAGTGTCCACGTCGCTTCAAGCGGCTGTACTGCTACTTGCATCTTCGGCTTCAGGCTTAGCATGCCAGATACCCCTAGGGAAGCAAGAAACTACCTTCTAATTGCACTGGCACATTTTTTGCCACCGGTCAACTTTGGACTACACGACGGCGCAAGCCATGCAGCGTGAAACTGGCATCGCAGCTGAACACCCGAGATCCCTGACAACTTTTTGATGGACAATCGACCGCGCTGCCTCCGAAACCCCCAAAGCCCCGAAGCCCTGAAAACCTGAAGCCCTTAATGTTGGACTGGCTTTCGTAGATGGGACCACTATTATGCGATTTTCCGCTCGGCCTATACAGGACCCCCCATTGTTTAGGGAGGTTCACAATTATGCGATGTTGTCCCGGCTGGGGTTGAAGGGCGGGGGGCCGGGGAGCCAAAAACTAAAAAACAGTTTTGAATAAGAAACTCCGGATTTTTTTGGTGTCCAGCCTTATTTAAATTCCTTGTAAAATTTCATTACGAAACAGGCCCCCAAACAATTTTCCAAGGGAGTAGCCCACGAGCTGCCCTGATTCCCTTTAGCAAGTTGTTTCGGTGGTCCGCATTAATGCGGAGCCCCGGCGACCGTGGAGCTACAAAGCCTGGAAAGCTTAGACCCTCAAGCTTCAAGGCTTCCCCTCAACCCTCGACCCCTAGCCGCCCTACCCCCAGCCCCCGTCCCAGCCCCGTCCCAGATTATTAAGGATCCCCGAAAACCCCAAAATTGTTTTGGGGGGGGGGGGGGGGGGGGGGACCCCTACGCACTAAAGCGGTCCAACATTAAACCGCAAGACAAAATACTTCCAAACCTCTAGACCTCATGTTCCTCCTGAACCCTCTAAAGCCTGCAACCACAGTCAGTCAATGCTCCGAAAGCCCGCGCTCCGCGGCCATGAGGCGGACGGCCTCCTGGATTCGCAGACAGGGTAGAGGACGGCGCAGAGAAAACGATTGCATGTCCGTGCGCTGGTGCATAAACAGACATGCATATACAGACAATCCTCTTCTGGTTGATACACTGCCGGATGGCGATTTGAGATTCCGGGCTGATGTCAAGTTTATGCCGGATTCAGGGTCGGGAACAGTTGGGAAACCGAACGGCCCATCTCCTGGATCAACTGCCCAGACGTCTGCTCTTGCCTTCAGTTTTGAGGGGCAGGGCGGGCTCGAGGTTGAGGGTTCTGGAACTGCAGTCGCACATCTGCACTGACAAGACGTCGTCTGCGGCAAAGGACAAGAACTCGGTCTACTCCTGAACTCCAAACCTCCGAGCGCCAGTCCTCTAAACCTCTGAGCCCTCTAAACCCTCAACGAAGCTCTCGACCCCGAAGCCTCAGCCGGGCCTCCGCAGGCTTCTTAAAGCTTCTTCACGCTGGGCCAGGGCCACCTCGCGGAGAGGTCCATGGCCAAACCAAAGAATGCACACATCCCACACAGGAGAAAGGGGGAAACTCAGGTTGGGGTTGAAGGCGTAAAGACTTGTCCGTGAAAGACTAAACCAAGATCTGATCCTCAGCCCAGCAGCCTGAGTCATCTCAGCGTGCTCGGCGGCCACTTTCGCCTCAGCGTTGCACTCCGCGGTGTGGGCAGCAAGCTGGCGGGAAAGCTGCTGGGCCACCTCCGTTAGTTACGCAGGGGGGGGTCCCTAAGACGTGGATTGATTTCGGGCTGAGCGTCATAGATCAAGGCTTTCGGATACGGTTCAACTGCAGCTCCGGGGTCCTGAGACGTTTGGGCTCTGGGCCGGGATGCAATGCGCAAGTACTTTGCTGGTAGTCTAGGAACCCAAACACCCACAAGCCAAAAGCTTGACAGCACTTCTCCACCCTAAAAGCCGCCCTGGAAGAAGGAGCCTGGTCCTCATGGTGACAGCGATGCGCCGCCGCATCCACGGCACGGCGGAGCTCCGCAAGCTGCGCGGCGCTCTGACAGCAAAGGGAAGACTCGGGTCTCTAGAGTCGATAGGGTTCTGCTTGAAGCAGTTCACCCGTGTGATATAGATATATGTATATATATATATATATACACATGTGTATATATATATATGTATATAAGTATAAGTATAAGTATGTGGTCAAGTATGTTGATCACACTGATCACCTTGCTTAGAGCCCTCGGGCTACTCACAAACCTTTGGGTTTTTGGCGGGAAGGCAAGGGGGCCTTCAATTGATTTAGTGGTTGCAGATCAGGTTGGGTGTTGACATGTGTTAGGGCTGACCCCGACGATTCGAAAACCCCGAAAACTCAAGAGTTCTGCTTAACTCCTGAGCTCACTCACCGAAGCCCAAGATCCACATCAACCGAACATCCACAACAAAAAATCCCACAACCCCAAAGCACACCCCGCCGCCTCCCCACCCACCCACCCGCAACCGCAAAAAGAGAACCTACACCTACACCCTTCAACTAAAGAACCCCCAGAACCCAGACCCCCCACCAGAACCCAGAAGCTAAACCCTGAAGAGCCGAAACTAAACCGCTCTTCAACCTCCACCCGCAGCGCGGCAAGCCGTGACTCCTAGAGCATGACAGGGGTTCATCTCGCAAGAAAAGGGGGCTGAGGGAGGTTTAGGAGGTTTGGGGACTTGGCGCTTAGGGCTTTGCGGTCTCAGGGTTTCGGGTGTTCGGGGGACGGGACAAAGTTGGCTCTGGACTTTGGGGCCTTTTGCGACTTGCGGTAGGACTCAGGGCAGCGTTGCCCCATGCATAGGGCGTGAGAATTCGAAGTTTAAGGTTGAGGTAGGTCAACCCCAAGATGCTTTAGAATCTGCTTATCGAGTTCTTAAGGAAGGGGGTGCAAGGGGGTATGTAACCCAAGGTTCCCGAATACTCCCCACTACTCCCTAAGGCTCCCTACCTAATTCTCATGAACCCCCCTTCCTTAAGAGTCCCATAATCTGCACAAATCCCCTCGAAAAACCGCAAAACTCGTCCGACCCTAGCGTGCCCACGCTCTTCACCCCTAGACCCCACAGCCAAAAACACCCCCAAACAACCCCGAGGCCTCGTGGCTCAGAGCACCCCGGCGGTCTGCCAGCAGCGCCTCCTTTCGTCTTTGGCTTTGGTCGGGGGTCTCAGGGGTTGGGTTTCGGGGACCCTCTTGAAGCTGCAAGGGCCACACCTTTGAGGTTCAGAGCAGGATTTGAGCTGAGGGGCTTTGGTAAAAGCTGGAGCCTGCAAGGCAACTAGGACGTAGGGATTTGGCTTTGTGGATTTGGCTTTAGGTCTAATTGGGTTGCCTCCACCACCCAAGCCTCAAGTCCAGAAAGCAAGCAGCGGAGCCCGGAGTGTGTTCAGAGGAAGTTGCCTCCATGGCCATCTCGGCCCGGGCAGTGGTGAGAGCCTGAACAAAGCAAGGCTCTGTTTTGGGGGACGTTAGGGCCGTGCGCCTCTCTGCCAAGCCCCAAAAAACGTGCAAACGAGACGGAAACTAAGACAAAGAAGCGGACAAAGACCAAGAAACGACGAAGAGGAAGCAGAAGAAGCCTCGGAAAGGGAAACCGCCATTCTGAAGCGACCCGCGAAGAGGACCGCAAACTCCAAAACCCAAGAAGCCAAAGCAGTCTTAAACCCCGAGCCCCAACTCTGGCAGCCCCCGAAAGGCCTCGCGCAAGGCGTTGTTCCCCAAGCTTCTGGCACCCAACTCCTGGAAAGGTTTCGGGTTCAGGTTGGCAGGTTCCCCCCCTGATACTAAAAGGTCCTTAATGGGGATTGTAGTACCCCCGATTATAATCCTTATTAAGGACTGTATAAGGGGGAACATCGCAAGGTTCAGGGTTTGTGGCTTTGGTGTGAGTTTGTGCTCTATAGACCCCGCTTGAAACCCCTGCTTTTCGTTGGGCCTGGCAGGCTGCTTGCACCTTGGCGCGCTCCCCGCGCGCCGCCTCCGAGGCGTTCCAGGCCTCCTCGCCAAGGGATCTTGGAGGGGCTTGGGGCTTTAGGGCTTGCGGTTTAGGAGTTCGGGCGTGTATGCGATTAAGGTTGGGGTGTTCGAAACCACCTCCACTGCCACTGTGAGGGCACAACCGGCGCGCAGAGACTTGGGGGGGGGGGCGGGGCCGATCCCGCTCCGAACCCCAAGTCTAGGGCGATGTTCTGACGTCGGCTTGACTCTTCAAGGAAGCTCCGCTCTCACGGGTCCAAAAACTCGTCTGGGCTTAACCAGCCCAAGAACCCAGACTCCAAAGCTCTCAAACCCAAACCCCCAAAACGCTCAAAAACCAAAACCCCTCAACCTAAACCGTAAACCCTAAACCCTAAACCCCTGAACCCTAATAGCGTTCTTCTTGTGGGGAAGTTCGGGGAGGTGTACTTCCAGCTCCTTCCGGAGCCTCTCGATGTCCGCCTCGATCCACTTCCTCTCCCCTGGGGGTCTCTCAAGGCTCTTCATTTTCGTTTTAGGGGGTTACTGCAGGGTTTAAGGTTTAGGGTTTAGGGTTTAGGGTTTTGGTTTTAGGGTTTAGGGTTTAGGGTTTAGGGTTTAGGGTTTAGGGTTTAGGGTGTAGGGTTTAGGGTTTAGGGAAGTTCGGGTGGAGGAGCCAGACATGGCTGTTGAGTTCGCGCTAGAGCCCTGTTTATAGCCGCAGGATTGTTTTCTTTAGAGGTTTAAGGAAGGGGTGTAAGGGTAGGAGAGGTGTTCTAGGGGGCTTAGAGGTTAGATTGTGCAGGCCTCTAGCATTTCGGAAGTTGCGGATGCAATCTGAGGAGCTAGGCCTGGTCTGGGTCGCTTTGGGGGGGGGGGGGCCACATGCAAGTGCTCGCACTGGGACCCCGAGTCCTCGCAAGAATCGGAAAGAGTCGGAGGCAAGACTCGGAGAGAGGTATCAGTAGGGTGCCGAGGCACCCTCTGCTTGGGAAGTCAGCTGCTTCAGCTGCACCTCATTCGTGCGGCGGCTTTGGGGCAAGTAGTGCTTTGGGGGGCTCTGAAGGCCGTTTTGGGTGCTTGGCTTCTCGGGCTCCGTACTTGTGGGCACCCAGCCGAACTTGTGGTTTTGGGGGTTCAGGCAGATCCCGCAAAGGACGGTAAACAACCGCTACCCCCCAACCTCATAGGCACCAGCGAAGCGCTCGGCGATCGCCTCTGGGCCGGACTCACAAGAATTAGGGTTGAGGGCTGAGGGCTGAGGGCTGAGGGCTGAGGGCTGTAAGGGGCTTCGGGCTGAGGCAGCTGGATCGGGATGTGAGTTCTCGAGGGCTTCCTTGAAGGCAGGCTGAGACAGTCTGAAAAGCCCTTCTTGAACCCCTAAGCCCAGAACCCCCGACCCTGACCCACGATCTCATGAGGACTCTTGCAAGTCACGGCCGAAAGGAGCCAAGATAGCCCAGCCTGCCGAACGCTAAATCTTAAGCTCAAGAATCTGACCCTGCAACACTCTGCACCAGCCCCCTGAGAAACCTCAAACCTGGGTCAGAATGGTGGCACCGTGCGGTCGACAACCCCTGTGCCTGCCGGAGCTCGTTCTCCGGCGCGTCCGCGGCCGGGCGAGCGTAAGACGCAGGCATCATGGCTTTGGGGCGTGGCCGGTCAGACGGTCTCAGGGCTGATACAGTAGTGCTCTGGTGTTGTAATGCTTTGGGGGTTTTGTAGGGTTTTGAGTTGTCGGGTGACTGAGCTCTGGTGTGTATGGCATTGAGCACCACATGGCCTGCAACTCAGGAGGTTTTGGCCCATCGACATGATTGGTGCACTACCTTGCGGTGAGGGTGAAGCAAGTCGGGTAATGTACCAAACCTTCCCTGACTTCACCCAATCCCTCAAAACCCTCAATCATTTCAGACACAGCCAGTGGGTGAAGCACACGGCACCCCATCCAGGGCCTAGGCTCTTGGGTCCGCTATGGCTGGCGCAAGTTCTAGAGGGAAACCCGAAAAATTATGAAAAACAAACAAACAAATAAATAAATTAACGCGCCGAAGGACAGAAAGAAGCACCTCGGAATCGGTAAACCCCAGCAACCCTAAACCCTAAACCATAAACCGTAAACCCTAAACCCTAAACCATAAACCGTAAACCCTAAACCCTAAACCCTAAACCCTAAAGAAAGCCCCCCAAAGCACCCGACGCAGCGTCTCCGCGAGCTCCACGGAGCGGTGCCAGGCAGAGGCCAGGCCTCTCTCGCGTTTAGGCTTTAGGGTTTAGGGTTTAGGGTTTAGGGTTTAGGGTTTAGGGTTTAGGGTTTAGGGTTTGACGGGTTAGGGGTTTGGCGAGACAAGTAGTGTCGCAAGAGGAAGAATTCGGAGTATCCCAGGACATGCAGATGCAGAGTCTGGGAGTATCTAAGGTCTCACATCTGAGGCTTCCGGCCATAGGCAGTCATGGCCGCCGTGGTGGCATTCAGGTTCTTGGAGCCTACAGGTGTGGGCAAGTCTTGCGCATGGGCTGTGTAAGGGTTTGGGCTGTCGTGCAAATTCAGAAGCTGGAGCCAAGCCAGGGACAAATGCGCAAACCGGAGGGTGGATACAACAAACCCTCGCTGCAAGAATGTTCTGGGTAAGAAAACCAAATTCAATTCGCACGGGGTTCAGCCGGTTAAGGGTGTTTGGCAGGATCTGAAGCTCAAAGCTTGGATCCAGCGAGTCAGCTCCTCCCAAGAACTCCGAGATGTCAACATCCAAAAAAGCCGAAACCAGCAGCGGCCTCCGCCAGGAAGGGCATCGAAGAGTTCCAGCGCCATGTCCCAGCGAGCAGATTTCAAGCAGGCGTGCATGGCGTAGCTGTAGCCTCAGGCTTGGAGACAAAAAAAAGACACGATGCCAGAGACGTCTCGCACTTGATTCACAAAGGCGTGCAGATTCTTCATCGGGATTTCAAGACATAATCCGGATGTCAACACCTACAAACCACCGTATGCCACATATGATCCAGGAAGTTTTTAGCCCCAAGGCACCTAATTTCCTGAGCAACCAATCAAACGAGGCTATGAACCGCCGACTCGCAGCTTATGGCGTCTGGTTCCATGGGCGGCTTCTCGGCGGGCATCGCCTGCAGCTTCGGAGACGCTGCGTCCCCAGCACCGCACCAGTCTACCTTATTGGGGGTCCTCATTTTCAGAGAATCCTACTATTTGGGGGTGTATACTAAGGGTCCCTTATTTTCGCAAACCCCCACATAACACCCTGAAGACACAGATGTCAGAGCCTCCCGCAGCAGCCACAGCGCCAGCGTCCACTTACCGGCACGCTCGCAAGCGCGCATCACGCTGTTCACCAGGATCACCTGAGCTAGTTTTTCGGCTGGAACTCCCTGCATCTGGATCAACTTCGACGGAATCAAAGTAAATTGCCCCATCATGTCCTGCCTGAACAGATCCCCAGGACCTCCCATGGCAGGGGAGGTGCTCTCAGCAACTCAGCCAAGGCCAAGACTGTACTAACCAGAAGTACTTTTACTGAAAGGCAGGCAGAATCCTCCTCAACTGGCCACTCTGCCAGGGCGCACTCCTTGCTAGTCCAGCTGCTCCCGCATCGGCAAAGCATGCCAAGGCGCCCTCCTCACATGGGGAGCTTCGGCAACTTTGGGTCGGAGATCGTTGTTGGAGGCTTCAAAGCTCACCCAATCTGCACTTCGCCACCTCCCAAAGCCTGCAAAATGACCTGAATCGATGCCTTTTCGAACCAGAGCATAAATGTCCTCAACCTAGCGTTCGGGCGTGGGTTCGGCCAAGTAGCCCATAGCCCGGCGACGGCGTAGGCACCAGCGGCTGTGCCATACGTTACCTTGCAGCGTCAAACACGGTGCCGGGCCACTGTACGTTAGTTCGACGTCTTGTAGGATGGCCATTGTAGGACATGTCCTCCTTGCGGAGGGAACGAATGCTTCTTCTTTTGGACACACCGCGAAGCAGAAAAATATCCTGAACCCTCACCAAGCAAAGGCCCAGGCACTGTGGTCGGCGAGATCTGGGCGTCACGGGCTTCCCGGAGTAGAAGTAAGGCCTCATTGTCTTTAGGGGTTCATGGTGCTTCTTGCCAAACAGCGGCCATGCACTTGCTATGACGCTGCGTGCAAAAGCGTAGACGGGTTTAAGTGCGGGGAAGTTGGCTGTTGGGAATTTTGTGGGTGTCGGAATCTTTCTTGCATGGAATGTTCCCTTCTGCCTTGTGCCTGGATCGGATGCCCTGTTGTGGGAAGTTTGCCGAGCAAGAAACGAAGCGACCTGCTCTGTAGAGGCGGGGATAACCTGAATGAGTGCTGAATTAACTCGCCGTTCCTGTCCCCCTATGATATCTTAAAAATCGAAGTCGTGACTTAGGGATTTTGGGCTCTAAGTTTGGGATTCTGTTTAGGTGCACGACCATCGTATCCTCTCCTTAAATGAAGCCGACAGTCTCATCCTGAGCCTCATCCTCCCTCTATGACTCTGGGCAGGTTCTTTCCGCACCTGCTAATTCTACAGTGACCTCAACTACCTCGACCCGAAGCCCTTGAGCCCTAAGCCACCGAACCCGCCTAACCTCTGGGCCTCTAAGCCCCAGATTACTCTATCCTGGAGCATCGGGCCGTGGGCCAAAGCTGCTGGCGGACGCCTGGGGGTGCAGATGCTTGGAGCTAGCTTGGGTTTTTCGAGGGTTTCGGGTGTTAGTTTGGGGTTAGCTGCGGCGTAGGCCTTGTCATTTGTCTATCCCTCTACGTGCTTGGGTCAGGCAGATAAGGGTTGGTAGGCTAAGGACTGCAAAGGACACAGCGGCTGGCCTTTGATGGTTGGGCTTCGGGAGAAACACCAAAAGGGCAAGGTCAACTGACAGCTTCAATAACCCTGAGTCCTACAGTAAAGCCTCAACCCTGAACCCTGCAAACAATTGAAGCCTAAACCCTAAACCTACTGCATAGGTGTCAAGGATTTCATATGAGGAACAGCCTTCTGCAAACGGATCGACAGCAGTCTCAGCACCTGCCGTCTGGTGCTTGGTGTTTGCCCCTTCCCACCGACTTCTTAACATGAGCGTTCTTCGGGAACCCCCTCAGAGTCTTACAAGGGAACTATCCCTCAGGCATCACCCCGAGCATAACAACCCTAAACCACTTTGAATCCTTAGTTTTTCGGCTCGTTACATGGAGCTGGGGCTGCCGGGGCACATGCACTTGCAGTCGCGCCGACGCAAAAGGCATTCGGCCGCAACTGCCTCCTTAGGACAGGGTACCAATTTGGGGAGATACATGCTGAGGGTTGACGGCGCGAAAGTATCTTCCTCTATCGAAAACCTCCTTTGCGGGACTTTTACAGACCAGGCCGGAGACGCCTTCGGATCCAAGTCCGCCAAAGCTCTTCAAAGCACTATGCGACGTTGGCTTGGCAAACCTCATGAGCCCTAGAATTCAACCCTTTGCCCCTGAGCCCTGAACGCCCGAAACTCTGAACCTCCTATCGCCTTGCTGAGCTTTCCAGGTCAACTCGTGGCCCCATTGTTTGCAGGGGCATAAGGGGTTTGGGGGGGGGTTTGGCGGTCAGCCTGCTTGGTTGGGATTCTTTGTTCAAACATCAGTGATCAAGTCCTGTCCGAGACTCTGGGAAAGGCAGTTTCTGTGACCCCGTCTCCTAGGCACCTGCCCGAATCCCAGGCCCCCAACACAGAAATCCAACCCTGATGGGTAGGATCCGATCACACTCTAGACTCTGAACCCTAAACCCAAAACTCCAACCCAGCCTGGACCCCCAAGCACTCAACCAGCCACAAGTCCAAGTCCACAACAAGTCCAGGAGGCTTTGGCATCTCCTCTAAGAAAGCCACGGCGGGTCCTCACAAAGCGCCCTCAACTCCCGCAACCCGTGCTTCACAGATGCCTGTATCAAGGGAGGCTTAGGGCTTCGGCCTGTTCAGGGTTTCTACACGCGACGTGCCTTCGCCTGCCTTCGGAATGAGGCCTAGCCCAAAAAAGCGGACATCTCAGCTCGGGAAATCGGAACCGCAGGCGTGGTGCCCTGAAACCTTTTGGGTTTCTTCTTCAACCCCAACACCTGAACCCCCAACCCCCCAAAATTAAAAATGTCGGGCTTTACCTTCTTCGGTTGTTGAGCTGAACAGCTTCCCAACCCCAATGAACCCTCAAACCCTGAACCCTCAAACCCTGCTTCCGTTTCACCCCAAAGCCTTCTCACTTTCCCGCTCGGCTCCTGTGGCACTGCTCTTAGAGCACGCCGCAATGAGGCCGCCGAAGGTGAACTGGTCCCAGGCACAGCCGTGCCTGCAACTTTCGGTTGCAAGCCTCCCTTCTTGGACCCCGCGACAAACAGCCAGGAAGCAAGGCATACTAGCCCACTAACTGGAACCCGGAACATGGAACCCTGAACCCTACGAAGCCTGCGCCACGAGGAAAGGAGCCCGAAGCACAAACCCGCAAGGCCTGGGGCCGAAGCGCCAAAGCCCCTAAACTGTACTGAGCTCCCTAGGGCTAGGTCTAGGTTTAGGGTTTAGGGTTCAGGGAGTTAAGGTTTAGGGATTTGGGCCGACACTGGAAAGCTGGGCCTCTGCATGTCTTCGGCAACCGACAGCGCTGCCTGCCAGCCTTCGCGTCGGCCACGGGCCGTGATCAGGACATTCCAATCCTGCAGTTGCGGGTTAAAATTTCGCGCGCTTGGGGCCTTGCGGTTTCGAGTTTAGGTTTCTACAGCGGGAAGTCGTGACCCGGTCATGCCGGTCAAAGCGGCACTCTGTGGAGCTACCCACCCAATGCTAGTGCCCCGGCTGGCTCTGGGCACTTTAGGGCTCAATGAAAATGTCGAGACTTGAACTCTGAGAAAGCACCACCACTCCCTCCCCCAATAAGAACCCCCTGCCACCTCAACAAAAGTGGCCCTTGATATCCTACCAATATCAGGTGCCGGCCCCATAGGGGAGAGGTGTGGAGGAGGTCTTGTCCCAGAGGTCGGCCTTGACTTGGGCCGAGGATTCTGGAGTCTGCTGGCGCCGGCCCACCTCAGTCTGGGATTCTGCTTGAAGCTTCGGTTTGTAAGTGAGTTTAACCGTACTTATCACCCCAATACCCGTGAACCTTCCAACTGCCTAGTTGCCCATTCAACCCCACTAGCCTCTACCTCCTGCGTGCCACCACCAACACCACACCCCCTCCGAACAAGATCCCTTGCTCAAGAACCTCACGGCATCTTCCCTGCCCATCTTTGGGGAGACTTCAGCCCCAAAACCCCAAACCCCGGCACGAAGCACGTTGCGCTTTGGGCACCCACCTTCACCCAGGGCGTGGCCGGGGGGCGAGGCCTCCGGAGGAGCTTCTTTGTGGCTCTTGTGGTTTCGGCTTCGGGGCCTCTTCCGGATTTTGTTGGGGGCTCTTTGGGAGCTTTGCCTCGAGGCCCTAAGCCGCTTCGCTTCGACGCCCAGCCTTCCACCTCAAACATTCTCAGTTTTGAGGAGGTAAGGGGCTTGGAAAGCCAGGTGCGCTTTGGCCTCTGTGCCAGCAGTGTGGGCGCCTGTCTCATAGCCAAGCAGAGCAGCTGGGTCCATGGCCGCAAGGTCACAGGAGAGAACAGATGGTCAGTTCTCTTGCTTGCGGTCCCCGTGTGCGTCCCCTTATCGGAACCCCACTTGGAGAACTGACGCGATGTTGTTCATGCTGCCAATGGAAGTGGGGGTGTACAACCTACCTCCCATGAGAAGCTGCGCCGTTCCAAGATTCCAGATTCGGGGGCAGCTGGGTTGAGGATGTTGCTGGCCTTCCGGTTCAGGGTTGCGATCCGTGATCGGAACTGCAAAATGCATGAGACAAGAGCCTACACTCGCACACGTGCTGAGATGGAGCATACTTCTCAAGTCTTGAAGCTGCAAGCCAGAGCTTGCGATGAGAGGCCCCTTCAGAGGATACTCAGCTCATGATGATACATGGTGCTTCATGTGCAGTTCGGGCCTTTTGGGTTTCTTTAAAAAGCTTAAGTACCAGATGGTACCAACAACGGCCTATAGATAATATACCCCGACACAGCAAGCAACCCTAGTCCAGTCCTGGTTTCATTGGAGTTGGGCAGATATGGGGGCTTTCGAAAACAGCGGCCCCTAATTTCGGAGCCCACCATAGGTAAGGACCGGACGGGACAGTCGGGCTCGGTCAAGGTTCTTCGTGGGAAATTACGCACACATGTACCTCCGCCCCACATACATTAGTATATATGATCTCAGCTTCAACACCCCCTAAGGCGCCGAATTCCCTGAACAACCTAAAGGACCTAAATGGACCTAAACTATACGAGTATCCGAACTGTACACGGCTCGTTTGTGGCCCTGCGCCGGGCTCCGCCGACCGTGCAGAATTTCCTCCATGGTCTCGTCTCGACAGCCCTCGCAAGCGTGTAGCGCATGGGCTTATCTCACACTCCTCCCGGAGGAAGCAAAAGTATCATGCTGATCTGCCTTGCAGGTCCCTCTTCGGAGCATCTCTGCCCGTCTCTGCCGCACCGCCGCCGCCTCCTTAGTCTCTGGTGTGTCCCGCTTCCTATGGGTGGGACTCTAGTTCTGGGCAGTTGAGGGCATTGGGGGACGCAGTTTACACTCTCTGCCTCCCAGTCGCCCTCTGCTGCTCCCGCCGCCACGCCCGCTGGCGTGACTTGAGCAACGTCCAGTTGAGGCGCTTCCGACGCCGCGCCTCCCTACCCGCGTCCCTTTCCAACACAGCTTGCCACCTCTGTAGGCAGCAGCGGAGCAATGACTCATGCTGCTTCGTCTTCTTGCAGTTCCGCTCGGACTCCCGGTCCCGCTGCTGTTGAATCCGCTCAAGCTTCCGGTCCCAGCACCGCTTCAGCTCCATGCGATGGGCGGCGTTGTCATCGTACAGTGCCTGGGCCCGAGACAGAATGCTGGGTACGCGCCGGACGGCCAAGTCGCCCTCCGCAGCAATCTTGCAGGCCTCCGAAAAAGCCGCCTGAAAGCGCGTCCACTCGTGCTCTGGATCGGGGACCCGCCGCCACCAAAACTTCTCGTGGTCGAATTGCGCCAGCTTGCTGTAGATCGCCCCAATCTTTGAGAGGCTGGTGTAGGGAGTATAGACATCCTTTGTTGAGCCAAACCAAAAATTGCTCGAATGCCGATATCTGAGTCGCAGAGCCATGTCTTCCACAGTCCGACCCTGCTCCGACGCCGCAGTCGCCAGGGCTTCTTCTAATCGTCCTTGAAGAGACAAGTCGCTTTGATCGCCATGCAACTGAAGGAGCTCCTTGGCCCTTGCCAGGCACACCAGGTAGTCGAGAGCAGTGGACATGTCTCGTTCCCCCGACTTGCACCTCACTCTGGGCAGGAGGGTAAACTCGGCTCTGTACCTGTTGGCTGCGCGTGCTCTATAGATACCTCGAACGCATCCTGTGCGACGAGGAGACGGGGCGCCACTCGCTTCGCCTGCTTCGTCCATTTCGTCCACATCCTTTAAAGCATACAGGAACTCGTCCGACGCCGTGTCTTCCGAGCCGTCGCTACTGTCGGCTGGGCCTACGCTGTGTGCTGCATGGACGAAACTCAATGCTGCGCCGCTGTGTGCCGGAGATGGCATATCCGCTGCTGCGGCCGCTGGCTCTGCGTCCGCCGCTGCTGGCTTCTGCTGCTTGGGCAGGTCCTGCTGCATCCACTCCTCCAGCAGAAGCCGCTGCTTCTGGGAAAAATAGTTTCGGATCACCTCCTGCCGCAGCTCGCGCGGCAACATTCTCAACAGTCGATGCACTCTGGCCGGAAACGTCCGACTCGCGGCACCCCTATGCGGCCCTGCCCTGGTGTTTGCCTTCGGCCTGCAAGGAACCCGGCAGTCTCTCTTCTGCTTCTGTTTCTGCTTCCGTTTCTGCTGCGGCCGTGGCCGCGCTTGCACGGAGGCCTCTCCAGGCGCAGCCAGCAAGGCATCGTACTTTTCTCGCGCGCGCCGGTCGCTGAGGATCTCCAAGGCCTTATAGACCAAGTGGAAAGCCTCCTTGCTACCGCCCTTGTCCGGGTGCACCTGCAAAGTCCGCATCGCCAAGCCAGCAACTCAATCCCTTGGAGCCCCAAGCCGAAGTGCTGAAATCCATCTCCCTGGCACGGGTGATTCAAAAACCTTGGCTCCCACACCCTCGGCTTGCAAACGCCCAGAAGTTGCCTGTCCAACAGACCTCTATCTCTCTATCTCTATCTCTCTATCTTCCTCTATCTCTATCTGTATCTGTATCTCTATCTCTATCTCTATCTCTATCTTCTTCTCCTTCTCGGTTAGGGGGCCCCCAGCTGCGACGGCCAAGCCTCTATCCCTATCTCTCTGTCTCTCTGTCTCTCTCTCTCTCTCTCTTCTATGCACGCGCCATGACAAAAGACCGCTACCCCCCATAACCTGCAGCGCGCGGCGTTTGAAAGCTGCCCGGATCTCCTCCAGGGCCGCACGCGGCGGCACCCCTAGTGCCTGCGATTGCAAAAGCTGTCGCAAATTTGAAGATTTTTGGAGGATGTACGGTTCTTATTTTGGGCTGTTCGTCCAGAATGCATGTGCAAGGACTCCAGATTCACTCAACTGCAGGGGCCACGCAGCCGAGAGCGTTCAGACCCTGGATCGGGAGAAGGCTTGTGAGTCCTTGCCCTCCAACCCTTGCCTTAAGCCTCCACCCTCTGTTCAACTCGGATGAACCTCGAAGCTGCAACCTATAGACAAGCCCTCTTCCTCATCAAGGGCTGCTAGGCCCTCTGCACCTCGTAGTAGCTGCAAGCCGACATGCAAGTTTCAGCTGGCCGCTGCCACACATGAGTCTTGCTTACACGTCTTGCTTTTGCGTGCCAACGGAACCCACAGGTAGCTGGTGGCATACAACTTTGCATGTCAGTGGGCCGGCTCATGGGAGGCTACAAGGGTCTGCAAGGTGTGAGCAGAGCAAACAGGTGTAATGATTGCCATGGATTCGTGAGCAACTAGTCATAGCCGTGACCGCCGAAAAGGGATGCACAACGCAGCCAGGAAGTGCCACTCTCTCACACACATGCCCCCGAGCGCGGGTCTATTCAACGTAGGCTGCACAAACCGAGCTGCTAGACTGCTAGACTCACAGTATTGGCCCACCTTCACAACTCACGGACCGGGTTACGAGATGATGTTCAGACGAGCGAAACTATTTGCGTACAGAGAAGCCATAGTAGCCTCACAGTTGAAGTTTCAAAGAGATGGGCCTGCTGGCATCTGAATGATGTCGGAACCGTGTGTCGCATGCTTGAAACAATCTTGCAGCCCCATGCCTCCACGCGCTCAATCAAGGAAGGAGAAGCCACACAGCTTGATTGAACTCCATCATTCGCACGAGCTGCAAGCCGGGTAAACTACGTCAGCATTCTCACAAGCTGGCTGGCTTTGTACCAGAAGTGATGCTTGCGACAAATTAGGGCGGTGCTGCGGAACCTCCTCATTTTGGAAGGCCCGCAGAGTCCCGCATCTTCTTCATGGCGAGAGCCATCCACTCGAGCTCGCCGAGCATAGCTGGAAGTTGCTTGAGCATACGTGCGTCGGGGTCTTTGGGGGTGCCGTCTTCGCCCAGAAGATCTGCAGGCGCGGGGAAGCCTGTCAGCTTACTCACGGGAATGCAACCGAGCTCGGCGAGGAAGGGGCGCGCAGCCATCGCTGCCCTCATGCCAGCCCAGGGCCCAGGACTGTAAGTGACGATGCAAGAGGGCTTGCACTTGTAGTTGGAGCCGCCAAAGTGTCCCATGAGGCTGGTGAGCGCAGGAGGCAGGGAGTGGTTGTACTCCGCAGTGACCACCACGTAGCCGTCAGCAGCCTTGATGGTGGCCGCCATGTCGTCCATCTTCGGCTGCGTGGCCTGCTTGAGGAAGAAGTGGGGGGTGCTCAGGTGGCCATCGCCCTCGAGAGCGCCGCCTGCACCGAAGACCTCAACTGGATCGAAAACCGTGACTTCATGGTTCACTTGCTCTTGGCCATAGGACTCATCCCTCGTGCGCAACAGTGAGAGCACATGCTTCAGCACACGGTCACCCAGGCGTGCGTCCCCACCCCAAGGCGGAACCACATTCCGGGCCGAGCCCATGAACACCACCGTCTTCAAAGTCACCTTCTGCATACCGCTGGTGCCCTCTACAGCCAACTCCGTGGAGGGCGAGACCTTGGGGTTCCAACAGCCGCACGCCGTGGTTGCGAGGCACCTTGTCGGCTTTCAACTACAGTAGCCAGCCACCCTTTGAGCCAGTCTCGCAGCAACTGCGTGGAAAAAAAACTCACCAGTTCATCTGCAGATCGTCTGCAAGTGCTCGGCTGACGTGCTCTTGACTTCCAAAACTCTCGCGTACTTACTCATCTCACAGACTCGCTTCGAGTTCTAGCTGAAAACCCGTTTCAAGCACTCATCTCACTCCCTCACTCAGTCATTCACTTAACTTCGGAATATCACTCTATCACTCTTTGCTTCACGCCCTGTACTCCCCAGCTGACCATACTTACTTTTCTGTGTCCACGCGCTGCAACATGAAAAGGGCAGTGTAAAGGTTCTAGCTTACCTGGCTTCAAAAACTGCAAGCATAAGGGATATAGGGGAGGTCTGAAACTATTTTTATATAGGTTGCTGTACAGTGCTGCCATATTTTAAGACACCGTGTGTATAGGTCGCAAGAAGTTCCCGCGCAGTTGACTGCGAAGCTCCGTTCTGCACAGCTTCATCCTGTTTTGTCCTGTACTGCTTGATGTGGGAGTTGTTTCGGAGATGTCTTCCCGGGCGTGTCAGGAGCATCGAAAGCGTTCGGGTCTAACACCTCAAGGCACTACGCCCATCATGCCAATGGTTAGTTCCCTGCCATCCATAAACCCAGTATAGCCATTGAATCCTGCTGCGTCATATGTACTCTGCTGTCGGACGTATGAGTCACTCGCAGTGAATGGGCAGCTACATGCAATGATCCGAGGGGGCGCTTTGACTCCACATGCTGGAATCGGCGTATTCCCCCAACTTCGAGGTTGCTAGTTGGGGCGCTGAATTTGATGTTTTTTTCGCCGTCCAAATATCTGTATTATGCACGTGAAAACTTTGAGGTCGTAACCCGTAAATCATGTGGAGCCTGGGCTTCCGAGTTGTGTTTCAAAGAGTGCCGCGTGTAGACAATTTTCATGCATCCAAACGGCCCCACTACAGGCTGCTCGCTTGACTCTTACCGCATAAATGCTCTACGTGTGCTTGTTTATTCGACAGTGGGGCTCAGCGTTTTCAGCGGGATCCTGGTTGCTACCACGAGAGTCAAGCTAGACCGAGACAAAGCGGTCAGTGCGGCCCACGCGCGTTTGGCTGTGAGTTTGGCAAATGCACAGACGCTTCAGCAAGAATAATAGCCCTACCGAGACACAGCAGCCTTACATCATGGTGCTTTCAAAATGGAGGTGCGCTTATGTAACCTGTTCCATGTTAGCATCGGCTGTGTCGCTGCGTGTGATATGTGACCCATTTCCAGTGGCATCAGGAAGTGAGCTATGATGGTGACCTTTTGATCGTACAGTTTGTACTGTGCAGGGTATGGTCTTCGGTTTTGACATTGCTGGATCTCTCACTTCGGCCAAGTCAGAGTCGTAAGCCCGTTTAAGCATTTCACGTCGTCAGACGCTTGCTTTCTCCGTATGTGAGGTCCCAACCCCATGGTCAGAAGTTCATGTCCGATTCCTTCTTCTTGTATCCGAATTTTCGTATTCATGTGCCTTTGGCTCTGTGAGTCTTGCAGCGCCTTCGGGCCGGGGACGCTCCCTAGTCACTTTGCATCTGTTGCGTCGGCAGCCCAAGGCGCACACGCTTTAAGGGAAGCCGTAGGTGCGTGCTAGACATGCCGAGCGTAATAATTCGCCTGTTCACACCTTCTTCGCTATGCACTTCGAAGGGTTGTACGACGTTCTTCTGCTCTGACAGTGAGTGCAGCGAGTCAAAGTCAAAGTGGAAGGTCATCATCATCATCATCATCATCATCATCATCATCATCCTCATCGTCATCACCATCGACATCGTCATGCTCATCATCGTCATCTCTGGGTGTTCGCAGGCCCCAAAATCACAAAATCCTACCAGTATAAAGCACAGACGTTGGGAATCGCGTTTTGCGTCCACTGCGCGAAAAGATTGGGTGAAACCATCTGGCTGCAGACTCATTTCTCACCTCGACCGGGAGCCTCCTGCAGCAGGAGCAGTTTGTTCACAAGCACCCCTCTCCATGCAAGATGTTCTGCGCGGATTGGGTGGGCTCAGACTCACATCCAAAATCGAAAACTAGCTTGCACTCCTTCGCCAGCTCTCTCCGACGAGCAGCAAAAACACTGGCCGCCTCTCGACTCAAGTTCTCTGGAAGGCTTGTCTACAGGCGTAGTTTGCAAGAACTTCGCCTTTTCCATGCCCCATCGCCGGATCAGAGCTGCACCTCGACAACAGCGGGAGGGCAAAACAGCCGATCCTTCACCAAAAGTCGAGAGAGAACGACGCAGGGAACGATCTAGAGAACGATTGGAGACTCCTGAGACTTTGGCATCCTCTGGCCGCATCACCGAGCCGTAAGCGCTCTGAGCTGGTGGCGGCGTGAGACGCCTGCACCAGCCATCAAAGAGCTGTCCCGTGCAGTCGGCCCACACAAGCATGACGAGAGTACCCTGCAAAAATGAATCCAACCGCGGCTGCTACTTTTGTTGGAACATGCTCGAAATGGCGAAACCAAGCAACCAAGTGCAGCACCGTGGGCAAAGCCCAGGCAGGCAAACGGCATTCATCCTTTTGGACAAGACGTCATTGAGCCAAGTTCACTGGAAGGCTCACAACTGTACGACACAAAAGCTCACAAGCTGTCCTCATCACAAACGGCCACAATTGCGTCCTGCGATCGCAAAACATAGGCAACTTGTGCACGATGATGTATGGCAGAGCACAAAACCCACAGACGGCAGGCTCGCGTCCCTGGCCAACGGCTCCCACTTCTTGGCCACGCTCCACTCAACGCCGAGACGCGCGGCCACTCCCTGCAAGTACTCACCGATAGAAGCCCCTTTTGATGCCTCTAGAGATGCGTGGAGATTCTCTTCTTTCCCAGCCGCGCTTCAGCACTTCTTTGTCTCAAGAAGCAAGATCAGCTAAAGAAGCAAAGTCTGCTAAACTCTCTGGTTGTCAAGCAAAGCCTCCTAACGTGCGCTTGGCATGCGCGACCACTTGGAGAATATGCCGAAGCTGGATGCAAACGCGACTCTTCAATACCTAGACCAGAGCAACTGCGCAAAGCCTTCTACGCGGTACACACTGGATTGAGGATTGAGGGTGATCACGGCTCTGGAAACTGCTATGCAGGCAGCGGAACCACGGCCTTCACCAACACTGACCTTGCGACATGGGGAGGGGTCTCTGCGCAAGAATGCTTCCTACGTGCCCTAAAGTGGGGCAATCAAATGCCAAAGTTGCACTCTTAGCAGGCCACGCTCTTCCAAGAAGCACCAGCTCCATTGGGAACGACGACAGCCTCAACGCATCATCGTGTACGGCATTGAGGCAAAAGAGAGCCAGAACAGGTCCCCCGTTATCCTACACTAGGACATAAAGCATGTGCGCAGGTATCAAGGGCGCTCGCTGGCGCAGTGGGCTCTTGTCGCTGAACTCCTTGCAATGTGGAGTGCGTATCCTTCAGTGATCAGACCGCTGGGCAAGCAACATCCAATGCAGCGTCCTCTTTGGAGTACCCTCCAGGAAACTCCACATCCTGCTGGCTCTGTGCGTTTTTTGGGTAGAACCAACTCCGGCATGCTTCTTCGCAGATGCTCCCACCTTCTCGCCGAACAGATACAGGGCCACGCTGGCCTGAGAGAGCTCGAGCAGAGATCAGAAGGGCACAGACACACACACACACACAAACAAACAAACACGATGCTATAAGCAGCATGCCGCACATGCATCTTCGTCTTCCTGACCTGCAGCCCAAGCAGCGGAATACTTATGCCGACATAACTGCAAACACATTTTGGACTGCCACTGACCCACCATCCTTGCATACAAGGTGCCTTTGAAGAATGTGACACCAAAGTTGCGGACACAATCAGCCTCAGACAAGGCGAGTGATGGGCACAACTCGATCTGCATTTTCATCTGTACAGATAGAAGGTCAGACTTCGGCTAACATCTGGATCATCTTGCGACTTCCATCATAAGCCGCTGCTGCCAGAATTGCCTGCAGACAGAAGCAGATCACGAGCAAAATCATCAAGACAGCAATTCTCATTATTCGCAAACCTCACTCCAAGCCCTGCAAGCCGATTCATTCTTACTGGTGGTTCTAACATCCCTCATGAGCCCTCTGAGCCTCCCTACCAGGTGACATCAGCCAGAGCCGAGCCTCTGCCACCAGAAGGCGCTGCTCACGATACAGCTGGCAAACCTGGACAAGACGCCAACAGTGCACCAACAGCGCACCGACCTACGATATACGCTCAGAGCATGCTGCTTGGGCCCTACCTGGCCACAGTCGATGAGTGCTACCCTGCCGCCTTCGAGCACGAAGATGTTCCTGCACGTGCTGGCAGGCTTTCTTACAGCGACCAAGAAGCAAAATCATGTTGAAGCATACATACACGTGTTACTGCACATGCTTACATACAGATGACCATCAACAAGCTACCACAAGCTACACACAGCAACCCCAAGAGTGGCCCAGGATGTGGATCTCCATGAATAAAGCCAGAAGAGAAAATCATATTGCCTCAACTGACGTGCAAGTCATGCGTGCCAAATTGCTTGCAAAATTTTGTACAAATTCTTGCATTCCAATGGATTTCCGATGCCTCTGCCTAGACTATCATCTGCGTGCCAAACAAAGTGGCCATATGCCGTCGTCAGCGCCTCTAGAATTCGGCGCCCTAGCACCTGAGCAGCCACGTGGGGCAAGCTGGATGTGCTGCGCGGTATCATGATATGCAACCCGCGGGCCATGGCATGGCGCATCCCTACGAGAGACTAGCACCTTGCCGGCTTTGCTGCCAAGGTCGATCCCGAGCTCCTCAAGCGCAACAAACATAAGCCACCATCGGCCAGCATGGAAATAAACCGAGGTTCCAAACAGCAGCCGCAAAGCATAACATTCTGCACCAGTCACCAAAGTTGACCCCAAGCCCGGGCAGAAGCTACTAATTGCAACTTCAAGTGAACAGATTGTTCGGTTCAGCCCACGTAGCCATAGGCCTTCGCTCTCTCTTCGAGTCTGGATAGCGGCGTGCCCTTGATGAAGTCCATAACTGGCACAACGCTACTGCGTTCTACTTCTGGACTTGGCAGCATGCAAGGTCGAGCAGGCAACCATGATCGCAACTGATCGGATAAGGAACCATGTGAAGACTCAGCTGAGCTGATACGTGTTGCAGCTCAACGATATGGCCACAGCTCTTTCTAGATGAAGACATGAGCAGACTGCCTAGAACCTTCCGGGTCGCCATGCCAGGTATGGGCTGCGGCACAACCTCAGCGCAGTTTGAACATGCATGCTGCATGCCTCATGGACGCGTTCATGTCTGCATTGGGATCCTTCCACCAAGTCCGGGTATGATTATGGGAAAAACTATGGTGGACACAACTGAAGCACGTCTTGCAGTCTTCGAACACAGCAGATGTACACCAGGGCCATTTTTTTGTTTTGTGTTTTTTTTTGGAGGGGTAAACTTGTTCAGTTTTACCAAGTTCTACCCCGGCATATGCGAATGAAGATGAGAAGATGAACTCCAAGATCTTCATATACTGAGATATATTTTTTTTGCGTTCTAGGGGTACCTTATTGGGGGTCCTTATTATAAGGGGATCCTAGTATTTGGGGGTCTATTCTAGGGGTCCCTTATTATCGTAAAGCCACATATGCCAAGCCTCAGGCCAGTGGTGGGTCCAGCTCACGACCAAGGGGGTCATGCCTGATGGAAGCAGCCACCTGCGTCAGTTTTTGTCAAAATGCCATTAGACGACGAGCAGCGCATGTTTCAGCAGCCTTTTCTGTCACGCCCTACCAGGTCCTGCCAGGTTCCAACTTGCTGGATGTGCCCATCTTAGGTACCTCCAGCATCCTCTAGCTGGTGAAAAATTGCCGGGCCGATTGAAGCGTGCCCCCTCAGTGAGCGATCGGCACCACGTCTGATGGCACCCCCCGCTGCAATCTAGATCCTGAGCCATTCATGCCAAACAACTTGATACCGTGCTCGGTTACAGATGATCATTGGGCAAAACCTGCGTGCCAGCTGAGTATCCAGACAACGGGCACGACAGGATACCCGAAAGCACCAATGTACACAGTAGAAGAAGGCAAGATCATTCTTTGCGAAATTTCCTGCAGGGGGCTGCATTCCTCTTAATGCGCGTCCTTTCCATTCTCTTTTGAGAGGTTGCTGGTACGGGCTACCCAGGCTGCGATGACTTTCTGTATTGGCTAGTGGGGGGTAACTACTGCCCCACAGAGCCGAAAGAGGATGTGCTTAGGCACAGGGCCTTCGTCTGCCTGGCGAACCCATTCATCTGGGACATTTCTGCTACTTACACTCCAAGTACCGTTTGAGCCTCAACTTGAAAATATCGGGCCAGCTGCATTAAAGCTAAAGGTCACACTTCAATCCCAACCCTATGCAGCAGTTGGGAATGAAGCTCGAAGGTAAGTAGCATCTGCAAGCTCACCGGATCCCGCTGTCCAACTGGCCGATACTCCATTTGCAGACATCGTGATGAGAAGACCCCAGGGCGTGAGCTGGTGCCTGATGCATACCTTCGCACATCTGGGCACATCGGAAGCGAAATCGAAGACACAACTGAACTGCACATGCCAGAGCCACCGCTGTCCCTTCGTCATCCATCCTCAGATGCCAAGTGCAGAGTGAGTGTGAGAGAGAGAGAGAGCGAGAGCGAGCAATAGCAGTAAGCAGTGTCAATGCACATTTATGGGGAGGTTTGGGGCATGGACTGTGCTACTGAGAAGTGCATTCCCAAGCTCGTCTCTCTTCCTCTTCTTCTTCCTCGTCTTCTTCTTCTTCTTCCTCTTCTTCTTCCTCGTCTTCTTCTTCTTCTTCTTATTTTTCTTCTTTCTCTTCGTCTGCTGGGGTTGAGGGACTCTCTGTCTCTCTGCGGAGTGAGTTCGGGCTGAATCCTGGACCCCAAAACCATGCCCCTTGGAACACTCTGAGTTCAGGTTGGCTGTAAAACCGGATGCTGCTTGCTTTGTGTCTGCGGGCACCACGGTAGGCTACTGTGGGCTTGCTAGAAGCACTACAGATGGCAGAGTTGTTTGTTCTGAAGAGCCTTCCGTGTTGAAGGTTTTTTGTAAGCGCCTGCGGAGATGAGCTGCCTTCAGCAGAGCATTGTGCTCATGACCCTCTGGTGCTAGGATGTGCTAGGACTAAGACCCGCCTGTGGGTCGGGCTGGCTTTGAAGCTGCGAGCTTGTGGTAGCTGTTCTGTCTTGATCGACACTCCGAAAGGCAAGCCGGCTCGACACGGAGCAACTCGCAACTGCTGCCCTTTATCTTAGGAAGGACCTTCTCGCATTGTCCACCCGCATTCCAGCCAAGCAGCTGGTCAATCCGCAATATGTGATGTTCCCAAAACGGATTCACCCAGCAATCTCCATCCGACCCAGCTGCCCTCTGCCAGCCCGCACCGACCTGAAGTCGCTAAGCGTTGATCGCGGCAGCGGTCTAGGCTGACTCGGCGCTTTTGACGCTTGCAGGGTGAACATCAACAGAAACACTGAACGAGGCACATGAAAGCGCTGGGTGAAATCGCTGGGCGTGCCCATGACCTGGCTCCAACTTGCTAAGGCTGCATGCTCTGCTGCTGACAGGACAGCTAATATAGGATGGCCTCCATCACCATCTCATCACCAAAATGCGTGATCTTGCGGCTGACATAGCCTCGCGCGTGTAAGGCTAGAGTTTGGCACCTCCCAAAAAGTTCACTCTTGTCCTTGGCAATTGCACCCTCATCTGAAAGCCTGCACCATAGCTGATCGCTGAAGCAGCACAGCCTGAGAGGATCTCACAGGACATGCATCAAAAATCTTTGTGTTGTCTTGACGGAGCCCTTGAGGTGTCACGGATCGGGCTGCTTATGCTACTCTCTGTGTTGCTGGGTTACTCTTGGCCTTGGGAAGAAGGTTTCGTACTCATCTGCATGTTGACACACTGTACTTGGAGTCCTTTGAGCGGGTGTGGATAAGTGGCACTCTTGCACAACAGCTTCAGAGACTAAGCACATGTTCTTGCTCTGAGGCCACTTGTAGTAGCTTGCGGACTTCTGTGACAGGTCCAAGATAGGTCCAAGCAGCGCCTTGCCCAGCTTACTTCCAAGGACACCAGCAGTGCGTCCACGTCGCCCTCCGTCTCAAAGCAGAACCAAAGCCCAGTGAAGTCAGCCCTGGCAATGGTTTCGCAAGGTTGCTCGCAATGCGTCTGATGCACTGAACAGCTGGCAGGAGTCTGACCTGCTGGGCTCGGGCCGTCGGAAGGAGTAGGCAGGCATTCTTGACGAAGCCCATGGGGACTGGCAGCATATGAACTTGAGTCCGCACACTACAACAGTATACAACAGTCTTCTCCACACAAGTCTTCCCCACAACAGCGAATTGGCCGGCCTGATCCTGAAGCGGTCGCACGGGAAGCAAGGAAGCCTCTGGGAATCTTTAGACGAAGGCGCAAAAACACGCGCACTTGATCGAGAGCACAGCAGAGAATTTCACACAGCTTCTAGCGTGCACATGCCTCTGGTCGGACAACCTTCTGCTTTGGGCGAGGCTTCATCGAAGGACTGGACGATTGTGGAGAGTGCACCTCTGTTTCCGAGAAAGACTTTCTATCCACTAGCGCAGGTCTCACTCACAACAGTGCCACTGGCGAAAAAACGCCTCGATGCACAAAGCTGGGTCGCAAGCGATTGGGAGACGGTTGGACAGTTCACCGGCGGACCATGGGTCCTAGGCTTTTTGGAGAGTTGTCAGGAGATGATCTTCCGGGCCTAGCATGAGTCGGAGTCACATCCTGATCCTCGTCGATGTCCAACTCTTCTTCCGCAGAGGCAGTGGAAAATGTGCAAGCAGCTCCCATGGCGAGCAACTCACGCCAGGGGACTGAAGAATAGAAAGAAGGATTGCTCACGGCTCATGGTCAGTGTGTCAATGTGACAACTCTTGGACAAGATGCTGTTGCGTACCTGCTGTATAACGGCCCGGTAGCTGATTGGCTGCAACACCCATGTGTGCATTGCATGCCGGCTTCTGGTACAAGTCGCCCTCTGGCAAACCTCTAACTCCCTAGCCTTCATCGCGCTCTGTGCTTCGTTCAGGAAATCAAGCTCGCCGTCTAAGGCTCGTTCAAGCCTCACAGCACACGCTTCAAGCTTCTAAAATTAGAGAGTGACAGATGGATGCCCCAAGAGCTCCATCACAAGGTCCCAGGCTCGCAGAAGACCGGGTAATAGTCGACCGGAAGCCTGTTTCCAATTGGGGCACCCAACTCGAGTGCCAGCACCCGCCATAGGACCACAAGTCACTAGCAGTGGCCGGCAAAAGGCTCTTTGGGGACTAAACATGGGAAACCAAGCAAATCACCAGATCGTCACAGGCACAGAGGATCATGGCAACAAGGTGTTTCGAGCTGATTAGGTGTGAGAAGGCCCATGTGACCAATATGGCAGCTGGATTTGAAAATTGCTCATTGCACTCAAGCTGCATTCTTTGGGAAAACTGAACCATCTCGGCCCTCAACATGCCTAAATGTTCCATTCTCAAGGCGAGCAAAGAGCCCCGAAAGCCTCAGGCTTCTCGGTGCGACAGTCGTAGTGTTCTGCATTCTTGCAAGTAAGTCGGCAGGTACATGTCGGCCAGGCGGCCACCCACACTGTTCCCCACATCTTAGGAAGCCTCCGAGGAAGTCATCGAACCCCTTCCCGCAACGTTCGAGAGCGGGAGTCACTATGCACTGCGGCGACACAGGGAGGCTTGCAAATTCACTTCAGGCTAAATTCACGTCAGCTCACCGGACCCTTTGCTGCGTGGGCCAAGCCGTGATGATTGCAGGATCGTAGAAGCCTAGACGTCGAGCCCACTGCTGCAGGTCCGAAAAGGAGCAGACACAGGAAGGGAGGGAGTGCCGAGCGGAGGGGCAAGGATACAGCGTGTGATGGCCGGAGTGCCTCTCTTGCCCAGGAGCTTGACAGAAGGCCACTGCATTGGGCGTGCTGTTGCTCCGAGACCATGAAGGGGAGAGCCAGCATGGAGGTGTGGGGAAGGGGAGCGCGAGAACAACATGGCAACCGATGATATCCAGCACACGAGGCTGCAGAGGAGGCCCCGGATGTGCGGGCAAAAGTGGGACAGCGTTTTTCAGGGAAGGGGCACGGGAGGAGGCCACAGAGCAAGGCCACAAGGCGTACAAGACAAAGCATGTGAGGAAAGCCGCAAGCACAAGCGCTAATGAAAGAGCAACAAGCCAAACAGCAAAGCCGCACAAGGCAATGAATGCATAGAACAAGCAGCGACACGAGATATGGGCCATATGCAATTCTATATGGCCCCTATCCACATGGAACCTCAAATGAAACCAGCTCTCCACTGCACCCTTTGGACAAGTAAGGGATGAGCCGGCCTCCCGCGCGTAGCCAGAGCAAAGACTTTGAGGTTCGCAACGTCACCTCAAGCGGTGCCATCACTCGCCGCCTTCAGCAAGGTGACGAGATGTTGAGCCTCGAAGAACCGGTTCCATGTTGGGTCTCAAGACTTTGATGGCCACCTCAGTGACAACCGGATCCCCATCTTCCCCATCCTGCGAGACGGTGGCCTAAACCTCACAACCCAAAACCCTAAACCCCAAACCTGGACTGCGTATGACCGAATGCTCTGCTTCCGACCTCCCGGCCGTCATTGAGGACGGCTCGGTGGACCTGCGCCAGGCAACGAGATTCACATTACGTCACTTCTACGGTTTAATGAGCAGTCGTGGCAAAGCTGCATATATGTAATATATATATATATACATATATATGTATGGATATACAAGTGTATATATATTTATTTATTTATCGATTGTTTATTTGTCTATTTATTTGCTTATTTATATGTACATTTCTTTCTATATTTATATGATATATATATATATATATTTGTATGTATGGCTTCCGCCCTGCCCCCCCCCCCCCCCATTGATGATCCACCGCTTTTTGCTTCAATCCTCGCCTATAGTAACAGTTAACAGTCTTCATGTGCACACACTCAACTTCTGGACATTGTTTTGTAAGGCGCAGAACTGCGGGTCAACTGTAAACACATGGCTCGAAAGCTAATTCACAGATGAATTCAATTTAATGATTCTCAGGCGCTATATGTTGATTGCTTTTTGGGGCTATTTGTATCAATATGCGTCTTAACAACTGGTCCTTAGCTTGGATTGCATTTGACGAGATAAAGGAATTGAACTTGCAGAATAATGCTATTGATTACATGAATTCTCACGAATGTAGTCTGCCAACCACTTCCCGAATCCGATTGAATTGGAGGTCCGTTATATCTACGAGAATACTCATGCTATAAATTTCGGGACCACACAAATAAACACAAATTCAATCTACATACACAATCCGAGAGTGTAAAATATTCAAAAGTCTACAAATCCACAAGCATCCCCAACCCCAAACCGTACAAACACTCGAGGGATCCCAACTAAACCCACCTTTTGGAAGGATTCGAGAGAAAAGCAAATGTGTTTGATGATTGCCATGATTTTCGGAGGACTCGTCTCTGTGAGATCTCCCAGAAGCCATGGAGATCAGTAAAACAAGCGATGGGAAGCAATACAACATGTCGCTTTGAAATCAGAGATCGGGGACTGAAGATCCCACATTTTGTCCAAAAATCTTCGTTGTAGTAATAATCTCCCATTTTCAAAACAAAATGAAATTTGCTGTGTCGAAATCGAACAAGTTGGATTGTGCTTTGAAATGCTCATGTTTTGCTCAAACCAAAGATCCCAGCAACACCTGGATGACTCCATAATTGGCTGCGAAGATCCATGCGAAATTTCACACGGTGGATCAATCGGGGGAGTATCATATATGTGTACACAAGAAATACATACTTCATATCGACACAGGTGTATGCAGTCATGGCATAAAGCGAAACGACGCGACAACTTGGCCAAGGGCCTGGGCGATGGAGGCTGTTCCCAGGGGCTTGTCGTCAAACTCCCTCAAAAGCTCTGAGAGCCCTTTACCTCCACAAAGCTCCTCCGAGATACAAGAGGCATCTTCAAGCTGCTCTTCAGGCACAGCTGCTCAGCTTTATTGGGCGCCTGGGAGACGATGTCCCGGATCTCTGCCGCATCCACGGGCGGCAGGCTGTCCTGCAGACGCCCGAAGCCAGGAGTGCAGAAACCACTCCAAATTTTTCCGACTCCTGAAGCACTCGCAGGCGGTCTGTATACCTCCGCAGACTGCGCAGAACGTCCACGGGAAAAAGATGTCAGATGACTGTAACTTGACTGCATGATCAGTTCTCGCCAGAGAACGGCTTGGAAAAAAGATCGACGCGCGTCGAGAGCACCTAGCAGCTGATGCACAAGCATTTAGGGTTTAGGGTTACATGAGCTGAAACGGGGGGGGGGGGGGGCACGGGTGAAAGCAGATCTACAAGTTGAGACGCCATCTGCAACTTTTTTGAGTCAGCAAGCCGGCGACCTCGGATTATCGCTGGCACTAAAACCATGATTGTCAGGAACGGGGAATGATGAAAATGCTGAAAACCACCAGCGCCCACAACGAAGACACTTTTATCAACAAGACGCCGGTCATGCAAAAGCAGGAGGCTGAGGTGGGGAAACGGTGTGCTCAAAGCAGTGCTTGGCTTGAGCTTGATTTTACTAGTGGCCAGGATGGTTGACTAGACGAGAGTCATGAGTACTCAGCATCACAGCCAGGAACAAATTGGGGGGCTTACGATAATGAGGGGCCCTAAATATAGGCCCAGACCCCCAAATAGTAGGATCCTCTTATAATACCAAGGATCCCAATAAGGTACCCCGAATCTCGGAAACCTCCAAATGCAACCATTATTTGTTGACTGCTCCCGTAGCAAGAAGTCGCGTTCCCTGCCCCTCTTTCCATGATTGTAGCCAGCTAGGTTGGCTGGCTTAAGACTCTTTCTTGAATTTCTACTCGGAATTGGGCCGCGAACCTTTCACCATGCTCCATAAGCATCCCCTACCCACGACGTTTTGTGCCATCATCCCAGGGCCTGTCCAGTCTTCACATAGAAGCCACCGAGGCTCAGCAAAGTTTCTTGAAGCCTCAGTGACGGGTCAAGAGGACAATTTGAAGCACTGACGAAATGCAAAGAGAAAGTGGCAGAAACAGCAAAGAGAAAAGGGAGCACAAAAAGACAGCAGTAGCAGCCAGGACCCTGTCTGCTTGGAACCCCAGTCGTCCATTTCATCTGCAAGCTCCTCCCCGGTTTTCTCCTCCAAGCCTTCAAAAATGCCCCGAGATGTCGCACAGACTGTCAGAACTGCCACATGTGTCACACTTGTCACGTCTGCCTATGCTGTGTAGCCAGGGCCGGACGACGTACTGGCCCAACCTTTTTAGCTGCAGAAGGTGCTAACTTGACATTGCGAACTATGCAGTCGCCTCACCACGTGTGCAAAACTCAGACACAGCTTCGAAAGAATGGTTGAGCTATGAACACCGGAAGAATAGTCGAGTAAAACCTGGACGAGTTGTTTGAGCGCACGCGTCTGCAGAGACTGTTGATGTCATGGCACCGGCCTCAACGACCTGGAGAGCCTCCTCGGCACAAACGTTCTACACATAAGGCATGCGTCAGCGCCGAGTGTTAAGCACAGGGTGACTTGTGAAAAAAGCAACAAGGAAAGAAAACTGGTAAAGAAGATCAACACTCCGAGTCAGCATCCGGAAGGAGAACGATAACCAAACTTGCAATTCAGGCACGGGCACCACCGTCGAATAAGACTCCATTGGCTCTGAAGCAAAGTGCTGAAACAGCGAAGTGAAGGCAATCAAGCTCAATGAGTGCTCCTTTATGTGCGGTTGAGCATCTGAAGCGGCGACTGCGCTGTCGCCTCCTGCAATCTGAGCTTCAACAAAAGAAGAGGGGAGCAAGCAGTAGTAGCTGCAAGCGTCCCGAGCAACTCTGATCCAACGCCGTCTAGCTCGATGGCGTTGATGACGAAAAGGAAGTAAAAGCAACCTGACTCGTGCAGCCATCATCAAAAACACACGCACTGAGCCACTAGTTGACTTTCTGGCTGACTGACGGACTAACCGTCACACGGAGGCCGGAACTGAAATGCAGTTGCTGGCAAGCTTTGCTGTCACACTCGATGATCCAATCACAACGGTCACCCCACAAGCAATCCCAGCTAATCCGCATGGCTTGCAATACACTTAGTGTCTAACTGTTACCCAAGGACACCCAAAGTCGCAGGTACAATTGCGGGAAGAAGCTTTCTCGTGCTATCCTCATCTTGTACCGCAAGCTTCGTGATTTGACCAACAAGTACAAGATGGCCGCCCCATGTCTGAAAAAAGTTGCAACCCGTCCTCCTTTGCTATCACACAGAACACACGACAGCACTGCCATTCTGCTACCATGAACATGGCATAGCGTCTTGGTCTCTGGCCCCCCAGCAGATAGCCGGATCACTCCGAGAAGAGCCGAGTTGTTCTTTGCCTCGAGGGCCAAAGCCGCTCTGAGGACTATCAGTTCGACAGCTGTCTTCAGAATTGGAGGTTCATGGTACTTATGAACCAGTTATCCGCCGACCCCGCTGTCGGCGTTAGTGAAATCCCGAAGGGTCTCCCCACCCGCTCCCCCCCCCCCTCCTCCCCTAGGCTGCTTCCGTGGCCCTCCCCACCCCTGGCCCCCTGCTCCCCTTCCTCTACGCCCTGAAAATGGAGTGTTTGTTGAGGCCTCCAATGAATGCCCAAGCGCCATGCTGCTCCTCGCCCTCCTCGCCCCCTCCCTCCCTCCATCTCCCTCCTCTGCCCTCGCTCTGCACGCCCTGAAAACCCGCCCGCCCTCTCCCGCCCTCCCCGCCCTCCCCGCCCTCCCCGCCCTCCCGCCCTCCCCGCTGCTCTGCTAAGCTGGACTGGAGGTGACTAGGGGTCTGGCAACCACAGCGATCGCCATACCAGCTCAGCAAAAACGTCGAGGACATTTGTGCAAGACAACCTACAGCACATGGTGCCGGCTGTGCATCCGCAGTTGATCGATATGCATAATTTGAAAAAATGGTCGGCGGCATTGGCGGCAGCCATTGAATCGGGCAGCGCCATGGCCTTTGGGGCCTGGTGCGGACCTGTTCATGACACGGCTAACCCCGTGCGAGGCAAACTCGCCTCGCCGACCTCGCCGTGTCGCCGGTGAACGGTTCTTTTTGCGCAAAATGGGATAGCCGCGCATGCCCCCCAAAGGGAGCGCATCATGAGCATCAGCGGGTTCAGTCCGGGACCCCCAAGCGCGCATCAGCGGCCCCAGTCCGGGACCCCGGGCGCTCATCATGAGCATCAGCGGCTCCAGCCTCGGATGACACGGCGGCCCACGCGTGCATATAAGCCTTCCCCTTGGGTCCTGTGGCACGCTTGGTGTTCAGGCTTTTTTTGCCTTTAAGGTTGCGGCCTGGGGTGTTGAAGGCATTCGGGTTTAGGGCCTGTAAGCCGAAGTCCTATATACAGGGTTGAGAGGTCATGGCTCTGACATGATCGTGAAAAGTCGGGCGCCGGGCAGGCGCGCGCGCGCGCGCCCCTCTTCCCGGTCTGCGGAACAACTCTCCTCGAGCTTCTGCCTGCTCTGCCCGCCCATGGGCGCAGCCCCTCAAAATATTTGTACCTACGACCCACTTAAATCACCCCATTATAAAAATGCAGTGTGAATTGGGTTGTAAAGTACACTGAACCTCCAAAAAGGACGGGTTCCACACGTGCACACCGTTGAGGGGCCGGCAACTCTCACGCTGGGAAGCATTGCTGCTGTCCTGTTGGCGGCACTTGCCAAACTTGCGACTCCTTGCCCTAAACCCTAAACCTTAAACTCTAAACCCTAAACCCGAAACCCCTAAACCCTGCAATAGTTCTGGTGGTCACTAGCATCTCCTCCATGTCAAATGGGAGGCCACTCTGGGAGAAATTGAAGCTGGAGCCGCTCTGGCCGTCGCCATGGCGGCCAAGTGGCCCCGCGCACCCTCGTTGCACGCCCTTTGCATGCTCTTTGCACCCTCTTTGCACCCTCTTTGCACTCTCTTGACATCCTCTGTGGCCAGTCTGCACCCGATTTTGAGAATTGAAGCACTCGGAGTCGAAAGAGTGGCGTGAACATCTAATGCATCCGACTAACCTGCGATGGTCTCCTTCACCTAAGCCCTAGACGCTTGCACCAGAGAACCATAAGAATGTTGAGAACCATTGCGAAATGCAAGCTTTCACGAACTTATCAGAACATTGCAAGAACATCTTCGGACAGCTGTCAGACAGCCCCGTTCCAGACACATGACCACGAATATGGCCATCTGTACACGAGAGTGAAACGCAATAAAAGCAACAGGCTGCTGACTGCTGGAGGCAGCCCGGCACCGCTCGTTTGAGCGGGCAAAAGCATCTGAAGACTCATTGCAGCACACACGACCTGAGTCTGACACGAATAATGCCGTGCATTGCAGCCGTACTCGTTCCCCAAAGCAAAAAGAATTCAGCAAGAATCAGCAGGACTACTGAGGGCACGCGCTTTCCACTCTTCTTCTTCTTTCCACCTGGCCATTCAAGGGCCCGTAAACTCCAAAACGGTTCAATAGACCTAACATGACCTAAATACGAGATGCCGAAGCTGAGAGCCCACATGCGGCCCATGTTCGATACTACGTTGCAGCAAGATGCCCCCGCTTCGCCCAGCCTTCTGTAGAAGAAGTTGCAGCTGATGCAGCCGCAGTCGCAGTTGCGGCAGCCTGGGCACAGGACTGTGGTGACCTGTTCCGCAGCGGAGTCAAGAATGTAAGGTGAAGACAGGCGCAGCTTTCGCCTGCCGCACAGGGTGCTCCAACACACCCATGCTGTCGCAGCTCATGAATCATGCAGGCACCGCAATGCAATCTTCGTGCCAGTGCACTGAAAGCAAGGTCCGCCAATGCAAGCTTACATGTACAGGTAAGAAATCTCATCGTAAAAACAAAATAAACCCAACGCAGTCTCAATACAGAAGAAAGTTGCTCGCATCGGGTTGCAGCAGCCGGTGCGAGGGCGGTTAGGCGAGGAAGGCAAAACCAATACAGGCAGCCCCGGAAACTTTCTTATTTCATCAGGTTGCATCACCCACTATGTCACAGGGTCGACCAGGCAGGGCCAAAGGCAAGCTGTCCCACAAGCGCAGATGTTTTCGCTAAATTGCCTATTCCGATCGTTCCGAAACTCAGAACTGATCGCCAGTACTGCTACGACAACGACTAATTTAGGACCTCTTCATTCGGCTTTGGGACCCCGTCATGAGAGCCTCGGGACTACCACCGCACCGGGCAGTCTTGCGAACACTTCAAAGACACATTGCACCTCAAGGCATACGTCTGCCACTACCAGAACCACTACTGCGCCGGCTGCTACTACTACGACGACGACGTCTGTTTAGATTTTGATCGAGCTTCTCTAAAAATGCCCAGACCTGCTTTGTTTTGGACTTACTTTGGACTTTGTCTTGCTGAGAAACCTCTGCGCCTGTGGAGGTTGCAGGTCCAGATGCTGGGGTTTGGATGAGCAGCACTCGCTGTCAGCTCTTTGTGACTGCGTGCGTTGCTGGGCAGGTCGGTAGCAAACGTCCCTGACACGAAACGCCGTCTAATTAGCCATAGTCCATAGTAGCCGCGGAACGAAGAACTGTGTGTCACTTAGTGAGGTGGCCCAATTCACCTTCAAGGCCTTGCGGCCAGCTTGCGACAAAAATGATTTCACACATCCGTATGTTCACGCCTTTCGCGCGTTGAAAAATCTGCCGGCAAGCCTGCACGAGCCGGCTGTTGCAGCTTTCACAACACCGGTTTTCAGCGGACTCAGGTTTTGCCTTTGGAGTTTGCGGAATACGCGCTCCGCACTCCTGGTAAACCGAATCGGTGCCAAGTACATTTTTACGGCAAGATCCTTGAGTTGCAGCATCAACTGCCGAAAGCGCATCTGCTGAGGCATGCCGAGGCTTGATGCTTCTCGAGGTTCATCAGGTTGCGCCATGAGGGTACAAATGCCGGTAGATCCAACAGCCCGCATCTTGGACATGATCTCTGCGCCTTTGGATTGGGCTTCGGCCGCGGCTGCGCCTTGGCAGCAGCCTGTGCTTCTTGCCAAGCTGCCTCTTGCGCCTGCCTGAGTGCGTCAGACATGCTCAGACAGCAGACGGACGGCAACATCTAGCGAGCTGTGCCATAAGCTTGGATGAGCTTGGCAGGTGCGTAACAATGTTTGACTGAGCTTCACTCACAAAGGCTTCCTCCTCCTGCTGTGCACGGAGATCCTTCACAGTTTTCACAGCATAGCCGGCAGCATGGAAAAGCATCGAGATTCGCGCTCAAAGGTTCCAAACTCCTCCTGCATCATCTGCCAAGCCAGCTGCGCATCTGCATCCCTGCCCCAGCACTCAAAAGTCAGGACCACTTGACACATCCTGGCAAATCTTAACACCATTCTCCACACAGCTTTGCAGCATTGCTGACAGCTCGGGTGTTGGCTCCATCGATCCAGGCACATACACCTTGGAGCACAATGTGGCTTCATCAGGGCAGTGCTGCACGATCTTGCACACTAGCTTACCCAATTTGTACACCAACCAGCTACTTGCTACTTCTGCCTACATGGCTCTGTGCGCAGCCGTGCCTCACACATGCCCTCCGCTTGGAGCTACGCATGAACGCCTCAACATACCTCAGCCTTTAACCTTGATAAGTGGACAGCTCGGCCCAGCCTCTCCAACGGCGTCTGCTGCCTCAAAACACAGGAGACCTACTGCGTCTCTGCTCGAAACGTTTGCTCCAGCAAAACACCTCTGAAGCACACTCGTCGCACACATGCTTTCAAGCCTTGCTAATCCTGTGGATTCCTGCCTGCTGTCCAGCACCGAACTCTGCATCAACATAATCCGTGTCACCATCAACCTCCGAGCATTCTGCCGCGCGGCCGTACGATGATTCAGAACTAGACTCAACCAGTCGTGCCTTGTCAAATCGTTCCCAGAGCACCTCCGAGTTGGCAAAAGCAATGTCAGTACCTGAAGGACACACTGAAGTGGACCGATCCTGCTGGCGGTCGCAACCTTGGGTCCGGGCATAGCAAATACAGCTGACCTGAGGCAGTCTTCAGCCGACATCTTCGCTTTCACCCACTAAACGGACATGGGCATGTGTGCCACAGGTCATTGTGAGCAGGGGACCGTCAAACTTGAGCATCGTGTTGAAATGAGAGTTGCGAAAAAAGACCTGGGAGCAGACAACATGGTTTTGCCACAAAACATGTACTCACATAAGGTGCTTACTCACGCATACAGCGGTATAAATGGTTGAAAGTGTTGCAATCACGCTGCGGTGCTGCCACCCTACCATTCATCGAGGCACCTATCCCGAGTACTGCAAGTGCACTCCTGTCTTCCTGAACTTCACACGCACACATCTTTCTCGCTCTTGTCCGCTAGCCGCTAACCAGTACAATGAATACCCCAACCCAAACTACAGCATTGACAGGTGACACATGGTGACACACACGCACACACACGTACAGACAGACACACACACACAGACAAACAAACAAAAGAACAAACAAACGAATAAACAACCTGCTCCGCTGGGTGATGAGAAAAGACACGGAACAAGTTGAAACCATAGCTCTGTCTGCGACCCAAGGAGAGGACAGCTAGCTGTCGTTCCCGAACAGCTTGACGCAGAGCCTGGGCGAAGTTCTGTACATCTTGCATCTCTCGCGAGGGCCACTAGGGAAACCACGAGAGCGTACTAGAGGTACGTGAGATCCATGAGCACAGCACCAGAAGCTCGAAATGCCAAAGCAATCTACTTTTCCTCATCCCTCTCACTGCCTTCCGGAGCAGCCGAGGTCCTGTACAAGTTTCTCTGTACAACTCAGGGAGCTGCTCTGTCCCGAGATACCACTCGGTGAATTTATTCACCGGGTAGCTGCCAGCAGCTACTGCAGCGCACCACGATTGCACGATTCTGCGGAAAACCGGGCATTGGAGTACTTCCACCCTTTTTTTTAGCGGCCTGAAAAGGGGTGTAGTCGCTGCTTGTGGTATTTAGCTGCATCACAGTTGCCTTTCCAATTGGTGAAACATTCAGATCTTCGACTCCAAAACCTTAGATCGAAGACAAGAAAAAGGAATCCAGTGACAGGTTCACTTACTAAGGTACTACTAGACTATGACTTCAGCTCAAGAGTGATGGTTGCAGTCGGACCGCTCGATCCAGAGTCTTCATCTCCAGACTGCAGGCCTGCGGAAACCCTAACTCATCCCCCCTCCCTTGCGCTCTATCAGTTCCTCGCCTGGAGGATGAGCGCTGCTGGATCTTTGCACCCTATATGCTGTTGCCTTAAAAGCTTCTTCCTGCGAACCCCCGCGAGGACCGCTTTTTTTACCATCAGCCCAGCTGAGCCATCTTGCTCCCTGAGCCATTGCTTTCGGCCTGTGCACCATCCTTCGGCCCCGGCGTTTTCCTGCACAGCCCCGTCCAGGCACCCTAGACCGCCTGACCTTTTGATCCGGGACGCCGTGGAAATCTCTCCGAACTTTATCCCATAAAGGAAAACTTCTGTATCCTCTATCATTTATAGCAAAGTTCTCGTCCTTCTGCATTGCAAACGGGAGAGGACCAGTCCTTCGTATTTCAACTAGTGCCTCTACATATGGTTCGACTAAGAGAAGATTTGTTTCATGACAATGTCAGAAAGACTCTGTTCCCTTACAAAAACCTCCGTTTCCCCTATAATACGGCTCAACATTTGAACAGAAACCACGCCCCTCTGCATTTCAATTAGCACGTCTATACTTCAATCCAAGAACCTCTCCATGTCTTGTGTACACAGTACTCCTGTGTACAAAACCTTTATTGCCTCAAAATATTAAACCCGCACTTCCTCCATGTTGAAGAGAAAACCCAACTTACTCGGAGCAGGTCTGTTCATGAAAAAAAAGCCTTTAACATCTGAAAAGCAAGCTCCATCTCATCTCTACTCGCCGAAACCCTTTGCTTTCCACCATGGTTGAACAGAACCCCTAGGCATATCCACATATTACCTGACATAGCCAAAAAAAGCTTCCCCGAACTCCACACCTTGTTGAGGCATATCGTGCAGCCATCGGCTTACCAGGTCTGGATCTGGCCACATCGACGGGCCTCTATCTGACCTTTGGGCTGATTGACCAATCCGAAAGGAGTCGACCATGGGAACATGTACCATTCTTACTATCACTGTTGTTATTGCTGCTATTGTTACTATTATTCTTACATTATTCTTACTATTATTCTTACTATTATTCTTACCATTACTATTATTACCATTGATGACAATGACGCACGACTGGACAAGAAGATCGAGAGAGCATCCAAGGGCCGACCACCTGCTTAGTGTGCAGCATGCTGCAGGCATCACGTTACCAGCATCTGGGGACAGCAGAGGCCACTTCTGCAGCAAAGATGCCCGGCAATGAAGTCGCTGCCACCCGCTTGAGGGCGTTGGTAAGGCGTTTCTGGGCAGAGTCCGAAAAGCCACCTGATGGGCAGGAATGTCGGGCAAAAATCAACGAACAAACTGGCAGGCTGAAGCTCCAGAAGTCCTTTCGCTGAACTTCCGAATTGCCCCACCTTTGCTTCCCAAGGCTTCGCCAAAGGATTTCAGGTTGTCCTCCTCCGCCAACTCTGCCAGGTGTGCTGCGCCCATCTGGTGGCACCATGCCTCCGCCGCTGTTTCGTAGCTCGAAAGGCCCACGCTGCTGAGCAGACCTCGGCTGGAAACATCAGTGAAACATCGACCACACCACACTCATACAATCTCACGACACTCTTTGCACTAGAGTGGTCGCTTCTTCGGTGCAGGGGGAAGCTTCTGGAGAGACCGGGAACAGTCTCGGCCATGCCATAGGAGGGGCCGCCCTCCAACTTCCACTCTCGCTTTGCCTTGACAAAAGAAGACATCAACTGCGAGCTTCTGTATGCACATGAACGCCCTGAGGCCCTAAGGCAACCTAAGGCAAGCAGCAAGCAAATCGTGTCTGAGAACGCTGCAGTGGTAGACTGGCAATAGGCCGAAATCTGAATGTGGTCTGAGTCTTCGGAGACTGTGGGCGACGACGATCCTTTCCGGGCACAAGTGCCAATGCAACCCTAAAGGTGCACATGCAAAGGCATCTCTGCGCCACAGCCCGGCTCCTGTGGGGCTGAAACAGTCAGCAGGCATCAAGCCGGGCACGAGGGCTGCCACAGCCGGCATGACGCAGCACGTCATAAGCCACTGCCACAAAAAAGAATGTAGAAGTCACGTACGAATGCGAAGCTTGAGCAAACATTGCGAGGCATCCCAAGCGCCAACTCGTCCCAGACAATCTCAACACAAAGCTTGGCACGCTGCGAAACACGATAGCAATGAGGCAAAACTGAGCAGATGACCACAAGGCCTTCTTGAGAAATTTGGGTCTGGGTACCTTGCAATCTGCATGCGAAGCTTTGCTCTCGCACCAAAGTGCGCATACACTCAGCTGCAAGGATTCGCCATCACGGAGCTCGGAGGGTCGACAGCGCTGACACGTGCTTGATCTGTGAGGCTCACGGTCCAGGAACTCCTGGCGGCATGCTTGCTCAGATTCTTACGATTGGTACTATTCTTATGCTTCTTACTCTCATTATTACTACTATTTTTATCATTATTATTATTACGATTACGATTACTTTTGTTAGCTGAAGAACATGAGCAAGTTCACATCCAGGTGTACCGGTCCTTGATCAGCAGCCCCTCTTCCAGAATCTTTTCCGTCTCAGCACTTGGCTGGCCTGAGACCGAACACCGATGGCAGCAGCAAACCAACGTTGCGCAAACTTGGCGGCCGTGAAGGCAACGACTGTTTTGGGGCATGTCCACCAAAACTGCAAAATAAAGTGGTCAATTGGGTTAGAAGGAGCCCAACTTGCCCGGGGTGATTTGGGTATTCACGGGCCGTTGCCTCCATCATCACTGACTTTTTGCTGCAACTCCTTCGGGCAAACTGTCACACGCAGTGGCTCTCGCGTAAAGTGTGTCTCTGTCCTCATAAGCTATGAGCTTCTCCACGACCTGATTGTAGGAGAGATGGCCCAACACCTGATGCGACCGGGTGTCCTGGAAGGCCGTTGCAAAGAATCAGGGACAGAGTGGACACATTCACAACTGCGGTCCTCCTCCGCAATGATCCATCCGTGGAAAAGAGCAATGTCTAGCCTTCACGGCATTTGCTGATTCGCTCGCGTGTAATGCATCTTCACACATCTGAGGCACAAACATGTCAAACACCGTCGTTTCCTGCGTGTACTCGAAGTCAACCACGCCTGCTTGCAATCACGCCACCACATCGCTTGAAGGCTTCGACAGGATTTCTGTGAAGAAGTTGAGCAAAGAGCCAGAGCCATCAAATCATCCGGCAATATGAACTATTGTAATAATTGTCACCACCCACTCTAGGAGGTAACACATCTCGCAACTCAGACCAAAAGTAGTGCAGAACTGTTCCATGAAGTTGGTGCCTTCTGGTCCTTGCACATCACGTTAATTGAAAAGTGCGTTCAAGACACGGCTCAACTTGCAAACCTTTGATTTAACACCCCCCCCTTCACAAAACGCATCGCTTTCTTCCTCAGACATCATGCAAGATTTGATGGCCAAACAAGAAGAACATTATCAACACCACAAATCCGTCCTCCAAAGCGGCAGTTAACATCAAGGCCAACATTGAGCTTTGGCCTGCACAAGGCTTCACAAAACTGGAATCAAGCCGAACACATCGGCAGCGCGAAAGAAGTCCAAGGCGTGGTCAAGACTTCAAGGCAAGAGTTGAGACTCTCTCGAAGATTGGCAGCCCGCGAACCTGAGAAAACTTGAAGCAGCATCAGTGACAGCATGGTCCATCGAGACTACTAGCCTTGAACTGAATTGCTGAGAAGGACACTGTCCCCACCACCTGACAATGACAACAACAGATGCTTGAATGATGTTGGACTGGCATCAAAACCAAGTGAAATCTCCCAATGAAAACTTTCAATGGCGCACTGTCTTTGGAGTTGGCTTCGAACAACCAGTCCGACACCATCTGAACCAACTCCATGAAAGTGACATATCTGCCAGGTCGTCAGGACAAAACAACGCATCAATCACTCAAGAATGTATCTCATGAGTCGTTGAATAGGCCTAGTGTCCGGGTTGATCTTCAAAACGTTGCGTAGCAGGAGGACCTGAAAAGTATGCGACTGTAGGCCGGATCAACTAGACGGAGTTGCAAAAGTGGCACCAAGCTCTGCGCATTGCAAATTGCAAGGAGGGGGCACGGCCCATTCCTTCACGGCAAATGCGATAGCAAACACAGCAACGCAGTCAAAACTGCTAGCCCTCACATGTCGGAGCTAGGTAGCCAACTTGCTTTGCAACAGAATGCGACGCGGGGCACCGAAGAAGATGATGTCCTACCAGGGCCATCCCAATTCAAACTTTCGTTTCTTGCGATTGCCAACTTTCACCATCACACTGCGGACAACTTGTTGCCTTCACACGGTAGTTGTCTGTACTATCTTCCTCCATGGCCCCGAAATGTGTAAAGCATGTATGTGAATGCTCACTGTCTTGGCTGCTGAGGGATTGACGTTCCTCTAGTGCGAATCACAGTTGACTAAACCTCAACAAGCGCTCAGTTGACAAATGTTTCAACCTTTCGCCCGATTGCAGTGGTGAAAAACTGTTAGCTGCCTGTTTCCATGATTGTGAAAATTACAGCATATTAGGGCGCCCTAAATGCTTTGGAGCCGACAGCCGACACGTACCAGACCTGCTATAAACAGTTAATCATGAGCGCATTCGTTGCACACGTGAGGGCAGTGCCAAGCGAGCTCAAAAGAAAGAAAGTGCAGGTTTTCAAGGCATTGTGGCAACAATCAAACAAATGTCTTGGTGTTGCCAGAAGCTAACTTTCCGGATTTTGCTTCAGTTCGATGGTCAGCAGTGCCAAACGGCCAGGGCACACAACCACAATCGCAAGAATCACTGGCATGTATCAAACTCGAAATTCCGCTTCTCACGTCACACTTTCGCGGGTCACGTATGGGTATGTCGGAGCCATTGCAAATGAAGCGTTTGCTGTCCCAACAAATCCATCTTTCGTTGCTACTGTCGCGAAATCTTTGGACGTCAAAGTGATTTTGAGCCTGAGGCACAGCCAAGCCTTCAGGGTTTCGGGTCATTATGTTTTCCGTGATGGTGGGTGCTGTCAGATATATGATGAAACTTCGCGAGAGGCTCTTTGCAGGTGCGTGGTCGCCTGGTAATATCCAGCACTTTGTTAACGAGAACCTGGCCGGTTTACGGTCCAAAGCAACCCGCGGCTCCTTGCAAGACACTGCCATTGTATGGTAGTCAAAATGAAACCTGGGGTTGCCAAGAACGCTGGAGGCCCGCAGTCAAAATCCTTCAATTAAAGACGTGCAAATTTTGACCGAAATCGCGTCCCAGTTAACATCAGATTCTCGCCATCTTTGCGAGTTATAAGGAATTTGCTCGACGTTTGAGCTTCGGCGCATTCTGCGTTTGCACCTTTCATAACTTCGAGACGCAAATGGCAGATCGAGGCATCTCAAGACATTTGCCCCACAGCTGGATGTTTAAATTTGTTGTTCTTGTTCCAAGATAAGCTCTGCTGTGAGATGAGGCAAGCTTTGTGCCACAGCCCTGCCAGTGGTGTCAAAGAGCCGGTGCCCGTACCGATCTTAGCCAAGGCCCGCACTAAATCCCAGCTAAAAGCAGGAAGAAAAGAAAATGGGCATTTCGGATGTGTTAACGTTAAAAAACCCTTCTGTTCAAAAACAAAAACGAAACAGCTTCCCCCCTCCCAGAAATTCGACTTCTGTTCCGATCGAAAAAAGAGCCGTGCTTTCCAGGTTTCTGCTCAGAAGTAGACATCAGAGAAGATTGTGCCGAAGGTTTTCTTCTGTCTGTTGCCACATACTTGAGCAAATCGTGAAACAGTTTTGCCATATAGCAAGATAAAGAATATAACAATATTTCAATATAACAATATCAAAATAGAACATTCTAGAAATATAATATTCTGATCATAAATCTTACAATATATATTCATAAAAATATGCACGTGTTTCTTAGGTCTTGTATGCTTTTTGAACAGTCCATCTACCAGAAGTGTCTGAATAAAGTTGCCAAAACTATTCAAAGCTCAGCGTACCGCTGCCACGTATTTGCGCGGATGGTGGTTTTTTAACTTGTCTTTTTTTGCACAAACAAGCAGGCCAAGAAAAGGAACTATGCAACCGAATGTGCTTGTTTGGGCGGATTCGTAAACCAAGTTGTCAGTCGAGCACAAAGCTCCGCACAGCAGACAAAAAGGGAATTTTAAATTGTTTGAGCTGGGTTCGCATCTGACGGAGCGAACCAACAGCTCAAACCTCAAACCTAAACCTAACCCTTATACCCTAACAATACACTCCTAATTCCTCAATCCTGCAGATTGAAAGGCCCCCCTGATAAAACTCGAAACCTCAAACTCTAAAAACCTTCACCCTAAACCCTAACCCGATAAACCCTAAACCCTGGACCCTAGACTCTTGCCTGTTGCATTTGTCCTGTTGAATTTGTATCTATTGCATTTGTACCTGTTGCTGCATTTGTACCTGTTGCATTTGTACCTGTTGCAGTTGTACCTTTTGCAAATGCACAGGTACAAATGCAACAGGTACAAATGCAACAGGTACAAAGCAACACAACGCCAACAGCTCCAAGGCTAAGGGTGTGGTCTGAGCGGTGTGGCGTTGTGCTTAGCGTCATTCTGGGGAATGTTACAGCTAAGCATCAAGTTCCCTTTGATGCTGGAGAGGGGACAAGGAAAAATCATTGCTCATCACATCAACCTTGTTGTTGTAGTCTTCCAATGCGATTAAAGCGCAAGAACATTGATTTTACCAACGTTCGCAAGCGAGTCGGCACTGCCTTGAAGCATGATGCCCAGTCAGAGTCTTGCATTCTCAGCTTAAACACAATCTCTGATACAATTCCATGTTCCTAACTTTGCCCAGTGTCAAATCTTACTACATGGGGTTTTGTCTTTAAGAAATCACAGCAAACCAAAATCAAAACAGCAGACCAAGGAGAAGCTTTACAGAAACAATAACAATATATTTAAATCTGGATTAACTTGTAACTGGTTGTTGTTTGGACAAGAGGCGATTTTTTAAGCTCTAAAAAACAGCTTATAAAGATTTGGGTGGATCTTTGTTGCATTTGCATTTGACCTGTTGCATTTGTACCTGTTGCGTTTGTATCTGTTGCATTTGTACCTGTTGCATTTGTACTTGTTGCATTTGTACCTGTTGCATTTGTACCTGTTGGTTCGTACCTGCATTTGTACCTTGTGTTAAAATGCGGTTGTACGCAAGAGAACACATTACCAAGACGACCACAAGCCTTGCCAAGATCACTAACACCTTCTTGGGCAAGCAAGATGTCTTGACAAGACCATTGTGCAGGGTCCACTGACATGTTTTGGGCAACCATCACACTGTGGTGGGCCAAGAGCGTTATAAAGATGACAAAAAGGACAAAGTGCGCGTTTCGGACGATGTAAAAAGCCTGCCAATCGTTCAGAATGTGGATGCTACCGTTTGTGTCTTCTTTGCTTTGCTAAGATGAAAGGAACGGTGTCTTGCAAACACAGGTTTAGCAAGACAAAGTTGCAAAGCGGCAGCACATCGGTGCCCTTTTGGAGCGGTCAGAACACGCGGTTTGTCTAAGCCCATGTGGTTAATGACAGCCCTTATAGTCGCCGAACGTGCCACAGCCGTCGAGGCTTTCAAGCTTCTTGTTTGAGGGCTTGGCACTGCCTAAGACTTGGAATTTGCCTTCCTTCCAACTTGGCAAAGTGTTTTAAGATAAGCTTAATCATCTTATCCTTTGTCAGTTTGCCAGCGAACCTCAGGTCAAGACGGTTGAGAGTTCGCTCAATGTCGTCATTCTTCATCTTCTTCATGGTGGCTGTGATGGTGTCATCAGATGCCCGTGGTGCGGTCTGCAAAAATCAGCCTTAACCACAGAGTCTGACGTGACAGCGTTGTGACAAACAGCAAAACCATCCGAACAGAGAGCAACGGGAGGTATGCGAACTTTCGATGTATCAGGAAAAGGCCAAGGTTTGCTTTTGGCTTTCCTTCAAACAACTGACAAACACTTGCAGGGCGCACCGTCTGTTGTGTAGTGCTCGGACACGAAACGAAGAAGGTTCACGCCGGGGTTCGCTGGATTGGAGGTTTGGGTAAGATTGTTGGGTTGGGAGGTTGGTTGGTTGGGTTTTGGGTTGATAGGAGAATTGGTAAGGTCTTTTGGAAATTGAGGGTATAGGATAGTTGGTAAGAATGGTTTAGGGTTGTTTGGTTATGATGGGTTTAGGTAAGATGGTTATGAGGGTTATGGATATGATGGGTATGAGGGTTATGGGTAAGAATGGTTATCGGTGATATGGTGGGACGGTAGTCCGTGAACTGGGGCGTGTCTATGTCTAGCTGTAGTGTGTCTGCACGTCCCAGGTCAAAATTGGCACCTCATGCAAATATCCACCAGGTGGACTTTCTTTCCACAATCTGAGCTTGATGAGATGATCTGTACATGGCTCCCAGAGCTTCTTGACCACTGCCACAGCACGGATGGGAAGCTGCGTCGTTCCAGTATTCTAGCTCTGTTCGTGGGCATGGCTGACGGCCTGCAGCCGGTGCAGGAAATTGTTGCTTCAAGCATGTTTTGCCAGATGGTGAGACTCTTGCAATTGCCACCGGACGACTGGTCTGAAAAGGCGACACCGCTCACCCTCTTGACTAAGTTCTGCAGATCACTGTGCAAACTCAGCGGCAACATTGGGTGTCACAGCTGCTACGTCTGCTTCTTAGCGAGGACGACGTGGACAATCAAGAATATGTCATTTCGAATATGTTCCTCCTCTGGAAGATGGAAGAATCGCCCACAGAAACCTTCGCAGAAGCATCAATGGTGCTGAATGGTGTGCTGGGTTCAGTCTCACTGTCTCACTGGACGGGCAAGTGAAAGACGCCATCCTAAGAATGCTGGTATGACATGATGACACGCAAGCAAGAGCACAACTGGGCATGCGCAGCTTGCACCTTGGCAACAGCGGGCGGTTTTTGAACCTTTCAAGACACAAAGTTACGGAACTTCGGCCCTCCGGGCTCAATGTGAACACTTTCGTCAGATGATTGCGAAAAGGCGTGTGGATAATGGATGGAACTGTCCCAAATGAAGAAGCCCTGAATCCTAAGTATGAGGCTACGGAATGAGGCGGTATGGAACAAGAAGCCGCTCGCTGTTACATGCCCTCGAATCAAATGAAGCAATCGATGTTCTAGGGGACATGCAGACCTCCCCTTGCCCCTGAATCTCCCACCTGCCGGAGACGGAACGTTGCCGGAAGTGACAACTGTATGGCCACGAAGACTCATGACCAAAACACCGATGGAAGAAATCAGGGAACCATGAAAAATCACTCGGAGAACGTGTGATCATTTCTACAACTGTAACAAGCGGAAGCTACAACAACACGTGAGAACATCATGGCAACTGAAGCTGACATGTGCAGCAGCGCGGAATGCAATGTGAGCGAAATTCAACTTTCTTCTTCGGAGTTGTGTCAGGAAGCCTCAGCTGCAAGTACCACAAAAGAATACAAAGTGCTTGCGCCTGCTCATGATCTGTTGCCCGGCCTCGTTTCCAAAGTTTTTGCAAATGCTGTTGACCAAGTTGCAAGTGCGACGTGAATGCGTGTGCTGCATTTGCGGCTCTGGAATACAGGTTGCCGCTGTTCCCTGTATTTGACTTTTTCTTGGAATGCAGCAACACGGCACATTCGGCACTTAATCACAACGCAGCATCAGGTGATTCAGCCGTCTTTCGCCTTTAGAAGCCTGAGCAGTACCAAGATGGCTTCAGCATATGTTCGCAAAATTTCGCACGCGTGTCCCTAATGCTGAGTCTGCTGCTCCATTTTTAGCCATGGGAAGCAGGAGGACCGGTATTAAGGGGTGGCGTCCGCACACACACACACACAGTGTGACACGTAATAAAGAGCGGGTCGGCCGTCGTTCGTGATGCAATCATTTCGCAACACCTGGAGTTGAAGGGTTTGAAAGTGCAGCGATGGTATGGGGCCACAGTCGATTGAGAGAAAGTTAAGAAAGCGAAGAACAGGTCAGATCGCGCCATCAAAAAGAATCAATGCCGATGCAGACCAGGCAAGCACAATTGGGCTTGTGCATCAATGCCCTCGAGCAAGCAAAGGGGTCGCCGACAAAGTCGTTTCGCCACATGCCGTCGGCTGGAAGTTCTGTGAGGAGCCGGCCAACGCTTCTTCCACTCATTTACTGTTTTATGGATATGCAAACTTCGCATTGTGTCCTATGATGTTTGTGGCACTGGCGGCCACGGTGCATGCTCTTCGTCATAGGCATTGTTGTTGTAGGTGTGTTGTGTTGCAAACAACTTTGCAAAATGCCTTGGCGAAATTTTGCAGAATTCTGCTGCATAATGTAGCATAATTGTGTATACATACAGCATGTGCAAAATGCACGCAGATCATGTCGAGGCCATCCCAGAGCTTTGGACGATGCTGGCGGCAGCAGGTTGCCTGCTGTGGATGAGTCACAGGTGTTACAGGCCCACTCCGTGCTGCAAGTGCTGGCAGCTGGCATTGATCAGGCTTTGTTAGCCGTGGTCATTTCCGGCAGCCATCTGGCTTGGATAAGCCGCAGCCAGGTTCTTAGTGGAAACTCGTACGCAAGCACATTGTGTTGTAGTGGCATGTCGTGGTGCATGTTACGCGACAAGATGCGTCATTGTGCTGCCATGCCCACACTGCCATGCCACACTGCGCCACACTGCCAACTATCACACTGCCACATGTGCGGGACCGTGAGTCACCGTACTCGCCAGGACCCGCCCACAAGCATACCAAGAACAGCATTTGGCGCTCTGCCACACCCAATGCTCTATCAGAGCCCCAGGAACCGGCAGGAAGACGCGTTTTGAGGTTGCATTGCTCATTGTTGCCTAGGTGCAGAAGTCACGCGCTGTCCGACTCTACCCAAATGGCGGCATTGTTATAGGCACTGCCAGCGCGAGGGCGCACAACGATCTTCATTGCAGGTAGCTGTCGTGTATGTGTTCTCGTCAGGACATCTATGCGCAGCGCACCAGATGTACTTCCACCTCAAGCTCGATCTGCAGCGCAGTGTTCTCAGATGTTCTTCGTGCTCCAATAAGACAGCGCTGCAGTCGTGCCCATGGCCGGTTTCATTCACTGTCAGGTTGAGAGTGTTGGGCCTTGATCCTGCCAGCCCTGCAGATGTTACTCAAGTGAAGAGGGCATTCAGGCACGAAAATAGCGCGAATGGGGCAGCTTTCGTGTTTCAGCTCCTGTTTTTGATATGCTGACTTATGCAGGAGGAAGGTGGCACGTCTTCACCCAGACTTGCAAGGCGTGTTTACGCAAGTTTGCATGCAGAGTCAGGCAGTTGTCGGACAGGTGGGTCAGCGGAAGATTCGAGCGAGTTCATGGCAGTCTTAGACGCGTACGCTGTTTTGACGGGCCGCCAACGTAGGGGGCTCGAAATGGACGAGAGCCACTGAGTGCTTCTCGGATTTTTTTTTGTCAAGCCGAGTCATCCGAGGAGCGCGAAGTGCCGCTGGTGCCGCTGCCAGCTCTGGGAGGCGGCGGCCGTTTAAGCTTGGCAAGTATGATCAGTTACGTCAGGTTAGGTGTTCCTCAGTGAAGTGCAGGAAGTGTAGGACGCGTAGGAAGTTTATAGGGAGACACAAGAGTTCAGCAGCTCAGGTCTGGAATGGTTTGGCCACCACAGAGTGAAGAAGACCTGGAAGCGCAAAGAGAAGCTGAGTTCTCCAGGCAATTTCATCAGACACATGAACGATAGTTCTTGACAGAGTTTGCTGGGAGGCCCGGAAACTGGCGGTGGAGCCAAAGTGGAGGTTACAATCCTGGTGATTTGAACCAGGCAGATGAGCGGCTAGTTGAAGTATGTCTGAGTCTTGCCATAGATGCTGCAGGTCTGGGATGAGATTGGCTACAACCCGTACACAGGAGAGACTCGGAGCATTCTGTCCGCAAAATCATGTTCTGCTTTGCTGAGAAGCTTGCAGAGCCAAGGAGTATCGGGAGCCAGAGGAAAGGCAAGCTGATGAGGAGAGCTACCTGGCTACCCCAAACGAAGCTTTCAATGCTGGTTGTAGCAGTATGTAGCAGTAGCAGCTACATTGTCAGGAGTGGGTTGAGCCCCCAACTTGGGCGACAAGCTGGCGCCTTAAACTCGCTCAGCAAGAGAACTTTCAGTGTTGGTATGAGCTTGCAGGTCGGCAGCCCGACCCGAGTCCACCCCCTTCGAGGTATGCATCGGAACTGAGAATTACTTAGCATATATATATATATACATACATAGAAATATGCACACTGCATAACACTACATAACACTACGCAGACTTTCCTCCAGACTTTGGTTTGCAGGCCACGGCGATCGAGACCTCCGCAGGAGCCGACAGCAGTTGTATTCGCGAAAGCGCATGTCAGACCTATGACACGACAGTCAGAGTGACAGCATTGACAGCCACTTGTGCTTGTTGAAGGAAGAAGCCCCCGAGCTTCCCCTAGAGGTTTTTCCGTACCTGGCCATCATCGCTGTGATGGACTCTTACTTCGTTCATTGCAGACTATCAGAGGTGGGGTCCAGTGTGTCCAGTGTGTCCATTATCCCCAGGTCGATCTACTTTGCGTTGGTTCCGGAGCAGCTGCGATCGCCCCAGTGCGTCCCAATCTGCAGAAGTGGATGGCCAGTTTACTGCGTTCAGTTTGTTGGTTTCTTTTGACTGATGTGAGAACTCGGTGCGTCAGAGTCGGGACATGACCCATGACCGGTTCCAAGGCCCTGGATCTCAGAAGAGGAGCGAGATCGACGCCTGGCAGAGGTGGAACGCATGGAAGAGCTCAAAGCCAAACAGTCCGGCCCTTGACGCCTTCTTTCAGCTAGAATTCATCGTGTACGTTGTTTGCATGCCACAGTTTTCTTGCTCGAGGCTGGAACAGCAGCTGGGACCGCAACACCACTTTCCATCCCATTTCAATGGCCTTTTTGTTGAGCTTTGCTTTGCTTTTTCAAGCACATAATGCGCTGTTTTCTCTGCGGTTCATCGTTTGGCAGGCGACGGCTTGAAGAACTCTTTTGGAGGCAGAACCTGGAGAAGTGGCAGAAAGAACAGCTCTATGTCCTAGCCTCGGCCGGCACCTGCTGATGCTCGATGCGACACAGCCCGAAGTCAGCCCGAATTCACCTTCAGGGCCAGGCGGAACTCGTGACTCCTGAGGAGGACGAGTTGGCTCCCTAGGGCAACGCTTTATGACCGTTCTTGGTCGGGTATCCTGCGCTTTTTCTCAGTTGCATCCACCGAGGCCGCGGGTCAAGCGCTCAGGTGACGCATGGGTCATCGAAGACAGCATGGATGCGGCCAGTGTTAATTCGTGATGGTAGTCTGTGTTCCATCGTTTGGAATCCTTGGCTGCACCTGGCAGTCATTGGGACAGAATCCGGCCAGTTGCATTGTGATCGCTACAGGGATGCCTCGGACCTCCTCAGCTTGTGTCAAAGCGCCAAAACATAATTGCAAAATGCAACTGGTGAAATTCGACGACGAGCTTGCAGTGTCCGCTATGTTCATTGCGCGTTTCCTCGTCATCTTAGTTCTTCGTGTTTCTTCAGCTTGTACAGCTCCGATCTGGTTTGGGCCGAGGGCTTCGGCTTGCAAAATCCCATATCGAGGAGCCTCCTTAGACCCTCCTAGGTGTCCTGATCGTATGTTGCAGTTTCATCCGATTGGCGCTCGGCTCGACTGCTACTTTGGCTGCAGGTGAAGTCCCCAGCACAATAGGCTTCAGCTTGGGGTTGTATCTGTTCCATGCACTGAGTTGCTGAGTCCACAGCTGAGTTGCTGAATGTTGGGATGCGCAGCGGTCAGCGGTGTGATCCTGTAAAGGTAGTAACTGAGGCCACCCATGGCCTCATTGCCGGAGCTGCAGGACAAGGTGCCTTTGCCAGAACTTTTGCGATTCTGTCGAAGCTTCTTTGTGAGCACAAGCAACTTGTTGCCGCACCGGTGCCGGCTGCCTTCGCCTTCGTTGTCCATGAACGGGTTTGGCAGCTTTCTGGGACCTGTCGACGTGTGCAAATGCGAAGCCTGATTGTATGGGTGCACTTGTGCCAGCCCAGACAAATGCCAACGCTTTTGCCTGCGAAGGTCAAATTGAAGTTGAAAGATGTGTGTGTGTGGCAGGTTGCTGACCTGCAAAAGCAGAATGAAATCCTGGGAAGCGGCCTCATTGTTTGATCCCAACTAGAGACTTGCGGCTTGAAGCCAAGCGGGACCCCGGGCTCTTTACCAGGCATGGAGAACGAGATGCTCGCGGACTACCTCCAACGCGATGCAGAGAGGACTTCTGGCCTGGAGGATACCGATGAGGCTCAAACTCCAGATGATCTTTCTGATGTGTCCTTGTGCAGCCGCGTCAGCTTGCATGTGCAGCACCGGTCGGCTGTGCAGGCCTTATCAGACCTGCCATCTTCACCTGTTGACAAGGGCAAGAAGGCAAAGTGCTAGCAATGCTAGCATGGCATCCTGCCAATGCTTCACAAGGCATGTGCTGCAATGACCACAAGTGAGGCAGCCAAAGGTGGCCGGCAAGGTCAGCAGCCGTGGGCTCAGACGAGCTCTCCACATTCAGACTGATGCCGTGGCACGTTCAAAGTTCAAAGGCGACGGCAGTTGCCGACAGCATTGAACCTGGAGGACACTGGAAATACATGGAAATACTGGAACCACTAGAGTGCTCGGCTAGGTCACGGAGCAAACGCTAGTGGCACTGCCTGTGCTTTCTGTTGCCCAGCCCTTCATGCAACAAGGACAAGTTCAGGATAGCAAACCAAGAGGCGCAGCGTTTCTTCACCATGCTTGCTGGCTGTGGGATGTCATGTGTCTGTTCCGCAGATGGAAGCTTTGACAAAGGATATCGCGGCGCACTGAGAAATGGAATCGTTGAAAGGGCCGCGAAAGCATGCAAAAGCCCCCCTCCGGTTCTTTTGAAGAGCTCGGCTCGCAGCAGCCGGCAGAGGGTCATGGGGATGGCATAGGATGGGGATTGCCAAATTGCAGAGCCTGGCAAGGAATTTAGGAGAGCACGTTCTGTGTTGAGCAAGAGCTGGCATTCGGATTCACGAGATGTGTAAGAATGCCTTCATGACATGCAAGTGCCTGTGGTGATCCATGCGTCACCATTGGGCGTCCCAGCTCGGGTTGCTGGAGCATCATGGCCCCCTTCGACTTGTCGATCCAAGTGTTCGACCAGCGTGTCCTGCACGAGCTTGGCCTCGCCAAACTTTGCGCACGTTGCAACGGCCATCGCACTTCCCATCGGGGTTCGCTCCGTGGTTCGGCGTCGGCTCCGGGTCCCTTTCCGAGCGCGATCCAGAGATTGGGTGCAGCCAAAGAAGCGTCAGCTGAGAGGTCCGAGAGGTCCAAAAGGTCCAACAAGTCCAGCTCGGCCTGAAGGAGTGCAAACCTCCTCCAAGGCAGGGCGCCGGTGATGACACAGTGTGACGCTTCAATGTTTGAGTTGGGCTTTCGTTCATGCAGGAGGAGTTGCAGCTCCCATGCTTTTCGATGCGAGATCCCTATGCCTCGCTGCTGTGGAGAGCTGAGATAAGATGGCCATGTCAGATCCAAACGAGCCGTCACATGCAGCACCCTCATATCGACTTGGACGGCCAGGCTGCATGGCGTTAAGACTGTGGAAACACGAAACCACCCTATGCTCAAGGGAGTGGCCGGCTTTTGCCCCAGCATGCCTGGATTCCATGTCAGGTTGCATATGGTTGCATCATGTTGTTGCAAGAGTTCAACTCTCTGAGTCTCTTTGCCGAGAAAGGTCCTTGCCTTCTACACGTGGGACATAAGACTATGGATGAGGGAGCTGTGGCCCCAGAATGTCCCAGCCAGCACATGTGTTTCAGTTGAGTTTTCACCTGCCGGCGAGTTGTTTTTGTGGTCTCTCAACGATCACAAGGAGTAGCAAGGAAGATTGGCTCCGACTTCCTGAGCGTCTTTACTTCCCATGTCAGGGCATCTTCATACATCTTCACCATTGTCTTAAAAAATGCGAGCGTTACTCCGTGTAGTCTACGTAGCTACTGTTTCGCATGCAGGTGCAGGCCTTGCCAGAAACAAACGATCCGAGTCCCGAAACTGAGTCGGTACAAACGCACCCCCGGGTCAGAAATCAGGAAGGTCCGAGTCGAGTCAGAAAAAACAGGGCGAATGTGACAAGGGTTTTTAGGATGTTTTTGTTTTTAGGGTTTAGGGCTTTTAGGTTTGGGGTTTTTGGGCTTTAAGGTTTTTTGGAGTTAAGAGGTTTTTTCCCGTGACAATTTTCCGACTCGCCGCTTCGGGTTTGCTGGCTCGGCCCGGGCCGTTTTCAGCGGGCATGTTTCGACTCGTTGTTTCGGCTCGGTCCCCTCCTGGTCTGAAGCTTTCCTGCAGCATGTTGGTTCGATTCCGAACAGTATGTGAGCGAGCACGGCCTCGTGAGGCGGCGCTGGAGTTCCTTTGGCGACGCAGCCTGCTGGATGACCAAGATTTGGATCGAATGCTGAAACCTCCAGATGGTCTGGCCCGCGGCCAGGTGGATGTAGTTGGGAGATCAAGAAAGGTTTGAACAGGGATTGGGGCATGCATGATGGCATGGCTTCAGGATCTGGCAGAGAGTTGCAGAGGCTAGCAGAGACTGTTCAGGTTCTGGGCCTTCTTGATCTCGATGCCACCCGACAGAAGCCAGACTGTGTTGGAAGCAGAGTTGGAAGGGCTTGGTAGGGCCTATTTTTTCTAGATGCTTGTAGCTTGGAAGGGTAGCACACTTTTGACATGAACTGCCCTTTCAGCTTGAAGCGCGTTCATTTTATGTACACATCCGGGGATTCAGGTACACCCCAGATGAGTTGAGGCTGGGGCTTGCGGTGTCTTGTTGCCACTTCCTTAGCAGCTTCAATGTTTGCGCAGCGATTGAAGCACTGTCTGGCAGATGGGTGGGTTCCTGCGCCATCCTTGAAGCAGTTGTAATTATACCGAGATTTGTTCCGACGTGAACAGCTGCAACATGCCCTCTGTGCCTCACATCGGCGACAGACTCCCCTGAGCCTTTTCGAGGTTGTACTTCATACACCGACTCTGCAATTATCAATCGTGTGATCTGAGCCCTGCAGGTCACCAGAAGTTCAAAATGCGGTGACTTCCGAGGCAAGCGACAAGCAAATAAAGGACGTCCTGTGTTTATCGATTGCAGAGCTCTCTGTCTTCTGTGCAGAGGCTGTGGGGAAATGGGCGACTCCCGTTCGCGGTGCATGGTGGCTGCAGACACCAGTCCGCGAAAGAGGCAGCAGACAGAACCAAAAAATATCGAAAAATGAAACTTCGGCGTAAGGACGCCTAAGATCGCCAGCAGATACTAGCAGTTTTGTCATCCTTTCCATTGACTGTTGCACAGCTGCAGGGCAGCCTGGTGTGTGGACGGTACGATTTCCGAGAATCCTGGCATCGAGTTCGTTCTGTGTCTGTCTGTGTAGTAGTATAATTAGTATAGGTTATGTTGCTATGTTGCACATTCAGCACCACGCTGTGTTGACTTGGCGCACCTACCACTTCCCTGCCAGAAAATGCAATTAAGACGAGAACCCCGAGAACATCCATCTGCTGTCTCGCCGCTGCCCGAACCATCCCTTGAATTCGCATGAACGATATGAGCCAATCAGCGAAGTGAGGATCTGTGGTGCCGAAGGCAGCTTTGACTCTCTTCAACCAGTCCGCGACCGAGGCTGCTGAGCCGGTGCAAGCACCCTGTGAAAGTTGAAGCACACTTGCAATAAGGCCAACGATATCTGATGCTTGGCTGAACATGTGGCCCGGGCACGTGCCCACCCTTCGCGATGAGCTGACACTTAGGGGTCAAACAAGGTTTGTGCTGGCAAGTACAGAGGTCACGTCCCGTCTGGTCGTCACCGAGTCTCAACTTCTGCCAGAACAGAACGCAGCATCCACAGATGGTTCAGTGCAGTCAGGCTTCAAAATTCGCTGCAACCGTGCAAGACCTGTGGGATGCGGCACATCAAACCGACAACTCCAAAGAGACTCATCGGGACTCCTTGAATCTCTTTGCATGCATGTCCTTGCTGTCCTTTGTTTCTCCGTGCATTTGCGTGTGAAAGCTTGAAGTAGCTAAATCGTGTAGGTATAGGTACATCTCCTGGACAGAGTTTTGCTTGTAATTTGATGCGCTTGAGCACTGAGCACTGTTCTATCGTGCCTCGGCAGAGGCCGAGGCTGTTGTTAAACTATTCAAGAAGCATGCGTGCTGTAGCACGTCGCGGAGCCGAGCGATGACAAGCACGGAGTAGGCTTGCGCAAGCTACATTGGGGCTGTCTTTCCGTCTTTGAAGCACCTAAGTTGCATTCTGCTCGCATGAATCTTGTCTAAGGATGTGGCATCTTTGCCGCTTCTCATGGTCTTTGATTTGGATGGAGCCATTTTGCTGAAGTGGCATGAGCTTTACAAGCTGCACAACCTGCTGTCCATGCCCTGGGTGGTGCAGCATAGTTGAGGTTTGCTGGTCTCCCGAAATGTGCCTTGTTTGGAGATGAAAGAGTCACGATTTCAGAGATGGGGACTTGTTCCATGACAGCACATGTCTGTTTGATCGTCTTCGAATGATATGATGTATGTGAGCAGCGCCATTGCGATGCGCCAAGGTACCAAACACGGGGAGGTCCACCCTACAACCTTGTGGCACAGGGCTTGGTGAAGAACTCACAAGACGAGGTGCCCTGGCAGTCCTGTGGTACAAGTCAACTCCGAGTTTTCTGTGTTCCCTATGCAGCCTATGCCTCGTGACATTTCTGAGGAGATCCGGCTCTTCCCGGCAGTCCAAGCAGTTTGGAAGATGCCCCTTGTCTGAGGAACGAGCCTGCCAAGCGTTTAGTGTGTCAAGGTGCAGCTGTTTTTTTGGAGGCCTTCCGTTCATTTCTGATCCGGCACGTCATGACGCAGCTTTTCGGCTGTCACTGATTTAGAACGCTTAGAGGAGACAGCGCCATGGCAACCTTCCGGAGTAAGTCGAAGCTTGGAGCTTTGCTCGCCGTCGCCGCCCTGATGGCCTTGTACTCCCAGCTGCCCGCATTCATGGCTCCTTTGCGTGCTGCGGCATTGGCCGGAGTGTTGGCTGTTGGAACCCAGAGCAATGCTGCCGTGGCTCACGTGGCAGACAGCTATGTCGTCGACTCCTCCAACATTGTCTTGGCCGAGGATCTGCCAGTCTCCATGGGTGGCAAGGGTGGCGGTGGCCTGGATGGAACATACACCATGAAGGCTGGGGCAAAGAAGAAGGACTTCATTGATGACGAGAAGTTCATCAAAGCCGACGAGAAGTTCGAGCAGAAATTCGACGAGTACATCGGTGTCTTTGGCATCCTGTTTGTGGGCGCTTTTATCGCCCCGATGGTGACGTACTTCTGGTACGTGCGCGACACCGACCCTTGGGAGAACTAAAGTACTGAGAGACCTCTGATGAAGCCAACAGGCAATGTATATACGTTCACCAACCCTGCAGCTGTGATTGCAGGGGCAAGTTTTCGCGTTCTCAGGTACACTGTGTACAACACAGCGTAGACTTGGCAAAAAGGAGATCTGCATTTCAACTTCAAGCTTCAAAGTATGCACTTGCTTGCTAAGGTGGAGGTGGTCGTATTTCTTCTGTCTGCTTGAATTGCGTGCGCCCGAGGTTTCACAGTCCAGAAGCCCGTTCACGAGGCGTGCGCGTAGCGGTGGCAAGCTGCTCGGATGCAGACTTCGAGAAAGTTAGTTATGAAGACTCTCAATTATGCTTTTCGAACATTCGTTTTATTGCATATGCCGTCTCTCGGTTTCTTGGATGTGGTGCCGGCGATGCACAGAGGCAGCTCTCGCAAGCACAAGGCGGTGCCTTTGCTGAAAACGATGGAGATTGCGCCGGGTGTCTCCATGATGGATGTGATCGATCCCAGGCGCCCACCCCCCCTCGTGAGTGGAGAGCTGCGAGAGATGGTGTTGATTCTTGTACCAGGCTCTTCGAGATGTACTTTCGCCGCGGTGAGTACAAGCGCCCCCACCTCGAGGTCGTCTCGCGGTTGTATTCTGGGGTTCTGGACTGAAAAGAAGAGATTTTGTAAAAACATGCCAGGCGCTGCTTTCCAAATCCGGAGTTTCTCCCAACGACGTCCTTTTCGTGGACGACAACGCACAGAATGTGCAGTCTGTCAGGCTCAGTAGATGGGAGACGGTCCCGCTGCAGCTTTGATTCTGATTGGTGTCAAGTTGCCAGGAGCTTGGGCGTGCATGCGGTCCACCTGCCTGAGGGACTCTCCGAAAGATCCTGGTCAGTTGCTCTGGACAGTTTCGTCGGGTCCAAGTCCAGGTGAAGCCCTCGCTAGTCGCTAGTCTTTGGCACCGAGACAGTGTCCGCATTGCTGTGTCACTCCAAAAAGCCTGCGCTGCGTGACTCTGTGGCAATCGCAAGACAATCAAAAAGAGGGCTGGTGAGACAGGTCGTGAGGCAGGTCGTGAGGCAGGTCATGGGGCAGGTCATGAGGGAGGTCATGGCACCCGAGGCACAGACGAAGTTGACATCCGATCAGAACCTTGACATCCTGAAAGCATTGATGGAGGACGAAGCAAGCAGAGGGTGTCAGCTACAAGCGCCGGCACCAGGTGTGAGCCTGACGTCATCAGTCGGTCCCTTGTGCAGGAAACAGACATCAGGATAGCAGAGGTCAAGCGGGATGCCTACGAGTTCAGGCACCCTGTCCCCCATCTGCCCCCATCAAATATTGCTCGAGTATTGATGGCCTTCAGCCAGGCGCGACATAGTCGTGGGTGCAGAGAATCCTCGAACTGGCAAGACCGTTGCTGAGAAGGCCTGCGCTCTTCCGTGATAGTGCCAAGCATCTCGACTCTACCGTACTATATTCTCCATCCTTGCGGCATGGTGGCAGCAAGGCATGATTTTACTAGTGGTGCCAGGTCTTAAAGTACATGGAGGACAAGCTGACGCAGAAGGCTGGAGTTCCCAATAGTTCCCGGCATTTCCATTCGAAAGAACATTCTAGGACCCTGGCTTGTCTTATGTCTCAGCTGATCTTGAGGACATGCAGATCAACAAGCTTCTCATGAAGAACCAGGCATACAAAGTGGCCATCAAAAAGGCAGCGTGCGCCGCATGCAGTCCATGACGATTCGGACTGGCAAGCTGGGCAAAGGCTGAGCAGCAGCTGAAGTCGAAGGCAGAAACAGGTGACGACCTGCAGTACATCGTGCGCAGCTGAGTTGGAGGCTAGCCACAAGTAGAAGGTAGAAAGATCCCTGCGCCCTCAGGACTTTCATCAGCTGCAAATCGAGAACTCCCAGTTCGTTAAACGCATTGAGGAGGCGAATCAGGACGGCACGACTTTGTGGTTATAAGGCCTTTCACGTCGGCGCCTCCATGTGTTCCTGGCCGAAGGAGCTCATTGAGCTGAAACGACGCGCTGGGAGAACGGCCTTGACCTCAGCAAAGACAATGGCCAGGCAGAGGAACTCAACTGAACTGCCTGAATGGCCTTCGGGCCATGTCGATGCTCGAATGATGCTCAGACATGCACATTTTGGGGCTTTGGGAGGAGTCCACGATGTCCCACGTAAACTGTTTTCAGAATGCATGGTTGATTCAGAGGGGCACCCGAGAGCCGAAGTTGTTTGGGTGCTCTGTCCTGGTGGCACTGTGGCCCTATATGAGAGATGGGGTGGCATCTCTTTTCGCTTTTGTTCTGTGCTGCTTTGCCGGTGCTGATGGCGGTGGCTCTGCCGAGCCAGGGTCAGACTCTCTGCCATTTCGAGTGTTCCAGGGTCTGTGGAGGGGGAAGCATGGCTGGACTGGAACGGAGTTCACAGGCTGGTGGTGCAATGGCAATCTCTCAGAGGACCCTTGGTGCCCTCAGCACCAGAATCGTGAGGACACTAAACCACTGGGGAAGAGACAGCTGTTGGCAGTTCCCAACAGATCAGACTACACATGCGATGTTGCTTCCACATGTTTTGGGTTGCTGCGGGCGGGCCTCAAGAAAGTACAAGCTGGTTATCAAGGTTGCGAAGCTCATGTTCTGCAGTTCCCGAAGGCCAAGTAATAAGTAAGGTGCATTTCAGCAGGTCAAGATCTTAAACAACATGAAGAAGCGGCTAAGCAGCCTCACTGCCGAGGCAAAGTTGTTTATGCATCTTAGTCTTAGTTTGTTGACGAGAATCCGTGAATTGTTCGCATGCAGGCGAAGTTCCTGGAAGATGAGATCAAAGAGCGGAAAGCCATGCTTGCAAAGACGGAGCATGACATTGTCAAGGTCGTCGAGGACGCATCGCCTCGAACCCCAACCACTCAACTAACAACTAGCTCTGAGCACAGTACCACGCATCCCAGTCTTCAAGGAAAAGGAAGCAGCCAGAAAGGAGCACAAGAAGCTCCGAGCACAGCCTGGTTCTCATCATCAGTCTTGACTTGTCATGCCCACACGCACCTTTTCAACAAACTGTTCTGAGGTCTCGGCAGTCCCCTGAAATGCCTCAAGTCGTGGGCGTCTCAACAAAGTTCCTGCGAACCTCGATGTCCTAGAAGTCATACCTCCCATTGTGCAGGTGGACTACGTAAGCCAAAAAGCGGAGGCCTATGAGCTGGAGGCGCTTGCATTATGTCAGTATTATGTCTCGGGGTTCGTGTTTCCACGCGCAGTGGACATGAATGCCTCGCTGCGCAGGCGCAAAAGCGCAACTGGGAAAGGAAAGTGGAGTTGGTTCGATACTCAGAAGGGCTCAGCTCGTGGCAGCTCCATTCACACCACTTTCTGCCGTTTCTGTTAGCTAGACTGACGCATCTGTGACACAACTGGACACATGCCTGACTCGACACGAAGTGGCCAGAGGATGGCACGCTGATGGTAATGACGACTTCAGGGGCTCCAGCGCTACAGCAGCTGACACGCCATCACGAGCCCCAAACAAACCTTGAGCTTGAGCGCGGAGCACCTGCAACGTAACAGTCGGTGTGATAGCACATGTTGGAAGCGCATGCAAAATCGGCTCCGCCACGCAACGTGCTCCAATCTGTGCATCTCAAGGCGGAGACTGCGGCCAAGCGCATTCGTCAAGCTGTGAAAAGTGGAACACAGCTGTCGGACCCTCAGGTGCTGCTGTGTGCAGCAGTGCAGTATCTGAAGATATCTGAAGCCTTTGGGGAATGCTTTCTAGCCTTAGCAGTCGCATCTGAGACCTAGGCCTGGCCGCAGCTGATTGTACAGGACATGCCCCGTGCCGGACAGCAAATGAGCTCGAAAATCTGATTTGTCTTGGCTGCATGTAGCTCGCTCATCTCCGGTGCACGAAGTGGTTTTGGTCTTGGTCAAATTGGCCGGAGACCCGAGCTGCTGAAAACATGTCACCCCAGCAATGAAACATGTTCCGTTTCACTTGCCGATTGCGAGATTAACGGCTCTGTGAGCAATTAAGCCTGAAGCTGCACGCTTCTGGATGTTTGCAGTCCAGTTTCACCCGAGCCTTCCTTACTTCGGTACTCGTGCAGCGAGATGAGGGAGGGTAAACAGCTGTGGCTGCATGTTTCGACGCACACGTTGGCCAAACTTGATAGCATGCCCGCCAAGCCGTGCTCATGTGCCGCCCTTGGCAACAAGTTCTTCTGTTGCCCGGTGTTGGGGCCCGGTGTTGGAGCTTGGGATTCAAGGCTTCAGGGGGTTCATTGCTATCCGGTGCACCTCATACACCTTCCGGCACAAGTGCTTCAATGGAACCTTGAGATCACGACATCTCGTTGTTTGCGAAGGTTTGAAAAACAACTGCTCCGTTGCATCTTACTTCCAGGCTTGCCCAGGCAGTTTTTTGTTTAGTCGTCATCTCGAGCCGGTCTGAAGCAGATTTCGCGGTCAACCACAAGTTGTTGTGTTCGAGACTGGTTTCTGCTGCTCGCTATGTTTTTGCCAGTAAAGACGCCCTGATTATGCCTGCAGCTCCACATATCTCGTTTTGAAGCACCACACTGAAGAATGAGCATGTCGCTAGCTAGTAGAAGAAGAATCATGGCATTCGCGCGAAGTTCCATGCTCTACAGGCCTTAGCCCACTTGCTTCGCTGCAGATCGAGCCGGCGCTGGAGTCTGCTAGAATGTTGCTTGCGCATCATCCTTCACCTCGTCACTTGCATGCTACACTAGTAGGTGCCTGCAACGAAAGAGGCAGCAGTTTTGCTCAAGAAGCGATTCGGCTTTTGTACATCGGCGCCTGGCTTGAGCTTTTGCCCGAGGCAGGTGCAGCGCTGTTGAATCCGTGATGAGGGTTGTTCATTCGATGATGTATGAGGGACTTTCTTCAAAGATGGCGCCCGCGGCTGTACAGTACGAGGGCAGCAGTCAGGTGGCTGGGCAACAAGTACTGGTGCAGTAGCCTCCCGATAGGACGTGGCAAGGAGCTATGGCATTCTGAACACTTCAGCTGAGCACGTCAGGGTAACATTCAGAGCTTGAGCGCTCCGAGTGACCTTCGTGAAAACTCTCAAGGCTGGCCCGCGAACCTTGTACGACAAAATTTGGGCAGACCATCTGGTCAATGAGGCCAGCAGCCAAGCCGTCAACAACTTTCATGAAACGGGAGAGAGTGAGACCAGCGAGATCCTATCTTGTTTGAATGCAGCTATGATCTTTCAGCGACGAGGTCTGACACACACGCGCGCGCGCACGCACACACACACACATATGGCATTTCCCTCAAAGGGGTTGTCATTTCAAGAAATCGAATGAGCACACCCTCAATTTGCTATACACTCCTCAGCGAGTGAGACATCGAGCTGTCATTTCTTTACACTCTTCAGCGAGCGATACGTCCGAACCACTGCACCGGCGGATCAAGCTGTCTGAGCAGGTACGTTTTCAGCTCTTGTCATTGGCCTCTTCGTTGGCCATCCACCAATGACAAGAGGGATGGCCCCCTGCATTGTGGAAAAATCTGCCCTTCTTCTGCCCTGTAGACGGACCTACTCTTGGATACAGAGTTTCCACACACACACAACCGGTCATGCCGGTTGTCTGAAATGTCCGGGATGAGCGCTTTATTCAATCGTCACTCAACCTGCATCCAAGGTCAACAAAGACAAATCCCAAACCAAATGGTCACTGTCGAAGGTCGCAAGTGTTCATCGAACCAGGGAAGTTATGATGCAACTCATCACAAGTGTTCTTGGTCGCAACAAGCTTTCACACACATGCAACCGGTCGAAGCCGGCTGTGAAATCTACAGTTCCTGATCTCCTAAAAGGAAAACTAACAAGCATCAGCTCAAAACATCCATGAAGCCATTGATCCACCAAATCTCACATTGAAGACCCATGCCTTCGGCATATCTTTGGTAACCTTCCCTCGCTCCAACTCCAATTCAATCAAAGAACAAGCCGAAGACTCTCCCCCGTCTCCCAACTCTGCTGACGATCAACGTGTATAACGGGACGTGGCGCAGCCTCAACAGTGGCGCACGCACCCCACTACTACACGAAGCAAAAAGAGGAAAGTAGAGAACCCCAAAGATCCTTTACTTGGCATTCCTGAAAGCAAGAACAGAAATCCTTTGTTGGTTGAAACCTCCCGAAGAAGGCAGCTTGAGCATAGGCTCGATTGGGCGCATAATCTCAATGCTCCGGATACTGAATAATTGGTGGTCGCTGAACAATGGATGATCGCTGAACAAGTGTTGGTCACTGAACAGGTGCTGGTCACTGAACAATCAAAGATCACAGCGGATCCTTAGGGTGTTGCTCAGTGTATCTCAGCATTAAACAAAGCAGTCAGTGAAAACATGAACCAACTGCCCTTTCACTTCAAAAGGTCATGGAACAGATCATTGGGTCTGCTCAAGGAATGGTTCTGCTCAAGGAATGGTGGTTGAACACATCAAATTCAGCAAAGACGTATGAACGAATGTCAGGGTGAGGTACGTGAACAAGTGATGGTGGAGCCAGGTGCCAGGTTGGCTCAAGTAGTAATGAACTAGACATTTGATGGTGGTGAACTCGGAGTGGTCACTGAACGTCTGAAGGGTGTCACTCCGAATCAAGTGAACACTGCGGGGCATTGCCCATCACGACCAGCGCTTTGTCAGAATAACTGGCCGGAAACACACATATGGCATTTCCCTCAAAGGGGTTGTCATTTCAAGAAATCGAATGAGCACACCCTCAATTTGCTATACACTCCTCAGCGAGTGAGACATCGAGCTGTCATTTCTTTACACTCTTCAGCGAGCGATACGTCCGAACCACTGCACCGGCGGATCAAGCTGTCTGAGCAGGTACGTTGTCAGCTCTTGTCATTGGCCTCTTCGTTGGCCATCCACCAATGACAAGAGGCCCTGTAGACGGACCTACTCTTGGATACAGAGTTTCCACACACACACACACACACACCCGCGCGCGCGCACGTTGGAATGATTTCTCGAAAGCTTCGCGGTTCCAGGATTTCCCTAAAGACAGGCTCTCTGGATGTGGAGAGCTATCTAGCTTAAGTACAGAAACATATCCAAAGCGTCAGGTCATTTTGGCAACATAAATACGGATTCCAAGATTTTGGAAGTGCGGTTTACTTCGGTTGTCCACACTGCAGGGCACACCCTTGGAATGAGACCAGTGGAACCACATCTCGCACCAACCAGCTGGTTTCATTGGTAAGGTAGCAGTGAGTTGTGTGAGCACATGTTGTGACTGATTCTTGAACAGTGTAGTGTTACACACACACACACACTTGCGTTTGTGCAGAAGGACCTCGCGTGACATTCGCCATGTAGAAGTCTTTCTTACTTTACAGCTTGCTGCAGCATGACCTCGGCCCTGGCTCTTGTGTTTGGTTACGCCTCCATCAATCTGCACACTATGCAGCCCGACACGAGCGCGAGCATGCTTTTTCATCGGAATCCGTTTGATCAACGTCTGCAAAGATGTGCCTACGCATGCTGCGTGATTGTGGCCCTTGTGAGAAAGGACCTTGCAGAACGCGACACCGCCTGCAAATGTCACTAGCTTCAAAGCAGAAAGCGCATCTTGTTTTTGCTGGTGAGAAGTATTCTTAGGTGGTTGTGTGGGTGGTGGTAGTGCTGCTGCTCCTGCTGCAGTGACAGAAGCATTCGGGATTTCTGTGAAACGGCGAAGGCTGATGGTACGAGCCTCATATATATCGATCGACATCTTGTCCACGAGGTAGGGCACTGAGTGTCAGTGAGGGCCAAGGGCAGGGCGCGTGCATGTGCCTGTATTTTCGATGAGGTCACAAGCCCACAGGCATTCGAAGGTTTGAGGCTCAGCAACAGAGAGGCCGCGCACCATGCTCGGGTCGTGCTGGTGTTTGTGAGGCTGCTAGTACACCATTCCAGCAGGTGCGCAGAACAGACTGCACTTTGGCTACGGTGGACCACAATATCCCGACTTCATCCCGCAAGAACTTCAAGGAACAGTCTTCCGAGCCACCAGATCAGTGCTCAGGTTGAGAGAGCCGCGCAATAAGTTTCTCATGAGGATACCAAGAGCTTCATCGAAGAGGCAGATTCGCGGCAGCAGGCAGGCACTCAGTCTTTGTAGTTGCCAAGTGCCTTTGGATGTGGAACCAGGTTGTAACGCTGGAAGACAATGTGCAAGCGTTTGGCTGCGACCACAGTCCACATTCACTTCAGATATGTGTGAGATGGATTCTTTTTGGCAGCTTTTGGATTCAAAACGTGGTATCACAAGTTGTCGCAGAGCTCTGGAGCCACGAAGCACACAAAGCTGAATTCGCTGAAGGCCTTACATACTTTGGAATGGAGGACAAACGACAAGGCATTGTCCATGTCATTGGTCCAGAGCAGGCTGGCCCAAGTTTGGCTGCTGCTTGCAGCTTCGTATGTGATGCAGGTGCAGGTGTTGCTCCGGTCCTGGTTTTCTGCTAGCGGTTATGCTGCTTTAGTTGTTGTTGCGGCATCCGCCGGGGCATTTGGTGCCCCATTTCTAGACACGGTGCAGCTCTGTCTGGTGAATCGACCCAGTGAATGAGCACATGATAGCACATGCATCTTTGCAACTCGGAATGCAGGGATTCACACTCCCGGGCACCACCGTAGTTTGCCATGCCCTTAAGCCCCTGGCTTGGTTTCCCACGACGAATCTTCGGATGCTTTTCAGTATAAGGCGGCGACAGCCACACCTCGACGCATGGAGCATTCGGAGCCCTTGCGTTTGGCGTGGATCCCGGTGGGTAAGGCCAAGGCCGTTGCCGCAGACCGTTGTCTGAGCTTCGCCTGCAGCTCTAAAGAGTCTCAAGGCATCGGAACCTCGGAAGTCGAGCATGTCCTGGCAACGCAGACGCTGCGAGGAGCTCGTCACCTCGGGCAGCCGAGAGTTCTTTCCAGATGCTGGAGGGTTTCAAGAGCACTAAATGAAGCTTCTGGTGGGCAAAAATAAGCTTGTGAGGCTCATGAACAGGGCAAAAAATATGTCGGGCACTCGGCTGTGCGCAAGGCTCTCCACCTCTCAGAGCGGGCTGAAGCCTGAAGTCGCTGAACATGGTGTAGCTTGTCAGCCCCTACCCGGTCGCAAGGCGAGTGAAAGTTTCTGGCAAGCTAATTGAAGGCGTTACATCCAAGGACTCGCTGGGTGCCGCATGTAATTCAGTTTTGCTCCATTGGACTTAGTCTGCAGCTGCAAGCTTCTTGGAAATACTTCCGGCACACGCGTGTCCACCAGCGTACGATCTACACAACGTTTACTTAGTGCGCACAGTGGGCCCTTTAGGTCAAAACTGTGAATCTGCTAGTGCTGCTGAAGTGCTGAGATGTGTTTGAGTAGCAAGCGGGAGACCTTTAGCTGAGACTTCTGAAAGAGCTCAGCACAAGTTACCAGGACCCTGCCCTAAAGCGTCGCGCCACCAAGTAAATAAGTAGCTAGAGTGTGCACAGGTCCTAGTCACAACAGACTGGAACGATGACAGATTGAGGCAGTTGATCAAATACCGCCATTATCCTGGTCGCCCAAGAGCATACTCCTTTTGTTGTAATCTGGCCTTTTGAGAGCTCAAGGAATTCGACTTAAAACTCCAGACTGCCAAACGCCATGTAAGCTCTTTGCAAGCATCGCCTCTTGCAGGATGTGATTTTGCACATCATTGGTGTGATCGGTACTGCCGGTGGTACTGGCAGTGTCATCGAGTATTGCATCTCGTCCGGTTTACGGTTCTTGCATCTTCGAGGTGTGCTTACGAAGTCTTGCTGGATTCGCTTGAGTGGGCCCCGGGCGTCCGAGGCGGAGATGTGTTCGAGAACATGTCCATGGAGGCATCTCTTGTGAATCCATGTCTAGCGGAGTCTAGCCGGCGCTTGCGGAGCTCTGTCATGCTCAAGTCGATTTTTTCAACGGCTGCTCTGGTGGGACGTCTCCCCGTTTCACACCAAGGGCGGACCTGAGAGGTGAGGCTGTGTGTGAGGGACATCTTGCAACCAAAGCCCAGTGTCCTACACACATCGAAACACCCGAAACACAAATGGAAAACACCGGCGAGGCGAGGAACAATCGTGCGTCTTGAGCCCTGTCCTTCTCAGGGCCATTTGACGAGTTTTTGTTAGACAACTTTTGTTTAAACTTGCAAGATCTGGGACTTGGCAGGGCAAGCAGGTGCCAGGTTTCTCATGGCATTCGGCGTTAAGCTGGAGCATGCGTTGGGACGTGGGTCCTGAGTCGATTGACTTGTTTTCCTCCGTATTCCAACTGACGTTGATGATGGCCAGGTTAAGGCGTGCAGGGGGTTGTAGGGGTCAGAGGAGGCTACAGAACAATCAGATGGCGCGCTCCCTTTGGGCCGTTGTCGTCTGGAGGGTTCCAGTACATGTCTCGATATGTTGCGCGCTGAGGCTCATGCCATTCCCAGCACCTTTAATTTTCAACAAAAGTCACGCCTTAGGGGCTACTGATTTCGTGGAGTTGGGCACGTGCACGTCATCTGTGCTCAGGGTCCTCTGACACGCACCAATCCGTTCGTCACACGTTCGCATGTGCATTTCAGCATTAGGAACGAGCTATCCGGTCGAAGGGGGTTGCGCAGCGGGGCAGGCGAGGATGTCCGTGTGCAACATGACCATTGAAGCAGGGGCGCGGCACTAGCCCAAGCGGGTTTTGTCCGAGAATTCGAGCCCTCCTTGACTCTTACTCTTTTCATCCAAGGGCGGGCATGGTGGCTCCTGATGACATTACTTTCAGCTACCTGAAGGGAAGGAGCTCCAAGCTTGACCACGCTGGTTGCACTTTGGCTCACGTTGCACCGCAGGCCCTTGTGCCCCAAAGGGAAAGACTGGGACAAGGCCTGCCCGCTGCTGTTCTCGTCCATCGCCGTTTAAACGTGACAGCTTGCGACAGCTTTGCTCAAGTTCGGAAGTGTTCTTGACCAGGCAGTGGAGTACTGGAAAAGCCTGCGCACCGACAAGGGGGCCAAGTGCCTTGGCTACTTAGTGACAGGTCCGCAAGCACTCCATAGGTGCCCAGAGGTCCCAAGAGTTTGAATGCATTGTGCGTGTGCGTGTGCGTGTGTGAACCGCACAATCGTACCGACGTGCCGTGAGCAGCACCAGGTTTGACAAAGATATCAACATCGATGCCGCTGACATTGCTCCAACAGATTCTTCTCAGCAACACATGTGCTGCATCTGTTCTGACTCTTCTCACTGCACTGCTCATGTATCATCCTTGCCCAGCGCAAAGGTGACGTGGGGCACAAGTCCTGAAGACGTCGTTGCCATTACAGGAACAGTTCCCGATCCCAATGAGGAGCTTCGGGCTGTATGTCGCTCCATTTCTGTCAAGAGGTGTGTGTGTGTGTCCTTCTTTGCAGGCGAAGGATGAGACGAAGAGGACTCGATTACAGTGTTGTAAAGCAGGATCAGTGTGAGTGCCGGTTTTGCTACTGTTTTCAGTGTTGACGGATAACTTTTGAGAGCATGCAGGAGTGGAATGCAGCGGGCGCTGCAGTACATGGGTACGACGCTTGGGTGGAATGGCACTTGCAAAGTTTCTGCCATCGAACCTCCAGGTTTGGAACCTGGAACCAAGATGCAAGACATCTCCGTCCAAAAGGCGCGTGCCGCCAGTAGAGGCCTTTCAGTGGCGCACTTCTGCTCCGAAGATCCTCCAGGTGTTCATAGGATCGTGCACAAACAGCCGGATTGAGGACATGCGCCGCTTGCTTAGGAACTCCTGCGCCTAATCGGCGGAAGCTGGTCAATATCCATCTGCTCCATTTGGAGCAGCAAGACGGAACATAGCTGTGGCTGAAGGTAGTGTGGCCGCAGTCGTCAAGGGCAGAAAGGCTGGGTGCAAGTTCTTGGAGTTTTGGCCATGAGTCCTTTGGGAATCCCGACGTTGGTTGTCGCACTTTCACCATGCCGACGTGCTTGAATCAGAAAGGCACCGAAGCAACAAGATCAAGAAGCAAAAGTTTGGTTAACGCATGCCTTCAAATCAGCAGGAGTGCTTTTTCGGCATTTCGAAGTACTTGTAGGGTTTTTAAGTCCCTGAGTCGAGCCTTTGCCTGCGCTCCATGCCTTCGTGCATGCAGTTCTGATGGTAGCGGCCTCGGCACGCGTTTCAGATTTCAGTATGTTGCGTTGCAGGGCCTTGTTGCCACCAAGGCCGTTAGTCTGAACAGCTTTCGTCTGAAGGCGCCTTGATAAAGATGGCACTTTGGCTGTCCCATGCTTTCTGAAACTGAAATGAATGGTGTGAGTACGAAGGATCCGTTGGATTGGACGCCTTGATCCCAGTAATCGGCGTTGCGTAGTGCCAGCTGCGAGTTGTGGCTTTAGTTCAACGGATTGTAAGGCCAAGTGAAGTGGCTGATTTTCTGGCATCGATTCTGCTCGGCTCCCGAAAGAACAGTAGAAGGAAACCCGGAGTATCCAGGAGTGCTCAGAATGCACATGCTGCCACACAGCATTGGTGCAAGCTGTGAGTCAACCAATCTGAGTCCTGGACATCCCAGCCTGGACTGCTTTACGTACACTTCCGGCTATGCCCCGGGCTCTGAAGGGCTCTCTGAACTCTATGTTCCCTGTGCTGAGATCGCCTCAGGTGTTGTGCTCCTTGGACAAGGAGGACTTGCGCAGGCAAGCAAAAAATGACGAGGCGAACGCGCTGCAGAGAAGGGAAACCCTTCGTGACGTTTCAGAACACTAGTCAGAGAGTGTGCAGGCTGCCAATGTGATTTGGACGGAGTTGGCCAGTCGGCGAAAGGGAGCATCTTGCGCACCGCAGGCCGAGTATTGCTGGTGCCGGATTGGGGAACTCCCAAGAACTGCCAAACTTACCGAGCATCTGACATCCCTCAGGCGACTGGCACGAAGGATCGGGGCCAAGGATTATGATTTTGGAACTCTTCCGCTCAGAACCCGTTTTCATGATCCATGGCACGTCTTGGAATTCTCTTGTTGAGGCAGTTGTCCAGCGTGGCGGGGTCGATCCACGCCAGATTCCCAGAAGCAAGTGATGCAGCTGGGCAATCTGGGCATGGTGCACAAATCCATACTCTGAACGAAATCTGAAGCATCCTGAAACAAACCAAGCAAGGCTAAGCAATGCATCATCCATAGACCCCGAAAGTCCGCATACAGAAGCCTAGATCGCAGTATGCGTCATGTGATTTTCACGGGCAAGGGGCGACTGTGCCACATGGGAGGGTGTAGGCTGTGCTTGCTGGTATTTCCGGTCCAGTTTCACGTCTCTGTCTGTCTCTCTGTCTCTCTCTATCCTCTCATTCTGTGAATATTGTCTCCGTCTCCTTGTCTCCTTGTCTCCTTGTCTCCTTGTCTCCTTGTCTCCTTGTCTCCTTGTCTCCTTGTCTCCTTGTCTCCTTGTCTCCTTGTCTCCTTGTCTCCTTGTCTCCTTGTCTCCTTGTCTCCTTGTCTCCTTGTCTCCTTGTCTCCTTGTCTCCTTGTCTCCTTGTCTCCTTGTCTCCTTGTCTCCTTGTCTCCTTGTCTCTCTGTCTCTCCGTCTCTCTGTCTCTCTGTCTCTCTGTCTCTCTGTCTCTCTGTCTCTCTGTTTCTCTGTCTCTCTATCTCTCTATCTCTCTGTCTCTCTGTCTGTCTGTTTCTCTTGCTCTCTGTCTCGGAATCTCTGTCTCTCTGTCTTACTCTCTGCCTCTTGCTGGCGCTTGCAGCCACAGAACACCAGGAGCTTGAAAGAGCACAATGGCGAAGTAGCGCGACCCAATCAGTCGAGCGGAAGAGATACACTTGAAGGGGTCAGGTTTACTTTAGAGGAGTAAGTCCTCCCAGTCTGAGAGGGTGGTTCTACAGACACAGAACAAGCCAAGAACACGAATAAGTAAAGTACAAAGAGTCGGAAGGAGCCACGGGAGATGAAGCGCAAGTAGACTCTGAGACTCTGAGGAAGCATGTTCACCCTGTACGTCAAGTCCGCGCGGCAAGTGCCCCCTTCAGAGATCTTCAGGGCGGTGCACATTATGTCCGAGTTTTTGAGATCGTTTCAAGAAGTCTAGTCAAGTCTAGTCAAAGTGCATTTTGTGTGTTTGGAATGTCTTGTTGCAGTTCTAAGATGCCTTTGAAACACGCTTTCGAGTGTAAGGGCGCTGCGCTGGAGCTAGAAGTGGCTCCCACAGACAGCGTGGCATACCTCAAGGTCGCTGCGATGTTGTATCTCAGGTAATGTAGAAGGCAGCACATACTGGCAGCACATGGAGAGGCACAAGAAAAACTGCCAGGCCCAAATCGCGGTGCATGAGGGCACACCTCCGGAAAGTCAGCGGCTGGTAATTTCCGGCACCACAATGCAGGACGTCGACAGTATGGACATCTCACATCTCTTTCAGGCATGCAGCAGCAGCAACCTCACCAGCATTCTGTGGCAGGACGAACGATCTCTGACTTCATATGGGCAGTCGTCTCAGAGGGTGAGTTCATGCGGGAGTAAGCTGCCAAGCGACTTCAGTACAACTGGTTTTCAAGGCTGCATCATGGCGACTCCGTGTTGCTCGTGCCATGCCTGCGAGACCAGGCAAGGGCCTTGAATGCAAGTTCGAAGTCTGAGAGCGCAAAGTGATGTTACTTCGCCGTTCGTACGTCCTCAGTCAGTTGGGTGTGTCCTCCATGAAGCAGACGGTAGCGACCCCTGGTTCTGCTTGGAAGGTTCGACAAAGACCTGCGTGTTTTGCTCCTCGGGGCCTTCTCGCCTTGCCGGGCAGCAAGGCCGATGCTAGACTCTGCTAGACTCTGCTAGACTCTGCTAGACTCTGCTAGACTCTGCTGGACTCTGCTAGACTCTGCTAGACTCTGCTACACTCTGCTACACTCTGCTACACTCTGCTACACTCTGCTACACTCTGCTACACTCTGCTACACTTGTGCAGGCTTGGTCACCCTCCTCTCGAGCTCCATTTTTGCCAGTCCTGTTCACGGACGCTTCGTTCTTGGCAACGCGACACCTCCTGAACTCTTTGATTGCTGTCACATCCCTCATCGATCAGGTCTCGCGAAATTTCCCCATTAGCTTGGAGTTCGCCAACGTGACAGACTGTGAGGCCACCCTGCTCAAGAAGATGCAAAGAGTCGTTTTCTTTCGACGATGAGATATGCAGGGCCGTAGAGCATGAGTCGTTTCACTTCGTGCAAGTTCCCGCACCCTTCATGCTTCGTGCTGGTAGTCCATCGTCCCAAGTTTCCCAGCAACTTAGAAACCTCCTTTGGAATATGTGAGAGTAGAGCGTCGTTGTCACCATATGCTCGCTTGGGTCGGTGAGCCTGTCCTAGGCAACCTTCAAGACACGCTGAACACAACCTCCAGCTTATCTTTGCTCGCTGAAGGCTTTCGCCGAAGCAGCGAGATATGCTTGGAACCCGGCCGCGTGACCATTTCATCCACGTGAGAGAAGCTCCGTGCTTGCCCACGGTGCAAGTCTGCTTAAGCTCAGACGCATGCGATTCTGCAGGTTCAATTGATCCAGCCTTTGTTTTGCTTTTTATCTTTCTCTCTCTGTCTCTATCTCTCTTTCTGTTGCTTTCTGTCGCTCTCTGCGATCGCCGCATTTGTCTGCAAAGGGTTTACGTCTCCTTAAACTAAGGCGCCACCCTGGTTGGAAATTCTGTCGTGCGCCAAGAACAATTTGCTTTGCACGCCCAGGAAAGGCTAACAAGGATCGGCAGAGCAAGTTGGGGTGATATGCAGATTGGCCATCTGAGCTTCGCAGAAAGGATTTCCGTGCAGAAGCGAGGGACGCGTCCGAGTGACAGACGCCAAGGGATGCTAAGGGAGTTCATCGGTTTCTCAGTAGTTGCCCCCCCCCCCCCCCCAAGCCCCGAGACTTGGCTGCCGGGCTAAGGGCAATCCTTGACCCTGGAACTGTGCCAAAACATGTTCTAAGTGTATGGTCTACGCATGTTCTATGTATGTTCCAGCTTCTACTCAGGCCGGGTGCTCCAGGCCGGCCGCCGGCAGAGGCCGATGCGTGGAGACGTGTACAGATATATGATATGCGTAGAGATGTGTGTAGAGATGTGCGTAGAGATGTCATGTGTGTAGGGATGTGTGTCGCTGTGTGCAACTGCGCGAGGCCAAGTGCAAGCTGGATCCGGATCACGGAGCAGTGATTTTGGAGGCAGAGATTTCGAGATTCTTTTTTTGCGGCTTCTATCTGTGTATCTTGGTGAGGCAACCAATGGCCGCGTGTTCCTGCCAAGCACAAGCTATAAGGCACTTCGGCCGTAGGTTCTGAGACCTTGCTTCCATGCAGCCATCTGCCCCAAGTTCAGGCCGTCGCCCACTTCGGTGGCCGTGGAGGACAAGTGGAGGCTGGATAAATCTGGGTAATGCTCGGACAATTGAGATTTGAGAAGACGTGCTGCTCCAGGTCTCAGTGGTGACAGGTTCAGCGGTTTCTGCGTGCTGAAACAGGCACGCAGGCTGCCTGAACAGATGCTGCCAAGCTTTTCCAAGCTTTTTGTTCAACTAGATGGTTAGCCAAGATCAGAAAGAAGCACGGTGGCTTCTGAAGGGTAAGACCCCTCTGTAAGGCAGAATGGTCTTTGGAGCATTGTGGCTCTGCGAAACTCAGAGAATCTGAGCTTCAGCCGTACGCGACAGTCTCACAACAGGTGCAGGGAGTGGGAAGGGCAGCAGATCTGACAGGTTGTAATCTGTCAAGCACACGTTCTGCGAACATGCAGCACCTCTCATCTCAAACGTTGTTAAACGGCCGCAGCTTAGCATCTTTGCGTGTCCTTCTTGATCGAGGCACGCATTTCCCACGTTGTGTCACACCTTAGAACGGGTGGATGCCGTGTGCAACACACAGCGGCGGCTGGGCATCCCCTATACTCCCCCGAGATGCCCAAAATGCATCTGCGGGATCTCGTGCTTGGCTCTGGCTTGAGCGCAGAGAGGGTTTGGCCGACAGTTCGTGTGAAGAGCACCTAGTCGCACAAATCGAGTCGACCTCGAGCCAGAAGGAGCAAATACTGCTCTTGCGCCATCCGCGTTTAGCAAGGCCTGAGAAGCTGCTAGTGGAGTTCTGAGGCAGTGCCTTGTGCCAGTGCAAAAATCTAGGCCGATCCAGGTGCAAAAGTGTTCCTTCTTGGGAGACACTCAAGTGGTGGAGGTGGCCGCAGGAGTGGATGCCATGATCGTGCCTGGCTCCGGATTGGCCAGTTCCTGATGCGCGCGGGCATGTGTGAGCACTGCGCTGCTGAGCACACTGGACAGCATGGCCGAACACTGAGCACTGCGCGACACAGGATCTTGTCTTGTGCGTTCAGGTCAAAAAGCAGGCAGAAGCCGAGGGCCTTGACAAGATCTTTGTGGAGGCAATATTACTATGCATGCTTTTTGAGGCGCTCTTTTCTCATCACTTCATCTTGCACGTCGTTTGCACTGGAGACGCGCCAGGCTGGCTTTGACTGGCGGGAACCCGGTTGTTCCATGTGCCTCGGAATGAACCCGGATCGCCTCAAGCCGCAGGAGCTTTGCGTCCTACACAAATGTTCTGGATCCAGAGGTCTCACCTGCGCATGGCTCGTGAATCGTTGTGAGGAGCGATGTGCAGCAACCTCCAACAGAAACTTTGAGGGCAGACAGGCAGGAGATCATCCAGTTTGGCTGTTGCCAAGTGGCGGAAGTCCTTGGAAGTCTCGCAATGCTGACGTGCTGTGACTGTGGTCAGGGACCGCAGGGCCGAACTCACCTCATGAGTCCCTGCTCTTAGTCTGGTGCCAAATGATCTTTCGAACTTCAGCAGCATTGCATCTCAGGCCCTGCAATGGCGGCCGCTGCTGCTGTCACCGGAAAGCTCAAAGAGCCGGGGGGGGGAGGGAGAGTTGGGTGAGTTGGCCTCCTGGCCCCCGGAAGCGTCCTTCAAGTCTTCTTTTTGTCACAGCCCTTTCAGTCCTTTCCAGGATGTCCGCGAGCTCATGCCAGAGATGCAAGCCAGGGGCCAAGCTTCTGTGGCGAGGACCGGCTAGGATAGCAAAGGTTTTGCACAAAATGCTTGCAGCGTGTGCTGCTGATGCAAGGCAGCCAAGACACAGGAAGTAAGTCAGAGCAAGGACTTTTCCTGTAGAACTTCCGGCCCAGCCGATTGACAGCACTATCTTTCGCAGGACTTCTACTCTGATCCAATTGATTGGAAGGCACCCAAGGAGCACTGCACTGGGCTGTTGCGTAGTCATGGTAGAACCATTGCTGCATGCCGCCAAAGGTTTTAGACCATGCAGCTCTGAACTGTGCCTTCCTGGGAACTGGAAAAAACCAGGAGCCCCAGGATACTCCTGTGACTGGGAGCTGGAGCCTGAAGAGTCTGATGCAGGGGGAGCTGCGGCCAAAGGTTCTTGTTTCCCTCAGAGTCCTGAGAGGTGAAGGTGCAGCTCCCTCTGCCGGAGCCACGGGAATGCCCAAGTTCACGAGGCCCGGTATGTCTTGATTTAACGGACTCCGTGATTCCAACTCAATGCTTTTTACCCCATGCTCCAGTTTGGACGATGTCATCGCCTGCCCGTTGCGAAAAGCAAATGCCCGTGACTTATGACAATGATACTTCTTTGCCCGTTCATCAGTCAAGCGCGACCGGTCAGGTTGACACGGACTGCATCATTCCGAAGCAGTTTCTGCAGCTCGTTTGGCAATTCGAGTGGCCTGAACAAGCCCCAACCGAAAGGTACATCAGGGCAGAATGAAGATTTTTTTCTTGAAGGTGATTGTAGCAGTGTGGCATGCACGCAAGTCGAAGCATACATAGCACTTCCTGCCATCCCAGGAAGACCATTAAACGAACTGGGCTGCGTGCTCGGAATGCACACCGAAATTGACATGAGCTGACTTTCGGGAGAGACAAAGGCTGGGCAAGGCTGCCTTCTTTGAGCTGCGGTATGACGCACCTTGGCAGAACGAAGCATGTTTCGAGCACATGCCACGGTGCTATCAAGTTGAGGGGCGGCATGGTGACAGTGTATTTTGCGAGGATGATGGCGTCACGGAGAACAAATCGTTCATCCTCAATCAGGAGAACCACGCTGGCACTCTGCCGTCTCAGCAGTCCATCCAACTAACTTGTGCTCAGGAACCATACAGAACCTCCTCTGTTCTCATTGCTGGTGACAATTTCGGCACGGGCCCTGAAACCTGTGATCTTGGGTGTTGCAAATCCAGCTTTGCAGGGTTTTCAGGGGCAGCAGCTGTCAAGATTGGCGCGCTGATTGAGGATGTGGCTCATCACGCGAGCACGCGCAGTGAACTCGGCTTCGCCCAGCTGGCCCAGCTGGCCCAGCTGGCTCAGCTGGCTCAGCTGGCTGTTGTTCCCTTCTTGTTTTCAGCATTGGAGGGTCTCCCAGTGGCGGGAGGGACGAGTACTCGTAGCTCTGATCGCGCACCGCGCCGATTAAGGCCATGGGCTCTCAACGACCAGGGCATCCGCTGCATTATTGCTCCCAGCTTCGCAGACATCTTCTTCAACAAGTGGAGCCTGCACAGTTAAGCGGCTTCTCAAAGTGGGATGACAGCAGGCGCTTTATATGGACAGCTGTGATGAATGCCTGTGACAGTTGCTTCAAGAACGGCATGCTGCCAATTGCCGTGACGAAGGCGCTCCCACCCACGCTCCCACGCAAAGAGTGCAGAGAGTGGCAGAGAGTGGCAGAGTGTGGACCCGCTTTGCATTTTTTTGCTCAGAGGACGTGGTGGAGGAGCTCTGGGTTCACTCCGAGGCCTCCCCCGCTGTGTGCGTTGTTGGGGCCCCGGAAAGTCTCTCAAAAAATTCCTTGCCTTGTGAGTGAGGCCAAGAAGAAGCTAAGTGTGGACCTCCAGAGCCAGGAGATTCGAAGAGAAGGTGGCGAGGTGCCGTGATGCAGTGTTTGCTGTTATCCGTTGCAGCCTTCTGCGCTCCTCTGCGCTCTTTCTGGCTATCCGTCGTTCTTGGGCCACATCTTCGAAGGCCATCAAGTTTGAAGTGGATCCGTTCCGGAAGTGCAATGCTCAGGCGCAGTGGCTGTGATTTCGCTTTCGCTCACAACCGCGCCAAAGGCACTGTCTGCTGAACGGCCTAGACGACATTGGCGTCTCTCCCAGTCAGCGTGTTGTGCAGTCAATTTCGCGGATGTAGTGAATCCGAGGCTTGACGCTCCAGAAGAGCGATCACATAGACAGTTTTGAGGCCCTGGAGATAACTTTTGAGGCTTCTCGCCTTTGAGTCTGCGAGCTTCTGGTAAGCCTGAGGCGAGGCGGAGCTCCATGTTCCCATGGCTGGTGGGGGCCCTGAGACATTCGCGTGGCAACGTGCTGCAAAGCGGGGTCTGTCCAAGGATGGTCCACGATACAGCAGATTAAAAGCAGAAGTTCGCATTAGCACAACCAAGGCTCGTCCAGAATGTGGAAGATAGAAATGTAAGAGCTGAGCTTGCAGTGTCTCGTCTTCTTGGCAGTCCGTGGCATTCTACACTCGCGTTTCGAAGGGATTCCTGGTGACTGCCTCAGCACCGATGGGGGCATGCTCTTCGCTACAGTTCCCCGAAGTGCTACTTGCTGAAAACAGAGTGTGAACATGTGTGAACACTCCGAATTTTCAGGCTGGGCTTGCGGCAAGTGACGATCGACCGGAGCGCCCACCAGCTTCGCAGGTGCGGTGGCATCGGAATTGTGCGGCTTGCTGCGTATCAATCTGGTGCAAAGAGCGGGCTTCGGCAGCGCATGTTTTCAAAGTGTGGCAGAATCCTTTCTCCCTTCTCCCGGTTGCCAGCTCATTCTGAGCGCTACTGGAAACGCGATCGAGCGGGCCGTTCGAGTGTCGCAGGACCTCCAGGCCAGGAGCTTCAGCAAGCGTAGCGCATTAACGCTTCTCAACCGTGGAGTACCGTTGTAGTACTGTTGTATTTCTCTTTTTCTCAGGCTGAAGGCGAGGCAGATGTCCTGAAAGTGCGAACCCAAATGGCACGTCACTTACTTGAGAAGGGCGCGTGATACCAGTGTCACGGTCATTTTGATCTCCTTCGCAGTTGTCCCCAGTCTCAGGTGACTGGAGCCAATCAGCGGGCACAGGTGCCGCAGGCCAGCGATAGTGTAAGTTTTTCAGACGCCACATATGGGCTACCTTTTGAGAGCTTGCGAGCGCGTCGAGGTCTTGTTTGTGCTAGGACACGTAGAATGACTCAGTAGGTAGCACTGTCTGGTCAAGCCTCTTATTTGCCATTGCTGGCTGTCCACGGTATCATGGCTAATGAAGTTTTCCTGTCATGGCATGAGTGGCCTCTAATCAACGAAGCCGCATGCTCCGCGTAGGCTCCTGTTTTGACGAGCCACTTGCATGTTTCAGTCAGCCAGTTTTTTCGACGGTTCCATTGCACGCGCCCGGGACGCACCGATATTGTAGCCACTACTTAGTCTTGCCACTTGCCTCGCAAGCCATCTTGCACCGTGCCAAGACTGCCTTCAAGCTCCACACAGGACATCAATTTGCGGTCCGTGCACACATGTGGACCATGATCAGCGGATGTCGATTGCACATTTCTCCCGCGGTGACTCATTGCTGCGACGCTCTCCTTCTGTGTTTTGTGTCGTTGGAAGGCACTTAATCTCGTTTTACCCGAGCTCAGCTAGTGATGTTGCAACGGGCCAAGAGGCTCTAAGCATCGTTAATCTCAGGTTTTTGTTTTCTCTCTGATCATGAGTATCTGTCATGATGCACCGATGATGGTGAGCGAGCTTCTGTGCAGGTGTGTGTGACGCTGAAAGCCAGGCCGTTGTTGTCTCAGCTGCGTTGGACACCGTGCGAGTCCACCTGCATCCACCTGCATGGTTCGACAAGTTTCTCAGGAAAGCCCGTGCGGTTTACGTCGGCAGCACCCCTGCAGGCCTTATCGAGAGTAGCTTTTCGAGGAAAAATGTCCGAGAATGCCCGTGTCTGTTCTGCACAGGAAGCAATGGATCGAAGGCATCGAAGGCTACTGACTGGTAGTCAGACTCATGGCTTTAAGTGCAGCGCGTTGAGCGCGGCAGACTTAACAATGTTAGACAAGGAATGCGCTAGAGATCCCGGAAGACAGAAGTGTCAGATGTTAAAACCCAAGCCGCTTGGTCGTTGCATTCTTAGATGTTGCGCAGATTTTCATTTAGAGCAGACTTCGCAGCAACCTGCTGGTCAGCCGCTCTTGTGAGCATTGACAGCCAAAGTATGGAGTCTCTCCAATTCAGGATTCTTTAGCCAAGAGCTGCAGGACTCAGGGTGAAGAGGGTGAAGAGGGTGAGGAGGGTGAGGAGGGTGAGGAGGGTGAGGAGAGTGAAGAGGTTTCTCGTAGTACGACTGTTCGAAGTTCGAATGTTTGGCATCCTGCAGCTCCTTGATGAGGTTCCTGTGCAAGGGACGCAGGCCCTGCAGGCTTCTCCGCTTCTTGCGGTCAGCTACAAGGCTGACCATTGTCAGAGACAGGCAAGATGCCACAAAACAGCCTCTTGCCATCCCAGAGCATGTGTGACACGGCTTGCGGATGTATCCCGTTGAGTTGACGGACTTGCAAGGTCGGATGCTTAAGTCCTGACGTCCTCCCAAAACCGGGCAGACAAGGGTCGTGAGTCTACCGGCAGGAAGGAGCCTTGCCACCATGCACAGCCAGGTATAGCTCTATGATCGCAGCATGCCCCTTGAACGCCAAAACCTTGCGGGAGGTGCACATCCCTCCGTTTGCACAAGACATGGTCTATGGTGTTTGGCTGCAACTTCACGAGGGTAGGACGTTTCGTAGACGTAAGCAGCCATGCCAAAGAATCAGAATTTGCAGTCATGGCAATCCCAACGATGACCGTCTCAAGCCAGGGAAAGACAGCCCAAGACTGCTAGCCCAGTCATGTGTAAGCGCATGGACGTTGTAGCTGACAACTGTTCGGTAAGCCACTCGTTGTACTTTTGCCTGCATTTCGTGCTCTAGCCAGGGCTACGAGGCCGGAATGGCATGGTCGTGCATGTGTTGTACAGCGTGTTGTGCCTTGCGCGGTCTGAGTTTTTTTGGCAGATCTGTGCTCGAGCGAGCATGGACCGCGATGAAATACATCATAAAATGAGCAAGAAGGCGCGAAGCTGGTTCTTTGCTGAATGTGAGAAAATGGTAGATTCACTAGATCCACACTTCAGGTCGCTCAGCTCACAAAGGTGATTTTCCACTTGAATACGAGAAATGATGAGGCCCTTCAGAAAGAGACTTGTCACGTCTTGCAGGGTGGAGGCATGCCTTTTTTTGTGTCTTTACCGCGCGCGAGGCGGATCAGCATCTCGCTGCAGTGTCTCAGGTAGATGGGATTGCACTGACTGTGCTCTCGAAAGCACGCAGTCAAACAGCTGTTCTGCTGTCATGCCGCTCAGGCTTACGAGACGGAGGTGGAGCAAATTCTAAGGGATGCCAACTCCAAGGTTCGTCGTTTGGCCGAGGCACCATGCGAAAGTTTCCTGAACTTTTGCTTCACAGGTTGCCCATGTCACTCAGCATGCCAGTAGCTTGTTGCATGTCTCCTCACCAGGCAGTCGAGTGCGAAGCTTGGATGGAAGAGATGTTTCGACCGTTTGGACCATGCCCGTGTCATGCAAAGACTTTGCACATTCGTGTGACTGACGCAGTGAGTCGCATTGGTCGTCCAACGAAGTCAAAGGCTCAAACGAAGTCAGGGGTTCAATCCTGCCCTGAGGGGCCACGAAGCTGCCAACATCCACACCAGACACAAATCAATTGGAACATGTCCTTCAGACCGTCTTTTTGAGGAACGGTGCCTAATGTACACATTGTACACGTTCTTGCGAGGGCTCGGACAAGCCTGCGTCTGGCCAGATCACCTGCACCTAAACTGTGTCACCACTACGGGCACGAGCGCTTAAACCCTTGCCTTGGTGAAGAAACCCCTACCTAAGGCCTACACAACTCCTTGAGGCACCTGATCCCTAGTTGAACCGACGTAACCCCTCTTAAACACCTAGAACCCCACCTAAGCCTAATCCCCACTGCAACCTTACCTACACCCTACCTACTTATCCAAAGCCAAATTAGCCTAGAATGAACCTAAACCTGAACTCAACCAGCCTAGACCCTAAACGCGCCCTAACCCTAAATCCGACCTCAACCCCAAGTGGTCGGACGTTTTGTCCAGGGGCCCCGCACCACAGAAAAGCAGATCATAGGGCCAAACTTCCCGCTCCACGGGGAAGGGGACCCTTCCCCGCCGTACCTCCTGCAGAGGAAGGGAGAAAACCACAGCCAGGATGCCCAAAAGGGTTGAATCGTGAATGACAGCAATCCATTCCGGAAGCAGACGTGATGACCAGCGTACTGGATTGACACTTCCGATGGCTTGCGCTGAAATCGTTTCACCACGCGACGAGGAGCAACTAAACAGCTTGGCCAGCTTGATGTACAGGGAGTTCGAGTTGGCATCGTAGGTCTCATAAGACTTTTTGCAAAAGGCGTACCGGCTGTACGTGCTACAGCCAGCGGCAGCCAGCGCATGCAATTAGGCACTGCTCTAGCATTCTGAGTCCGAGTCTGGTGCTTTCCAAAACTTTTATCAGGACTCAGCTCAATGCCGACAAGCGTAGGCAAGTATACTTGGCGCGTGTGGTTCCGAGGTCAGGTCATGGGAGCAAAGCTGCAAAAGAGCTGGAGGCTCTCAAATCGAGCCACGAAGAAGAGAAGCGCCCGCACCTGAGCCAGCCAAGTTGGCATCCTTTCCATGGCAATAAAACCGTCTTGCAGCACGTGGTTTAGTAGTGTACATGAAGACGCAACATGCTGGCGACGTGGCATTGTCCGAGTGTATGTGCTGTCTGTTGTGCTCCTTGCACTGAAGCAAGGTGAAGCTTTGAAAGAGATTCAGAACATAAAATCTGCCGCCTCTGCCTTCGGCTGAGCATGGTACGGCCGTTTCGTGTCAGTTCAAAGGCTTTGTTTGAGATGCTTGGAGAGTGTCGCTGCCGAAGTTGCTCACAAGGCACGCGAAAGCAAAAACACGGCGATGTGGAAAGAACGCCTCAACAACATGAGCGCAGAGGCAAGAGTAGACGTGTCATGACGCTCCTCGGCACAATCTTGCGCACATTGTGCTGCTGCTTGGCTGCGCAGGTTCAGGCAGTGAAACAGCAATGCCAAGTGCAAGCTTCGCAGTTCAAGGCGGCCTTGGACAGAGTTCAGGCACGATTGTTGCACTAGATGTCGGGTCGCAGCGGGGCTCCACAATAGAGTTGATGTGAAGGCGACTTCGACTTGGATTCCTGAAGATTCTAAAGTAAGGATCCCCCAAGACGAGGACGGGCAGGGAGCAGAGCTGGCCGATCTCCGGTCGCGCCATGAAGCGGAACTGCTTCGACTACGAGCCGAGCACGAGGAGGGCCGGAAAACCTCTCTGAATGCTTGGAAATTTGGGGCAAAAGTGACAGGAAGTATGCTCTGTCATTCGATTAGTTACTGTTCGTAATGTGTATGCTCTGTGGAGAGCCAATGATGAGACTATGTGATTCATGAGTGGATGCTGGCTCGTCTTAGAAGGCTGTGCTGTTGCAGGCAGAAGTTAGCCGGCTGACGGAAGCCTCCGAAGCCTCTACTGCCCGTGAGGCCAGTGAGGTTTTCTTTTGCCAGAGGTTTCTGGTGCTCTTCTTGTGGTTTGCAGGCAGAGCTGCGGGTGAACATCGACCAGCAGAAGGCATTGGGGTCCTTGGGGTGGGCTGTTGCGGACTACACCTTGACTCGAGCTTACACAGAGTCTTGCACATGGAGGCGGACTTCACAAGAGACCTTGACACGGAGCGCACACGGTGCCAGGCCCCGTGTGTAGCCGGAAGGCAGCTGTAATCAGCTGTAAACGACAACGTGTCGTTGTGTTCACCTCGCAGACTTGAGAAGGAGCTACAGATGCAGCTCGACAATGCCAAGAGAAGCTTGGAGGCCAATCCGTGTTGGGCAAACTATGGAAAAAGCTTTTTCTGGCAGTGCAAGCTTGCAGGCAGTGCAGGCTTGATGTGCTAGTGCTGGTGCCGTAAAGAAGATGAAGATGTTTCCTTGGGCAGGCCAGCATGGCTTCCGGAGATGAAGCCCTGAAGGCAGAGTCGGTGTGTTGTTTTTGTTATTCCCTGGTCAATCCAAGCTTGACAAATGCAATTTTCCCACTGTGGGTTTCTGCGTTGCTGATGCCGTGTTTCAACGTGGGCAACAGGGGTCAAAAGCAGGCTGCTTTGACGGAGAAAGACCAGCTCACCGTGCAGTTGAAAGCAGCAGAAGATGAGCTGGCAGGGCCTTGACATGTCCAACATTGTCGAAAAGTATTTGTCACGTGTGTCATCATGTCATCACATTTCCACATGTTTCCACGCTGTTACCGGCATTTTTCTTGCAATTCGCTTCTCAAGAGGCCACCATGCGTGAAGCGGTCAGTGAAGCCAACATGGCCTTGCAGAGTCGAGACAAGGATGGCTGTGTCTTGCACGCCGTCGGAATTTGTCTGCAATTGTATGCTTGTATGCCACCATTTTCCACCGGTCAGAGAACTGGCTTCTCCTCGCCAATGCCAGGACATACTGCTCTTGAAGGAATCCGTAGCGCAGCTTGAGGAGACCTGCAAAGGCCTCAAGGCCTGCACCCCTATGATTGCAATGGCGGTTCGCATGTCTGTCCAATCACGTATTCCAACATTGTCTGTCAACTGCTTCAGAAGCATGTGAGGCAGAAGGCGACACCCTCAAGAGAAACCTCGTTGACTCGCAGGATGCTGCCTTTGGTATGAAGGCGTTTTCGTTGCTGCCTGCGTGTTGCAGGAGGAGCTTGCAAGACTTCAAAGAAAGCATGAGGTGGGCATCCTTTTGACATGAGTTTCTTCTCAAGGGTGCATGCCTTTCGGCACGTTTTGCCTTTTTGTGTGATGCCGGTTTTGCTTTCATACTGATGCTCCAGCCGCAATCACCCGGCTTGCTTTCATTCATGTGGCTGCAGTTCCTGAACCTACGCACACAAGCAGCACGGAATCTACAGCAATCAGGGCTTACAGCGCTCATTCTCCGACTGGCCTGTGAACGTCTGGGCTGACTCTGGCTGGAACTTCATTTTCTGTCGCTTATTCAGGCATACTTGTCACGTAGCTACCGCAGAGTTACTACGTACTTGCTGCGTAGCGACTTCATAAATGCTTGATGCAGGCACTCGAAACTTGGGTGGGTTCAGACACGGTTAAGTCAATTTGTTCAGGTGGAGTTCTGGATGTAGTCTGTGCGAACACTGAAGCAATTCCAAGAACTCTGTGGATGCTGAAGGGGTTGTGCTCGAACGTCGAGCTACAGGCTTGTCAAATCCATAGGCCTAAAATCGTGCTTGTGCTCCTCGCAGGAGCTGCTCGACAAGTCACAGCGAGATCAAGGCCGTCTGGAGGCCACGCAGGGGTTTGGAAATGACGCTCCTTGACTAGTGAGGCTTTCGTCGTACTGGGATGGCAGGCAAATGCTGGAGCAGAACGGCAGCGCTTGGAGGAGGAGCTGAAGGTTTCAGAATGTTTCGCAGGGGCACAGTGGGGGGGCAGAACGTGAAGGAGAGTGAATCATAGTGAGAAAATGAAGAGTACATCCGCTCGCCAGGCTGCAAGAGAGCGAGAAGCTTCCCTCAAGGCTGAAGTCGTCTCCTACAAGGCTGCCGAGGCAGGACAGCTTTCAAACTTCAGTCCCCGGGCTCTCGGGATGCTACTGCTAGGGCTGTTCAGATGAGCAAAGTGTTCGAGTACGGTTCAAACAGCACGCTGCGGGCGCGACCGGCGCACCCTAAATCGACTCCGCCCCGTTGCTTCCTCCAGTCGTAGGGTTGCAGGGTTTAGGGGTTTGGGTGTTTCGGCCTAAAACGGTCCTCGTGTGCTTTGAGCAGCAAGCTGTGCGCTCAAAGAGTGGTCAGAGGCCGAGCTGAACCTCGAGTTGACCAAAGAGAGGGAGGAGGCCCAACTCTCAAAAAGCCTTCTGAGAGTGCTGGCCCTTCTTCTTGGCCCTTGCTCGCGCGACGTGCCGCGTGACCCGCAAGGTTAGCAAGGCACAGAGTCGCATCAAGCAGCAGGTGGAAGAGCTTGAACGCCTTCAGAAGGCCAGAGGGACGAGAGTATGTGCGCATCCTTGTGTGTGTATGCTTGTGTGTGTGTGTGTGCGTGCGTGTAAGCAGTGCAAACCAGCCGGAACGAGACTGGAAGCCTGACGAAGGCCCTTGCAGAAGCTGACGCTCGCCGCGAGGAGCTTGCGCGTGAAGGCGGCTCCGAGCTTCATCGGCTGCAGGCAAGGCCAGTTCAAGAGGAGCGATGCATAGTGAAGCACAGTGAAGCATTGCGTCAGGCCCAGCTTGAGGAACAGAAGGCACTAGTGGTGGATTGGCAAGCCAGATTTTCAGAGCGTGGGCCCTTCTTTCTCAGAGAGATAGATCCCTGAATCGTGTGCAAGCCTATCCGGTTTGTCTTAGTTGTGCGTTTGGGTATCGTTGGCCTACACAATCGCAGATCCCGATCCCTGCTCAAGCCTGCGCAATCCTGGCAATCCTCGTGTTCAAGCCATGATGTCTCCGACTCTTCATTCCAACCTCTATCTTCACAGTCGCGGAAGAGCGGTGGAGCTGTTGAGCCCAAGGCGAGAAGCTGACCTGCAAAGCCAGCTGGACAAGGCGAAACTCCTTGACTTAGATAAACCGGAGCTGGCTAAAAGTATCTCACGGTTTCCAGGCGCAAGCCGAAGCCACTCGTGAATTGGAAGCCTCCAAAGCTGCACATGCTGATGCGGTGTATGCCCTGGAGAGGCGCAGTGGAGCATGTGTTTGATTGCATTTTTGTCAGTGCATGTCATGCTCTCAGGGTTCTTTCAATGCAGTTGTCAATGCAGCACGTACAAATATGGGCAGGACACATGAGCGTGACCTCTCCGAGATACAGGAAGCGAATGCTGTGCACTGCCTCAGAGCCAGGAAGTGGATCTGACTTCCTCAGCTTCACCGAATAATCAGAATGGAGAATGTTAAAGTTCAAGCTCATACGTCGTCTTGAGGCCGAGCTGGCTTCTCTGCGAGCCGAGCTTGAAGCAGAGGCTTCCCAACAAAAGCACTTAGAGCTCGTCGTTCCTTTCTTGCCCCTCTGAGGTCGAGCGCCTCCGCCGTCAGCTGCAAAGCTCTGATCAGGATGGCCGACGCATGTTGGAGGCACAGCCAGCTTTCGAAATTTCCCCGAGAATTTCCTCGAGATATCTAGGGGTTTGCGGACTTTGCGGCCTTCGGGGGGTTGCTGTCAGTGGTGGCTGAACCCGGCGCTTCTTCTCTGCGTCTCATAGGCAAGGGAGGCGGAGCTGGTCGAACTTCAGACCAAGCTCAAGGCCAGGATGGGAGTTACAGTACATCGCAGTTTGGTACAGTTCGCATTGTTCAGGGATGTTGCATCATGCCCTCTTTTTTTTCTCTCTCTCTCTTTCGCTCTCTCTGTCCATCCCCCCTTTCCTCCCTCTCACTCTGTCGCTCAAGGACGTGGAGTTGAAACTGGAAGAAGCTCGAAAGCAGGCTGAGGAGGCTTGCGGGACACTGGGCTGGAGATGACACAAGTCGTCCGAGTTTGGCTAGCGACCGCTGCCAGGAGAATCGCCTGAAGTGCACGCTAGAAGAGCAGCTGGTCAGGACCTCAAGTTTCATGTGTGATCGGCGCACCAAATCTTCTCGGAATCTAGCAGTGCAAGAGCAGATGTCACTTTGAGGAAGTTTGATTTAAGGCAGCCAAAGGTGCCGAATTGCAAGCTCTCCGAGGTGCTGGTGTGAGAACAATCGCGAATAAGGATTCTGTTTCGGAAGAACAGACATGCTCAGGCGCTTTGTGCAAGGAATGGCACACGCGAAATGTGCTCAGGCGAAGTCGAGCAGAAGCAGGGCTTGCATGTAGCAGAAATCGAGCGTTTGTACGGGCCCAAGAAGTCCGATTTCGCACTGTAAGCTTAGAGTTCATCTTTGCATCGGGGTCGGGAGAGCCATGTGGGTACGGGCTTTGAGGCACAGCGAGGCTAGGAAAGAAGCAGCGCTGGCAGCTGAGAAGCATCAAAGAGAAGTTCAGCACTTGCGAGAGGACAACGCAACGTGTGTTGCCACATGTCTTCCATGCTCTCTCTCTTTCTCTCTCCCTCTCTCCCTCTCTCCCTCTCTCCCTCTCTCCCTCTCTCCCTCTCTCCCTCTCTCCCTCTCTCCCTCTCTCCCTCTCCCTCTCTCCCTCTCTCCCTCTCTCCCTCTCTCCCTCTCTCCCTCTCTCCCTCTCTCCCTCTCTCCCTCTCTCCCTCTCTCCCTCTCTCCCTCTCTCTCTGTGTGTGTGTGCTGGTATCCAGGAGATGATGAAGGCGTTAGAAAGCCGCGGCCGCGAAGGCCTCGAGGAAGTGCACAGGCTCCAAGACGAGATCAGGCAGGAGAGCAGAAGCATCACTGGGTCGGTCGGACTCTTCTTTGTCTGAACTCACACTGGTTGAAACTTGAACGTGGCGCTGCAGCTTTGAAGGCGCCTTCAAGACGCCCACGAGACAGAGACAAGGCAGGGCGTTTACGTGCAGTGCAAGTTGGGACTACGAGCTTTTGAGCAGGAGACTGAAGCAGAAGATCGAAGAGCTAGAGGAGGCGCTTCAGGCTGCAACGCGAGATGCGCAGGACCGGATTTGGACTCTCAAAGCCCATCGGGTCTCAGATGTGAAGGCATTGCATGCGCCAGGCGGAGGTGCAACGGATAACTGGCTCCTACCGCATGGAGGTGGAGAAGGCTGCCCCCGTAAAAACCCCCCCCCCCCCCGTCGCCCCCGGATCTACTTGGGAAAGGCGTATGAAGCCCTGAAACACTGAGCACAGAAGCCTCCAAGAATGCTCGTTTCCGCAGGCTCACTAATCTTGGAAGAATCCTTCCAAAGGGGTGTGCCTTCTTTAAGATTAAGAGTCAACAAGGCATGTGGTTGCTGCAGGTCAAGACTGAGGGTGTGGAGATGGTCCAGAGACTACATGTCGAGCACGAGGTTCTGTACTTGGCAGCATTCTTGCTCAAGAGAGGGCTCACCACGCTTGTTGAAGCGTTCTTCTCGAGGCAAAGCTGAATGACGTTTTCAAAACTCAGTCAGTGGCCTTGGACCAGTTGCAACAAAAGTTGGGAAAGTCCCATCAGGCAGATCTGATCTACATTGTCTCGTGATGTCCTGTGACATGCTTTCCCTTGGTTCCTTGGTTTGGAGGAGCGAGTGGACGAGATGCGGCAAAAGCACCAACGAGAAATCGACAGTCTGAAGGCCTTCTGCCATTCTGAAATTCTGCGGATTCTGCGGATTCTGCGGTCCTTTGGACTTCGATGCCATGCATGTTCCCGACAGTTGTTTGGTGGAGCGAGCGAGTTGCATACTCTGCCGCGATCGTGCGTTGCGCTCGTTCTTGTGCGTTCATGACCTGGCCACGCATGTGCAATGGCTGTTGGCTGTGCCAGACCACGCATGCTGCTGAAGTGCGGGAAGCTGCTGCTGCTCACAATGCCGCTATGCAGGAGGCTCCACTGGGCAATACTTCAGCATTTGACAAATTTGACTGAAGTTTGACTGAAGTGTTTGCCTCCTCTTGGCATCTGCTTGGCATTTGCTTGGCATCTGCTCGGCATCTGCTCGGCATCTGCTTGGCATCTGCTTGGCATCTGCTTGGCATCTGCTTGGCATCTGCTTGGCATCTGCATGGCATCTGCTTGGCATCTGCTTGGCATCTCTTGGCTCCTGAGGTTCGTGCTGAGAAGACAAGGGCCGTGCAAGAGCTGGAAGCATCTGCCAAAGCAGCAGCTGCAAGGCGCCGGCGACTTCATGGGCGATTGTGTTCCACAGCGTGAATTCCCAGAAATGCTGATGCCTGCGAGTACGACCATGGAGGCATTCTGAAGCAATGCAGACCATCAGCGCGGAACTCGCTGGAGAGCGCGAGCAGCTTGCCGCCAGCCGTGCCCAGGCCAAGTCAAGCGATGCTTATCTGCTCCTTTCGCAGAAAAAGCGGTCCCAGCTCTGTTCTCTCGCAATGGCGTGCAGGTGGCCAAGCTGAACGAAGATTTGCAAACCTCTCGGACAGCTATGGCTCAGCTGGAGGCAGCATCACCGGCTTTTCGTCCCAGCATGTGAAGCTTGCATTCCTTTTTCGACTCCCTCTTTCGAGTTTATTCTACTTCCTTTTGCTACTTCTTCGATCTGTCTCTCCAGGAGCAGTTCAAGGTCACCGTTGCAAAGCATGACGAAATGATGAGGCATCAACAACAGGACTTCTGCATGGCAGCGTGCAGCGAACCGATCTGCGCGCCCGTTCATTTCGCAGAGTTCAGTGCGTACATTCGCGTTCAGGGTTTCAAGTGGTATCACGTCTCAGGCTGGTTTGGAGTTGTGGGAAGGTTCATAACAGAGCGGGTGTTATGTGCAGCGTCTTCCGGTGAGCTTCGCCCGTGTGCTCTTCGGTTGTCAGCGATGTTGAGCAGTAGGATGCACAACTATGTGGGTGCCCATCTCAAGCTGCACAGTGACTCCGTTGATTCGGCTATCTGCTTCACTTTGGTTCACCTGCAGGAGTTCGATCGGGAGAAGCGCAACATTAAAGAGCAGCACAAGCGAGGACCATGAGTCAGCCATGCGAAAGACATTAAAAGTAGGGACGGCGAGACCGTGCAAGGAGTCGAGCAGCTTCTTGAGGCGCACTTGAAGGCCATCTCTCGCCTCAGATGCGTCTAATATGTTTACTCTTCAAAGCGAAGCAGCGAAGCACGAGAACTGAATTCAGGAGACCGTCGAGTTGAAGCAGCAGTTTGACAGGGCCCGGCAGCTGCAGGCACAGAGACTGGCATCAAATTCACCAGTTCTTTTTTCGCCGGTTCTCTGCGCTCAGCTTCAGCAATTCAGCTTCAGTCGTGATGTGATGAGCCTTGCGGGGCTGATGTACTTTGATGTCCTCATTTTTTCTTTGCTCCACCGTCAGCCTTGGCCGGTTCTTGCGTGTACCGGAGCTTGTCCGCTAAGCTCACGTGCCAGGAGATGCAAATCGATATGCTCCAGAAAAGAATTGTGGAGCGTTCTCCTCAGAGGGTCCGGCGTAAGAGGCTTCGGCGTGGTGTGTCCTTACAGCTTCCTATGGTTGGAACACAGCATGAGAGCTCAGCAGTTGTCAGATGTTGTCAGGGCCAGGTGTTGTGACAGCACGCCAGCACAGATGCTGTGTGATGAGTATGCTGTGATGGCTCTTGCTGTGCGCAAGGCTTCAGGAGTTGTATGAGTCGAGGCCCTCACGAGAAGAGGCTCAAAGTCCAATGATGTTGCAAGAGGATATTTTCGAGCTCTTGGTTTTTTAGCGCCGTGCGCAAAGAGGACTTGGAGCTCATCGCCCAGTTGGAAAAGGATCTGGATGAGAAAACTGCCCAAGTGAAGAAGCCTAAGCCCCATTTATCGGGCTGCTCTTGGTCTTGGTTGGTCCTTGACAGAGTGCAGAGGTCACCCTCACTGTGTTATTGGCACTAAGGCTCCTCGATGATATGCAGTTCTACAAGCTTGAGCTAGTGAACCGTGAGCAGAATTACAACAAGGCATCGCTATTTGTCGCTGTTCAGTTGCATACCGTAGTTTGCCTTGCAGACAGTTCAAGACTGAAGTTAGCAGGTCTTTGGTGCAGCACCCACTGTCGGCATCATGAATCCAATCGCGGCAAAGAAGCCCGCCAATGGCGGACAACCGCAAATGCGTGTCGTCCAACAGTCGTCTGCTCAGTGCTGCTTAGTTCCGATGAACTGCCATGGCCTGTGATCCGCAGCAGGCCTGGGTCAGGAATGGCTGCAATGAACGTGGGCCTGCCTCCGATCCGATCTCGGGTGCACCTACATGTGGCACATCCTTTCTCAGATAGCACCGCGATCTCAACAAGCAATGGGCTTATGGCTCTGAGGCTCGGGATGACGCCTGGCCCGACACGGAGCAGTAGCAACAAGCCCATGCAGAAGCCCTTGGCTCATCCTCTGCTGAGCCTTCTACCAGTCGTTATGATCGGTTTTTGGTCTCTGCTCGCTCCCCTTGCAATTTCTCGCAGCCCCAACCTTTCAAGGAGACCTTCCAGCGGAAGCATGCGACGGGCAGGGTCCATGGAGTGACTTTACCAGACCATCAGCAGCACGAACAGCAGGCATGTCACTCATGACACGTTTCGTTAGTCCTGCATGGTTTATGTTGCATTGTTTGTTTATTCAACGTGAGGTGGGGGTAAGAAGACGGTTTCGTAGCATCACCTCGCGATGTCTCACTCAGAATCTGTGCATGATGTTTCACGGCATCGTGGCACCACTGGCAAATGAAGACGTGCAAGTTGGTGCTGCAAGGCCAGCCTTAATTGTTCATATTTTTCGATGAACAAGTGGAAAAATGATGTTCTTTGCGTCGTTGACTGCCTTGATGTGATGGCCAGTTGTTTGCTTTCAGCACATGGAAAATGCAAGCATCGAGCGGGGCTGTTTCAGTGAACATGAAAACATACAAGGCATGCCTAGTTGTTGTTCGTATTTCATCTAAGAGTCGGCAGCAACTTGCGACTCGCAGTACCTCGAGAAGCCACACCACACAGCAAGGACGACCTGCGCTGCAAGCCCATGTCAGACCGAAGACTGTTTTAGTTTGCTGCCTCCGGGAACTGCAATGCCAAAGACAAAGAAGAAGTCCAAGAAGCAGCTGGAGGCAATCTGTTGCACCATGTTTCGCCGCCAGACTTCTTTGTGTGTGTGTGTGTGTGTGTGTGTGTGTGTTTGCGTGTGACCCGTCCGGCTATTGACCACACTGACCACAGCCAGGATGAGCTGCAGAAGGCAGCGGAAGAGCAACGGCGTCACGAGGAAAAGGAGCGTCTTTTCAAGTTGGAGGAGGCACGCAGGGCCTTTCTCTTTTGAGATAAGACGGACATGTGAAAGATGTCATAATGTGTCACGCTGATTTTGCCTCATGGTGTTCAGGATGCTCTTGCTGCCCATCGAGAGCGCTTGGAGATTGAGCTAGAAGGTAAGAACCGTGTGCTAGAAGCTGAGCGGTTGGAGGCAGGGCACACCTCCCGCACGGCATCGCACAGTTGTCAGAAATGGGGTTCTTGCGAAGGAAGAGCAAGAGATCGTTGCTCGCGCTGCTGCCTGGTTTGCTTTCGCCCGGGGACTATTCCTGCCTAGAGGGTTCTGCAACACTTGACAGGAATGAAAGGCGAACGAAAGAGATGCTTAGACTATGAACAGCTCCATCCTCAGATTCAAGTAGCAGCTGCAGGTGGGGATGCCTTCGGGCCAAGGTACAGTCCTGTCATTGCTCTCGCTCCCAGGTCGAAGCTGCAAGAGAAGATAGAGTGGCAGAAGTTTGTGTCTTGCACATCGCGCCCGAATGTGATGTATCCTTCTCAGTCGAGTTTTCACTGATGCCTCGGGCTTCGGTTCCGTCTCGCGATCGTGACTTGTTAAGGTTCGAGAGTGAGATCACCACTTACGTCACGATGGTACGTCTCGTCCTTGGAGCTCACTTTGCTTGTGCAGGAACAGTGAACAGCGAAGGAACTAGTGCACCTAGCTCGATCTCGGCAGGCGAGGAGAGGTCAGATCGAGAGTCCATGGAGTCTGCAATCGAGAAATGCAAAGCTGCAGAAGAAGTTGCCTGGTTCTTGGCAGGGCTATGCAGGGCTTCTCTGAAGATTCAGCGAAAGACAGCATCTTGTCAACAAGCTCCAGGTCGGTGACCTTCTGGAGCTTTACTGCAAGGCCTGTGAAGAGGGCGACGTGATTCGACAAGATTGGCTCCGGGCTAAGTTTTTTCTTCCCAAGTGTTTTTGTGCAGACTCTGCCTGTGTGCCATGATTTTCAATGCTGCACATGAATGCAGCTGCGAGGTGCATGCACTACATCGCTGAGATCCGCGAGCTGGAGATCGAGCTGATAGACGCAGCTACCGCGCATCTGTCAGGTCCTCATGCTTCGACGGTGATTCCATGAACTGACCACCGACAGCTCGGCTTAGTCAGAACCAGGTGCACGAGTTCCACTAGAGCTCTCAGGGACCTACTGGTTTCATCTTCCATGACAAAATAGCGGCACCATCAACCTTGCATCCAGAGTAAGCGAGAGAGAGAGAGAGAGAGAGAGAGAGAGAGAGAGAGAGAGCGGAAGAGAGAGCAGCAACAACCCAAGCCCCGAAAGAACAGAGCAACAACTCCGGACATGCCACCAAACCTACCCATAGGGGACGCTCCTGGGAGCCTGTCTGGCCGCTGCCAACGGTGGGACGACGACACCCCACCGTACCACTCACAGATGGGGTGGGGGGTCCATGGGACCACCATGACCCACAGCACGTCCAGACGATAGCAGAAAGCACAGGGGGGAACTTGCTTCAGAGTGTACCTGGCTTAGCAAAAAACTCCACAGTAAAGAGCCGACCAGTTCTCTCGGAACAGCGGCATCCGACAGGCAAGGAGCCGTTGATTCGATGCCGGTCGAAATGAATAGGTTTAGGGCTCCCAACTGCTACTCCAGTTTTCCCGACTTCTGCAAAATTCCTGGCACCCTCGTGATTCTGACTTTCCTTGCCTTTTCATGGCTTTCCTTGACGAACCGACATCAACGTATTTCAGCACGGACCGCTCGCAATCAGTTGTGACAGGGCGCTTCGGGATGGTGTGCATTCGCCGAAGATGACAGAAACGGACAATGTAGATACAGCATATCGTTGCGCTTGGAGAGATTGCCTTGGTAACGCATGTTACGTAGTCTGATTGTTGAATGTATTGTCGATGCACAATGACATGAGGGCCCAAGTCGTTTGGTTTCCTGGATGTTCTCGACCGAGGCTATTGTATATCGAAAAGCAGGAAGCGAACACACATTTGCAGGTCCGGAGCTCGGCAGAGACTGTTTTGTGAAGGGGCAGAACAGCAATCCTTTGCCAGGTATACCTCCAGTGGGGCAATGCCAACGATGAGTTGAAGGCCCGGCAACTTCCTTGGTGACATTTCATGACATTTCTATTTGTAGGGGCATCGTCAGGTCGGATTCTGGGGCCACTTGCAAAGCAAGGGCTTCCGGGCAAAGTCCATCGAGCACAGCAAGATTCAGATAGGAGAGTTTCCGGATGTTGACGTGCTTGTTCCACCATTGGGCACTGGGATTATACCGGAGGACTAGATCTGCCAAAAGCGATTCAGCTACAGTCCATCGGACATTGCATCGGTGCACTGAGCTCAGTCAGATTTTCGCTTCCGCCAGAGTCATTTCGCACGCTGCTCACATGCCGTTGCGGAGTCTTTCGGAGTCCCAGGTGCGGTCTTTGTACACAACTTTCGACAGCGCGCAGGGCAAAGACCCGCAGATGGGAATAGGAGGAATGATCCGTGCCATGCCCTTGGGCATGCCCAGAAGATGCTGGTACCTGGAAGTGGCAAGAGCAAGCTGAAGTTGTAAAGGAAAAATGAATGAGTCATGTTGTGCCGTGCTTGTTTTGCCGAGGTGGACTTGCTCTCGATCCCTCCGTTCAGCAAGAAGGTCAAAGGGTGGACCATCCGCCAGGTTCCTGCACCTGGCAAGGACCTTCTGCCTACTGAGTGTGGAGAACGACCGTGGCACAGCGTGGCGCAGCATGGCTCAGCGTGGCGCAACAAAGGAGCTCATGAAGTTGCCCTATCCCAACACCGAGCATACGACCGTGACGCTGACCTGTCTTCTGCTAGCAACATGCGCAAGTCTGTCAGCAACACGGTTGCAGGCCAGTACCGCTATTGCAGCCCCTTGCAAGATTGACTACAAGGCAGCGTGGCCCATGGTGCCCATGCCCTGTACATGTCAATTGCGCGTACTGTACGCAGGTGTACAGTGTTACAGTGTTCTTCGTTCGATTTCGGGGGCTTCCTGAAGTGGCCCTGAAGAGGTTCCGGCGCACGTGTTGGTCAGCAAGAATCCGGTGGTCTCTTGGTGGGATGCCTGTCGCTTAAGCAGCACCCCTCCCAGTCTCGGGTGCTTGAGAGAAGAAGTCAGCACTCAGGCATCACTGGAACGTTGGTCAACAGAAGGCATTAGCGAGATTACTTGGGAGGAGGCTCCTGGAATCACTTGTGAGATAAGTAACGGAATTGGCTTCTCAGTTTTGGCTAGCTGCGTGATCTGTGTGGTGAAGCGGTTGGAGGATACGCGCAAGATCTCCTTTTTTACTGCTCGGCTTGCATCCTTCTCCATTACACAGGACGACGAGTGTATGCAGTAGGTAAACCCTCGATGATGCCTCGCTGCCTTTGTTCTTCAGGAGAGGCACATTGACCTGCCGTACAAGCACTGGAATATGAGGTGCCCTCTGGGCATAGTGCTGCTGGGTTGGCGTGCTTTATCTTGGGTCTTGCCAGGCCATGTGACGACTTCACCGTTGAGCTGACAGTGCAGGCTCGAGATGCAAGTGCGAGCAAGTAGATCCGTCGCAGTAGTGAGATGTCGTGAGATGTCGGTAAGAGACACCTGTCAAGGCAGCAAGGTACGAGCTTCGCTTCATGATCTCGGAAGATGGACTCAGGCCGAGCACAGGCTCCTTTTCCGGAGCCCAGTAAGGCTTCGCTAGCCTTTGCTCTCGAGGCTCAAGGGGCCTCAGCTGCCTGAGCTTCTGGATGTGATGCATGGACGGCCTGTTTGTGCAACAGATGTCGCTTGAGAGAACATGACTCCCATGCCGGGGCACGAAGGGCACGGGGGGGCAACGTGGTGACGTGCCAGGTTTGAGGCTGGCAGTGGCGAGGCCCACGTTGCGGACTCTTGGCGGTGTGGTGTGTGAAGAGTTTTGCGAAGTGGTCCCTTTGTGGCAGGCGGGTGGCCTCAGCGGGCCCAGCGGCCGTCGACCTCGCGTGCGCAGTACGGGAGCCCAAGGAGCAAACAGACGAAGCCAAAAAACCCAGCTCAAAGCTTCGAAGGCCGAGCCTCGATGGTCTCCCCAAATTGAGAAACAGAGCAAAGCAGAGAAGAGCGATAGCAAAGTGCAAAGCTTGCGTGTGGTCCACCTGAGGCCCGGCCACGCTCTTGAATGAGCTGCGAGAGTGCGGCTTGAATCTGATGCCCAAGGCCTCTGCAGGGCTCCCAAAAAAACCTGAGCTCGCCTTCCCCCTTTTCCTCATGCTCCTCTTTGGCCTCACTCTCCCCTCTCTAGCCAGCAGCCTGCCGGAAACGCCATTTGTATTCGCATTTTGACCGTCTAGCAGAAGTTGCAGGAGAAGATGTATCCACCATTCGGGAGACACATTATTGTGGTCCCTGAACCTTGAGGTTAAGTCTTCAAGCGTGTAGGATTCAGGCTTTGGAGAGGTAACCTTCTGGTATGGGACTTCAGGCACCACGGGCGATTTAGGGCAAACGGCAAACGTTTCAATTGGGTTGGGGCCTATCGGAGCCTCATTCTTCACTGGAACAGTTGGCGGAAAGCTTGCGCAAACTCCTGCCTGTGTAGCATTTCTTGTTTAGACGCTCCCTCATACAAGTAAAGCTACTGCTGGGCTGCTGTCAACCACGAACCGAAGCTTCGCCCATGGCAGAACTCGGATGCTGACCAGCTCGAGGGCTACACGCCGAAGCATCCAGAAACACAGGCCGACCGTGGCCTGCTGTTGCAGCACAATGCTTATCCTTCGACCCCGATGCTTCTCGTAGTGTAAGTAACATGGGTCGGAGATGATCGCGAACTCATGTAGCCGTACTTCTGGGTGCATGCCTTGTTAGGCTCGTGCGTACTCCGATCTGAGCGAAATCGCCGCTTACTATGACATTGCCTCCTCGGTGCACAACAAGGACATCCGTGCCTCCACTCTCTGCAAGCAGAAGGTGTAGCACAACAGCTTATCCTGTCTTTTTCTGTTTTGGCCAAAGTTCTACTTCCAGGACTTGCCCGCAGAGCGTGCGCTCGTGCGCATTCGAGAGAATGAGCTACATGAGGTTCGAGCCTTCTGGGCTTTTGCTGGTGAGTGCAGTTGCGCCTTTGCAGCGCCTCCTTTTTTTGGACATCGCCTTTCGCATTTTTGGTATTCGTTTTTGTGTTCCGCATGGTGCTGGTCTGCTGGTTCTCTGGTATGTCCTTTTGTCCCCGTGGCCCTTTCATCCCGTTGTCCGCTGCTCTTGTTGTCCCGTATGAGGGGCTTTTTTTGAGTCCGGGCTTGGCATGGGGTGTTGTGAGTGTGCGGCGACGCATGAATCAAGTAGCAAACATCGACGAACCTGATTAAGCCATCGTCACGAAAATCTGCAGGGCATTGCGAGAGCACAAGAGGAAATCAAGAACAACAAATAGCGAATATCGACACGAACGAAGAATAGCAGAAATAGCGACAGCAGACACACATACGTCATTCCAAGGTCCTAGGAGAACATCGTAATTCTTCACCCTTTCACGTGGCGCTGCTGTACAAGTCAGGTCTCAAGAAGCCTGACGGAGTTGAGCAGCTTAGTTTTTGTCCCAGGTCTTCAATCCCCTGGATCCCGATGGCGATGCTGATTATCAAGCACTGATGTTCTTCCCGGACAAGTGCTGTTTTGTACAGTGCGACCGGCATGTTAGATGCTAGATTTGCAGCAGGTGGACTCCTGCGTGCTTGTCAGGTCACTCGAGGGGATTTCGCCGTGCAGGGAGGTCCATAGATGAGTTGGTGCAAGTTGATGCCGAAGCCAAGCCAGTGTGCAAGCAGAAGTGACCAGAGATATCACACAGGCCATGGCCCCGGGCCACATGACCCACGCCAGCCTTTACCTTTGCTTTGTGGGCAGCTGAGAGAACAGAATCTGGCTTGACCGTCTCTAGCTGTGCTGTGCGGCTTCCCTTCGTGTTGAGGATAAACATCCATCTCCGGGACCTGCTCATGCTGAGCAGCTTCAGCGATTGGAAGTCACGTCGCTGTCTTGCAATGAAGACAAGCCCACTTCACGGGCATCTTCGCATAGCACACGTATATACTGAGGACGTCTACTGTCCGCTTCGTGGAGGCAGTGCGGCCACTGCCTCAACTACCGCAGCGGCTTGCAAAGGCTTTGAAAGTCACCAAGAGCAGGCCTTGCATGACAGTCCTCAACGTTATTTTTTGAGTTTGGATGGCGAGCGGTTGATTACTGGAGTGGAATGCCTCGGGCCCCCTTATTTGCACTCCCCAAGGCGTGCCTTCCTGTGGTTTTCTAGAGCTGAACGACAGTATCAAAGAATGCCCTACTTATCCAGAGAGCCCCAGGAGGTTCATTGGATCGTGTCTTTGCAATCCACCTCAGTGCCAAGGCAAACGATGCAACTCATGCATCTCCTTTCCTTTGTGTGAGGGCTGATTAATGACTTCATGCAATGCTGCATGCGGCACCGCAAGTGGCGGTGTATGGCATCGAGATCTTCTGAAACTTACCAGAAGGGTTTCACACCGGTTGCTGGTTCCCTATCGCCCTGAAAAGGGGCGAATTTATTGGCATGCGCCTTGGGATCAAAATATGCCAGGGCAGGTGCAAGCTCGCTTCGCAGCCCGTCGCCCTTGCACCATGTGTGTCCTCCATACCACTATGCCGTGCCGTGCCTTGCGCAGGTACCATTATCATACTATGCCTACTATATATGTCATAGATACGCCATGTTGCATCTTTGGACTTGGCTCGCCTTTTAGACTGGGGGGGGACACCTCTCCGGTGTCTGCTTGACATGGCAGACTCCGAGTCCGAGGATGACGAGCCCAAACAAGTTGCAAGCTTACGCTGCTCAGGCATTCTCTTGTCAAGGGGGCAGTCCATTTACGTGTGCCTGACTTGGCGGAGTCACGAACCTCTCCTGCAGTGGAATGCTTCGACAGCGTATGGGCCGCACTCATTCTGAGGCCGGTGAGAACACCGCGGCAGACACTGCGGAGACCGAAGGCAAGGAGGCAGAGGATGCTGCCGAGGCATCCTGTCCGGTGGGTGAATGCCTACCATCGCATACCTGTTTCTGCACGTGCTCAGGATGTAAACGCAACGGAGGATGTCAAGGAGGCCAGCAAGACTGTAGGAATTCCAAGCAGGCCTTGCAATTGTGAGGTTCTTCGTCCCGTAACCTGTCCTGTTAGCAACTGCAGGTGCAGGTGGAAGAAAAAGTTGAGGCCATGGCCACCAAGAAGGATCCCAAGGGTTCTGTGCCATGCAAAGGCGCATGCAAAGATAGACGAGTCGAAATAATTACATCTGTTTATCATGTGTTGCTCGGAGGAGGAACTGCCCGAGGAGAAGCAAGAAGGCCTAGTGAATTGTCTGTCACCAACCGCGAGCAATTGAGTGCCTTTTGCCGCTTTTGCGACAGCGAGAGATGACGCTTTGCGTGTTCAAGTCTGAAACCATTCCCCCAGTCTATCTCTGGTTTCTGGGGGGGGGGTCCAGGAAGTTCTATTTCCCATCCCGGAAAAGGGGGGGGAGGGGGAATTAGGAATGAAGCAGCCAACGTCGCAGAAAAAAAATCTAATGGACTTTTTCGCTGCTGCTTGCTGTCAGAGTTTGGTTCTGTTGCGGTGAGTGCCTTGCCAGTGCGGCAGACATGTGGGATCATGGGAAGCCGCGCCATGCAAAATTTAAGGCCACGAAGACATAAACCAAAGCGCCGCTTCCAGGACTCTATCAGAAGGGAGCCCAAGTGCCTTGCCCGGCACCATGAATTAGGAATAAAATGGGGGCCCCCCGTCATGAAACCTCGCCCAAGCCAGTGTTTCCTTCAGATTCACCCCCCCCTCTTTATTCCTTTGGGGCTTTCGCGAGTCTCCCAGATTGTCTAGGACTCCACCTCTAGGAATCCAGGGATTCCCAAGAAGGAGCCCACGGGCCTTGCCTGGCACCGCGAATTAGAATAAAACGGGGACCCTTCATGAAAACCTCGCGCAAAGCAGTGTTTCCTTCAACCCCCCCCCCCTCTTTATTCGGGAGTCTCCCAGACCCTCTAGAACTCTGCCTCTCGGGATCTAGGATTCTCAAGAAGGAGCCCATGGGCCTTGCCCGGCACCGCGAATTAGGAATAAAAAGGTCCCCCCCCCCAACATGAAAACCTCGCCCAGCACAATGTTTCCTTCACCCGCCCCCGCCCCCCCCTCTTTAGTCCTATTTCTCGGCCTCCCGCAAGTCCTGGCTGGGTTCTCCCACCCTCTAGGCGCCGCCTCTAGGATGCCCAGAAGGAGCCCACGTGCAGTTCACTCACGTTCCGGAAGGAGCGAAAACACAGAGCCACAGCATCACCGCTGCAGAAACGCATAGTTACAAGTAGGTGCATTTTCTTTTTTTGTGTTTGAAGGGGGGAGGGTCGGGGCCCTCCCCTCCCCCAAACCCTACTCGGAATAAATTCCTAATTCCGAACCCCCCCCCCCTAGATAAACTGGGGAATCTGAAACACCAAAGCATTGTTGCAGGTGGCAAGCCGCCGTGAGCTCGGAGAATGTGAGTGGGGTTTTGCTTTACGAAGATGACTTCGTGAGAGCTTCAACTGACAAGCCAAGCCTGCCCCTTCGGAAGATCCAAAGCCTTCCGGCTAGAAGGCTAGGCATTATCCGCCAAACTCCCCGTTTCAAACCGCCAACATCAGCTGAAACCCACATAAGTAATTGCATGGAACCCCAGAGAGGTCAGGAATACTAAGATGCCCTGCTCAAGGTCGTACACGCTTCACATTCGGGGCCTTCCTAGTAGTGTGGCCGGCGACTCAGTGTACGTCGAACATGGCATCGGTTGAGTTGTACACTCGCACATCGCTAAGCCGCTCAGGATCTTGATGAGCTGAAGATCCGCTTAGAACGCTTTGGTGAGGCCTGGAGTTACTACCGCTCCGTGCACAAAACAAGTTGTTCACCACATCTCCACTCGTGTACCACCCCTATAACCTCTTTAGACCTTCGACGCATTTAGGCATAGCAGCTTCGCCATCCGAAGGTGGTGGATATTCAGCAGGAGGAGGGGACCGTGGTCGCGAAGTTCTCGAGAACCAGCGAGGCCGAGCGCGGCATTCCCAGGCCGTTTGCTCTTCCCATCAAATTGAAGCTGAAGGCCTTTGAAGCTCAGCAGAAGCTCACGCTTGGTCCAGACGTTGTTATAGAGCCAGGGTCTCAACAAGTGTCTACTTCGAAAACTCAGGGAGAAAAGTGATTGCCGGAGTGATTGTCGTGGGGATTGGCGTGCTCTTCGTCAGGTTCGGCCCCCAAGATCCGGACCACTACAACCGGGCCAAGAAGCGTGTCGCAGACTAAGCCTGGACTGAGACTGAACCTCTTGTTCCTATTGCTAGCTTCTTCGATATGGTCTACCGCTGTGCGCAACATAGAGGGAACCGCCGAATGTTGACCGAACCCTGTTTTCTTTCCCGCCCTTGGGCTGGATGTAGGGGCTTACGCTGGCAAGTAAGGATGTGTAGCAACGGACCCCTCTGCACATTTGCGGGGTGCAGGTTCTTGCGATGTGTGCATGTTGCCAGGAGAACTCAGGTTCTCCTGGTCGGGTGTCAGCTTTCTGAGAACATCTGAGTCACTTCCGATACAAAGCGCGGTGGTGTCAATCGGTGGCACCAGCAAATGACGACACTGTAGCTGCAGTAACAGCGCTGGAGAAGAAACATTTAGTTTTCGATGAAGGCGGGCCGACCCCTTACTATGAAGAATTTGAGCAGCTGGGTTTCTTTGTTTTCACATCCAAACCTTAAATTTATTTCAGGATCCAGGCCCCTCAGTCGCTTGTTTTTGGGGTGCGGTGCCTGCTGCAAAAAATACTTTAAGCAAACTGAGGGTACCCTCGCTTTCTTCATCTCGTATTGCTCTCACTTTATGTTGCCGAAGGCTCCCCCCTCTGAGGGTGCTCTCGTTTCTTGTCTTATTACAGCGTTACAGGAGAGAGAGGCATATCATATCCCCAACAAGTTCTCAGGCCTGTGCTGGCAGCAGTTCTATGAGGGATTGATGTGGCACATGTGCACTTTATCAATACCACCTGCAGGAAGCACAGTAGGAAAAGAGCCGATGCAAGTATCCACGTGCCCACAGTCGGATGCTCAGGGTCGACGGCAAGATGTTGAAGATGGGCTGGGATCTCATGCGCCACATTTGTACCATGCGGACGTCGGCTGGAGAGCAAGAGAGTTCGATATTTCCAGGGCTGGCAGCGCCGGCAACAACAAAGGCAGGTTTCGTTGCAGCTGCCTCCGCGGTGTTTCTTGGTTTTGTGTTGCCAGGGCGTGGCCTCCGAGCATTTCAGTCGGAGAAAGATGAGGCGTGGATCACGGAGCTGCTTTCTTCATGGCTTCATTCTTGTGGTATGGACTGGACATGTCTTGAAGCCTCATGTCAGGGACTAATCCCAAAGAAGAAGGCAGAAGATGAGGCATTCATCATTCCGAATCATTCCAGTCGTAGCACCGGCTTAACGGCTTAGAGTGTGTGGGCAACATGTGCCTCCAAAGGCGGTTGAGGCACCTGCCAAAAAGGCACGCGGCCAACAAGCAGCTGGGGCTCCCGGTGTTTCGCATTCGTTTGCCTGTCACCCATTCCGTCACCCCTTCCGTCACCCCTTCCGTCACCCCTTCCGTCACCCCTTCCGTCACCCCTTCCGTCACCCCTTCCGTCACCCCTTCCGTCACCCCTTCCGTCACCCCTTCCGTCACCCCTTCCGTCACCCCTTCCGTCACCTTCCCTTCCCCTTCCCGGTGATTTGCGGGCTGTGCAGTCTTGCGGCATCTTTTGGTCTGTCCGAGCTTGGTTTTGCGATGCTTTGCGTTGGCTTAGCCTTTTTGTTTCGGTTCTTTGCACCTTGGCTGTACTTGATATTGGTCTGCGTTTGGGCTTTGACCAGGTGCTCGTGTGTGTTCTTGTGCTCAGCTGCAGCAATAGAATTCCGAGGCCAAACTAACCCCTCCGTCGAAACCCATCTCAAGATGGTCCGACAGCATAATCCTCAGCACCTTCGTTCGGCTAAGAGTTGCGTAAATCAGCAGCTGACTCAAATTCAGGACTAAGCTTCGAGGAGCAGCTCGAAGATTTCATGAAAATGCCTCGTCGGGGCATGCCATCACCCCAGCCCCTGATCTTGCTGAGCTGCATTGGGCTGCACGAATCTGCATGACTGTGCAATTTGATTTGTTTGGGATGCGAGCCTTCAGGTATAATCGCTATCTCGTTCTTGGGAAGCTTCCTCCCGAGCTGCGGACAGGCACTTGAAAGCTGACAAGCATCAAGCAGCATCAAGGACTTTTCGTTCCTGCCGGAGCACATGTTGTCAGGCGAAAATATTTGGCGACTCATGCAACCGGTGCAGAAGGACATTGTGCAGGCGTGCAGGATCATGTCACAGTTCTGCAGAAGTTCGTGACGAAATCATTCTGGCAACAAGCGCACTCAGCAGCATGAGCTGGTCAACTGACTTTGTACATATTTTAGACACGATTATTTGCGTCGGACATAGTTGTTGTGGCTTGATGTTCGCAACACGCTCACACATCTAAATGGAGTGCAACTAGTCTCAAGTCATGCTCATGCAGTTGAAGGGAGCCAGACAGCTCATGCATGCACACATGCAACATGGGCTGCGTTGGCGGAACTGGCCGCATGCATGCATGCATGCCCTCAGGTTGACACGGCCTGCCGGCCCATGTCTGACTGTTTGTTGCATTGTAGGGTAGTAGATAGTTCGCTCCTTTTGCCTTCATGGTATATCATACCGCCTTGCATGGTGGGACTTGCATTTCCTTGGAGCAAGGCTGCCTGATTATTCCTGCCCTGGCCCCCCCCCCCCCCCTGCATACACTAGCATCAGAAAATTTCCACGGTAAGCTTCAAGGTGGAGATGCTGACATGCTTCGGCAAGCCTGTGGCGCATGTCACTCTGCGCAGTGCCACGGCAGCAGCCGCGATGCACCGCTTGTGCGAGCAGCCAGCGCCCAAGAAAGCAGGGCTCGAGATGAATTGAACCTTACGGCCTTACGTCGCGTGCGGACGTTCTCGGACATGCCAAGGAATCACAAAAACCTGACGGTTGCCTTTGCGCCACCTCGGAAGGCTGCACAGCAGACTAGCCGAGTAGCCTTTAAAGCCTGTCGCGACTGCTAAACAGCCTCAGGCCACAACAACATTGTGGCTAGGGAACGTGGACGACTTCGTGCCACGAAAGTCGCTTGAGAGTGTCCTGGCCTCGTGCGATCCTCAGACTCCCGTTTGCGTCGGATGAGGCATACGCAGAGCTTTCTCGCACGTGAGGTATGGCAAAGTCTTACATGGCTTGCGATACCTTCCAGCTCGTACATGCGCCTTCGCCACATTCGGCGAGGCTGGATGCTCTGATCATTTGACGACGTCCGGGTCTGCTTTAGAGAAAGTTAAAGTTAGTTTCGTTGCGATAAAACAATTTCATTCAGGTAAATGCAGAAAATGGGACGTTTCTTCGTGCGTACTGCTAGTGCCACGTGTCGGCGCATGGAAGCTGCATTGTAGCATGCCGCACGGCTAAGGCCGCATGTCAGGGACATCTTCTCGCAATTGTACAGCGAGATCGATGCGCATGTGTTGTTTCATTAGGTGAACACTGGAAGAACGTGTGACAGCTGGAAGTGAGAATCAAGCAAGTGGGAAGTAGTTCATCGTGAATGAGTTCAGCTTGGCAGTTTCCTCGAGTGAAAAGGATGGTCTTAAAGGCTGAAGTGGTGTTGCATTGGCTGCAATTCAGCTTGAGGAAGAAACATACTAGTGGGCATTCGTATCGCTTTCGTCGCATCATGTGTGCTCGTATCTGGAATCTCGACTCGCTGCTGACTTGCACAATTCCACCTTAAAGACTGTCTTCTGGCAATCTCTGAGAGTACTCCGCAATTCGAACCAAAGGGGCGGGAAGATGTGGGAAGCTTTAAGCGAAGGCTTCCGACAAAAGCAGAGTGGGAATCCAGAATCCTGCATGCTTGATCATGCCACTACAAGGACAAGCCGTCAAGGCGGAAAACCCCCAAAACGAAGTGGACAGCCCTGAGCCCCGAGGGGACCCGTACAAAACCCATCCTTAAGCTCTCAAGCGATACCTTCTAAGCCAAGCCCATGGGCTGCCGTGGGTCAAAGGAGTGGTCTTGCAGTCGAAAGAGTGCAGAGAGTTCAAAGAGTTCAACAGAGTTCGGAGGGTTGCTGACCTCGAATGAGAGAGGAAACACTATGTGATTCGAATGTTGTTTCAGCCTTCAGCCGCTCTGGACTTGAGCAACTGCTCAGCAGCTGCCAGGTGAGCAGTTCGATTGCTGCTAGGAATAGCCTATATGGCCTGGAGGTGCAGAAGAATCAGCCGCCCTGGCTTGTTTACCGCACCCGACCTTACTGGGATATTGCCATTGACTCGAGGTACCTGAACATAGACTTTGTGGATGATGTAGATGCGCAAGCTTCCCCCCCAGATGTCAGAAGCTCAGAGAATCGAGGACACCACTCAAACCTCGCGCATGCTCCGGTGCATCAATGAGCAGCAATGCGAGAGCATAGCGCAGCCTGGTGCAGCATCCACCTGCAAAGGCTTGGGGAATGTGGGGTGGTGGTGGTGCGCCGGCATGGCCGCCACCACCCTGGGGCATGCCTGGGATGCCGCCAGATTCTTGGAGAGCAAAAGTTGCGACGAAGGGCAGATCTGTTGGATGCAGGCCATGGGGCCCTCGTCCTCCATGGGCGCCGCTGGAGCCCGAGACAGCTGCCCGGACGGCAACGCTGCAGTGAACTGCTGGGCTCTGTCGAGGCCCCCCGGCATCGGAGGAGGCTGGGGCATGCCTGGCATGCCACCGATGCCTCATGGTGGACCTTGGCGTGCAGACCTCAGGTCTAGAAGCGCTTGATAGCCTTCCACTTTTCTGTGAGCGTTGCAGTCGATGTCATTTCATTCCCTGGTCTGCGTGTGGATGCTCCGCACACAACGTTGTGAAGCCTTACAGGTCCTCCTCGGGCGGAGCCTGCTTGTACAGTCGAGCTCAGATGCTTGTTGGGATGGTCCGCCTGCCAGGATTCCGACCATTGGCGAAACTCCGATGCCTTTGGTGTCTGGAGCTTTCAAGATGACGCTCGGGACCTGTGCATTGACATGTTTTGCCGAGGCTGTGCCTGGAGCTCGTCTAGTTGAGTGTGATGCCTCAGCCGTCGAAACTGGGATGCCCCTGCTATGGCCCATCATAGCGCCCACTTCAGCTATGCAAGGCGTTCCAAGAAAGGCCGTGCGCGCCAAGAGTCGGCCTCAAGAAGTCCACGACAGGCGCCATGGCTCTAAACCGGAACTCTTCAAACGTCGATGCCCCGCACATCCCCATGCTCAAAGGGTAAGAAGAAAGACAAGGAAGGCTTGATCCCAAGCAGTGTGCAGTATTCTGAAGCGTAGTGCCACAAAGTCGTGCTGTGGTAAGGCTCCAAAGCAGACGCAGAGTCGCGAGCACAGAACAAGTGAAGCCATCCGTCGAATTCGTTAACTGACTTGCAGCGTCAGGCCTGATGCGCGCGGCACCAAGGCCGACTTTCTGTCAACGTATAGAATCGTTGTCGTTCAACCTGCATCCCCTCCGCCTCTGCCCTCTGCTCTCTGTACCGCTCTTTCTCTCTTTATTTCTTGCTTGCTTTCTTCACCTTTCTCGATCCCTCTCGCTCTCTCCCGCTCACTCTCTCTCTCTCTCTCACTCACTCCATCTCTCTCTCTCTCTCTCTGTCTCTCTCCCTCCCTCAGCCTTCTCTCTCTGTCTTCGCAATGCATTCTCTGTGTGCTCTGTTTTTTTTGAAGATTCGACCTGATACATATCCTCTTCGTGGGCAGTTCAAAGTGAAGCTCTACAAAATGGGGGAGTTTTGCTGCAACATTGTGGCCAACTTCGTCAAAGGCACTTCATGCTAGCGCGATGTTGGTGATCTCGTGGGCCATACCTAGATTGGTCAGGCAAAGAGAGCCCGGAGTCGTTAACAAACAAGCTGCAGATTGACCAGCGCACGAAGGCGCTCCTGCGTGTTGTTCCGTCTTAACAGCTATCATCTACCTAAGAGTCAGATTGCGTACCCACCTCGGCTTGCAATTGCATGAAGACTTCTGGAGTTGTGCCGGGTGCCCTCTGCTTGTCATTCTTCATGGCCGCTTATACATAATGTTGCCCTGAGATTGATCATTGCCGAGCGCACATGGATCGAGCGGGGGCTCTTTCTACAGTATGGCATTTCTCGGCTGCTGATAGGCGGGACCTTCAATTTCCTGTGTCATGCTGCAGTAGGTCAGGATCCTTGGTGATGCGTAACCGTTTCCCGCAGGCGTGACTGTGCAGCGTCAGTGGCTTACATTGGTGTACTGAAGTTTGCTGTCCCTGTCCCGATAGAAGCCAAGCAGTAGCAGCATTCACAGCCCACACAGTACGTCTTGCTCGAACAGTCCGCAGAGTCCAGCTCATGACGTTGAGGTACGATGCCCTTTGCGATTATTTCGTGGAGAAGCAGCGCGTAGGTGCAGCCGGTGAACGTCAGGTCCACCGGCCATCTCGTGCGATGTGGCAGGATTGGTCCAGACTCCCAGTTACTACATTTACATTGTTCCACCTACGGAGAAGCCGGGAGCTTATTGATGCTTAGTCTTTGTTTCAACATTCACACAAGAAATGCTCCGCCATATTTTGTGCAACTGCATCCTGCAGGTATTTGAAAGAGCTGAATCTTCCCGCCTCCAATTTCGTCGTGGGACTGCAAATCCCAATCAAAAAGTAGAGCGGCGCAAAGCCAGACGGCAGGTGTGAAGTATGCCCCGTGGTAACCGCATCAGAAGACATGACTGACTAACCCTTTTTGGGGGGTCAGATCAACCACGCTGTTTCTGATCTTGGCGAAAGAGCTGCGGCTGGTGCTCTGCCCGGGTCGCCTCCAGGAGCTCAGAAGCTTTTGAAGCAACGAGTATCTTAGAGGAATGGCAGCATCTTGCGGCCACGCATGCGCGGCGTGTGATCGTTGCTGAAAACGAACTGCATCATGTCAGTTTAGCAGTCATGTGCAGACCAGCCACACCTTGTGTGGCATGCATGATGATGCATGATGCGTGAGGCTCAACTGCCCGTCTTCTGACTGGCATTCGGCCTTCCGCAGTCTGTACATACACACGACTTGATATTCAAGTGACGGCGAGTCATATATCTGGAGCCAGCAGTCAAGACAGGCCGACAAAGCAGCGAGCAACATGGAGCAACATGGAGCATGGATGCCGATGGGCATACTTAGATGGCACTAGAGGTGTTCAGAGCAGCAGTTCAAGGAGGGTAGGAAGTCCCATGATGTATACCGGACGTTCCCTCGAGCTTGCATGCAGTCCACACCCCAACCCAGTATGGACTCTGGGAATCCGACTTCCTTCTGCTCTGTTGTAACAGCCGCAAGCCTGGAGGCGAAAACTCAGTACTACCTCATGGACAAAGGTCTTGTGCAGCCGGCATGCTTGTCAAGAACCTTCAGCTGCTGAGCACGTTTTCCACCATCCTTGGGCAGCAGTGTGGCTGCAGCAATTATCGGGTGCATCTTCTTCTCTGCCACTCGTGGTTCGGGGGGTTACCCAGACCGGAGCTGTCAAGCTTGGGAAGATGAAGCCTCACCCGATTGTAGGCGGATACTGGACGCAAACTCTCGTAGTTCCCTCATCCAAGAAGAGAGAGTCGAAAAAGGGTGAGAAAGGTAAAGAAAGGTGTCTTATAACATCTTATCACGCAGCACTGTCGCGAACTATCAGGCACGCTTCATGCATAGGCCTGGGGCTCCCCCTCTGCAGCAGGGGCAGCAGCATGTTTACATGAGGATGGCCTGAACCCCGCAACTGGAAAAGATGCGTAAACGCATCCGAGCGACGCTGTGCATTCGCTGTGTTCCGTCTTAAAGTTGATTCTACCCAGCAGCTTCCCGCCAACCGTGGAAGCGGAGCCTGCGAGCTCCAGTCCCATGAGGGGTCCCCTGGGCACGTTTATCGGGAGGGGGAAGGGGGGGAGAGGGTGCGACGGCAGAAGAGCGGGACGTGCGTGGCAGGGTGGGAGGATGGGAGGGTGGGAGGGTGGTGGAGGAAGAAATATCTTGTGATACCCATCCGTTCGGTCAATGGATGCGTAGCGCAATGCATAGCAATACTAACGGTTCGGCATGCGGTGCATTGCAGCTTGTGGTAGAAGCATGGATGAACTAGCCCTGTTCACAAATAGGTGATCGTTTGGCTCACCGAGTCATTTATGAGGTCATATGGATGAGGGAAGACCAAACACGTTCGCACTCCTACATGAAAAACGTGCTTGGACAAATCTGGATCCCGGATGTGAAAGTGCACTGCGCGAGGTACTTGAAGCAGCCCTTCGAAGACAACTACGTCGACGATTCCTTTCTCGATTCTCTTGTGTTGAACGCCCATGTTACCAGATACGAGCTGCGCCCTCACCCACGTCATAATTAAGCGGTGGCATTGCAACAGAGGCAGACTTGTGTGCATTCTTTGGCTGACGAAGGCTGCATGCGTTGTGCTGCAGCACTGCGTCCATTATCCGGCAACTATGCTTGGTCGGGATCTTTGTAAATGCCTAGTCCTTAGATTCAAAAGCCGAAGTCGATCTGCCGCACCATTCTGCATGTGGAAGGGCGTGCTGGCTGTGCAAGGTTTGGTGGAAGGTTCAACTGGAGTGTGAATTTGGGTGGCTTTGGGCAGTCGGAGGATTGCTCTTCTGCTGCCATGTCTGCACAGCCGCCTTGTTGAAGATTCAAAGCCTCCGTGCCGAGTCAGCTTGGTTGTGCCAGGCCAAAGTAGCAGTTTTCGCCCTTTCTCATGTGCTGGTGAAGTCCAATCCTCAGTCGGAAGGCCCGGGTGCTTTGTGATGCGATCCATGCAATCCGAGGTCGTCTTGCAAGTTTTGCAGACTTGCACGATCGTGTTTCCGCTTGGGGCCGGGGGCCGAGGTGTTTGCAGAGATTAGCAAAGGTTCAAACCAAGCGGAGTGTTGCCTAGGCTTAGGCAGTTTTGTCCTTGGCAACCACAAGGTTCTGGCTCCTTTGCTTCAAGCCTTGACCCGCAGTTGGAGCTGCACCCCTAGACTGACCTGACAAATCTGGCGCCTCCTCTCTCTTTGCGGTGTTCAAGGTATGCAGGTTGAGGGTGGATTCTTGGGTGTAGCGGGGGGGAATCGTGGAGGGAGGGGGGGGGGAGAGGGGCGGTGGGATACCAAGAGGGTAAGGCTCATCGTCCATGCACGCCATGCCATGCCAGCCACCGCTTGTACAGTTCGGGCTCAATGGAGGCTTGAAATTCAACAACTCCATAAAAAGACACGGTGTGCCACAAACAGACACAGCTTAACTTGCTGGATCATCTCAGAAGCGGTAATGTCATCCCAACGCATTCGCTGATTTCCTTTGCAAAGGGCCGTTTCCATGCAACGGCGCCAACAATGGCCAAACATGTCAGGTTCTCCACAGGCTCAAAACAATTCGAAGCGGGGACATTCTTCTTGCACCGAGTATTCAGAAGGTGAACCCCTAAGCCTATAGTGAGTCCTCAGTTCCGGACACTGTCCCAACTTGTCCTCGTAGAGTGTCTACATGCAATTGTAAGATGATGCCACACAGAATCGTGCCATCCCAATCTCAGGTGATGACACAATCGGTGTCATCGCCCGTGGGTTGCTTGCGTTGCATGTCATCCTGTACGACTACAGAGTGTGCACCTTGGATTGTAGGAAATGCCGGATGTTTCTGTTGCGAACAAACGCAATCGCTTGACAGGATGCATCGGCAGCAGCGGTTTGGTCTTGCAGTCTTCGAGGGGGTTCACCGGGTTCACCAACGGCCATATTCTTGCGAATCCGACTGGTTTCATCGGGTATCCAGCGGCCTTTGCCTGCTGTCCTAGTTGTGTTTTTGAAATGTCTTGGCAGGCCTGGTGGACCCATCGCCCTCAATGCGTCGGTTCTGTCTGCGATGATTTTGGCGTCCAGACTGCGCACCCCTCTAGAGGCCCAAGCTGTACGTGCTGGTGTCCAATTAAGACCGAACCAATCCAAGACTCCAAGCCATCTGCCGCTCTGGTAGGTGTTTGCGTTCATGAGCTTTGCCATGCAGGCCGCCTGACCGTAAAGCTGTAGCATGACAGCTTGATGCGGCTTGCTCAAGATGCTTTGTTTCTGAAGTGAGCGCACTGTTTCGTCGCATAGCACCTTGCATGTCATCATGTCCCACGACCTGTGACATTCAACCCAAGGATAGGTAGGCTGTAGTGCTTTAAGTGCGGCCAAGCATACATGCAAAGCATGGCGCCAGGTCTTCGCTTTGCCACATTTTGGTGGTCGACTGACTGCAGTGGCCTGAGACGAATTGACACTACAGCTCTTCAACTTGTACGTATAGCCGGTGACTGTAATTTCTCCCCTAGGCTCACGGTGTGCTGACACACCGTGTGGTGCCCTTCATGCTCGCGGTTGCCATTGCAATCGATTTAAAGTCAGGGGTCCAGGCGCTCAGGATGTTTGGCTGGAGCACGCTGGAGTCCATCATGCGATTCTTTCAATGCTCTGTTGCCAAGGTGTGTTTGGTGGTAGCTGCGGCCCTCATTGGTTTTCTAGGCTTGAGCCTTACAGTTATGTTGCAGCACCACTGCAGCACTAGCTCACCAGTGCAAAGACTTGGGGAGGTCCGTTTCTATTTCTGACAGCACAAAGTCTCAAGACAGAGATTCAGGCCAGTCAAGCTCAAGCTGTTCTTCTCTGTTATTCAGGAGTTCACTTCAGTTGGAGCAAGGGCCAGCAATGGCAGTGGCAGGTTCGTGTAGCCGCGTAACCTTCAGGATGGCTATAGGAGCTGCGCGTCGACTTGGCATAGAGCCATGGAGAGTGTCAGAACACACTCACCACAGTTCACACATAGATGCTCGATGTGCCGGTGCTTGTGCACGTTCTTGCCGATCTTTAAGCTTGAACTGGTGCAGCAGCTTGTCAGATTTGTTGAGATGCAAGCACATGGCCTGGATGTCCTTCCAATTTGCGTCTGTCTTTCTGAAGTCTGTGCGGGCATGGGGCTCGGGTGGGCGGGTCGCGGCAACTGATTGCCTGACATGGCAACTCGTTGGCACTTGGCAGGGGCCCTGGGACATTGCTCATGTCGTGCTGGAGCCGCCAGAAGCTGCGTCCAGGCGCGAGCACTTGCGAAGTTTTACTGCGCAAAGAGAGTCATGCATAAGCACAACATATCACAACAACGATGCCTCATGCGCTATCTTTTCCGAAAGCTTTTTGCTTCATTTATGCGCTCTGACAGCAGGCCAAGCAGTGCCGCTGGGACTGGGCAGCTAGACGTCTCCGAACGGGAGACATCCGCGAGCGTGCAAAAGCAGCGATCTAAGTCGAAGCATTCCTCAAGGTCACAGCTGTCTGCCATGTTCTCTCGATCCAGTCAGTTGGATCGCCTCGATTTCGATCCTAGCACTGCTTCTCTTCGCCATCTAGTCAAGAAGTGGAGAACGGGCGTCCCCTAGCCGCTGCGCGAGCTTAGCAAGCACACCATGTCTGCAGAGGTTTGCCTCCTATGGTTGGCTTGTGCAGCTTGCGTTTCATGGTTCTTCCGAAGTTCTTCCTTGGTTCACACAACTGTCTTTGCCAGGCGGAGCGAGAGCTTCCAAAGCAGTCGCAGGTCTCAGAGCGGTAGACTGTGGATAGGTCACCATCCTGAGACACTTGTTGTTAGGCGCCAGTAGTTGGTAGTTAGCCAACACTCAGTTTGTAGTTGGTGGTTAGTTGTGGTAGTGGGGGTAGGGGTGGGGTAGGGGTGGGGTAGGAGGGGCAGTGGCTGCGACCTTAGACGGTTGGCAGGCTTATCCAAATCCAAGAGAAGGACTTGCAGCTGAGAAGCTAGCGATGGAGGCAGGCCCAGCTTGTCAGACAGTCATGCGTTCCGAGCGCATCGTGGGATCTCTGAGTGGGCTGCTGATTGATCTGTAGTAGCCGCAGCCGTTCGCAACATCATTCAACACAACTTTCTCTTTCTCGCTGCATTTTTCTGGCCACCCCGGGCCTTGCCATGCTTGCATACTTTTTTCACAACAGCCACGTCAGAAACTCCTGGAGGAGGCATCACAAAGTATGTTCACCGCTTGCCCATACGATGCGGTTGGAATCTTCTCGCACAGACAACCTCCACGACAGAGGGCGTAGCTAGCTGTACAAAGCAGGCATGCGTGAGCCGCTTGCTGCTAGCGTGCAGTTGGAACAAGCCCCATGCCGTGCCTGCTTGAAGCGTATCTAGAGAGAGAGAGAGAGAGAGAGAGAGAGAGAGAGCTTCAAACCATAGTAGACAGTGGAATGCTGCACCTGGGAAGGAGCGACCAGCACCAGGAATGCATGACCTTCCGCTTCGCCAGTACTTGGACACGTGCGCCTCAACTAGCAAGGATGTCATGCCCCGGACATGGTTGACAATAAAGTTGGAGGCCGGTGAAGGAGCTTTCCGGTTTTTCGCATTGGATGATTGACAGGGTTAGTTGATGTTGCCGCAAAACGCAGTGGCGAGAAGGAGCCTCGACGTGGCACTTGGCATCTTGGGTGATTTGCGGGTCTGCCAAATTGCAGAGAGCAGCTTGTTAGGGGATTTGGTGCACAACTCAGAGCATAGGTTTTGATGGTTCACTTTCTCAGCTGGAACAGCCCTCCTGGCGTTCATGTCGCAAACCTCGCTTCCGCACAATCATTGGCCTGGCCCATGAGCTCAATCGCAATCTGCCGTCCGTGCAGCCGGCCAGGTATGTAGTGCCAACGCTCCTTCCCGGGATGAATGCTGTAGCGGAGGCTTGACATGAGCGAATGCGGTCATCGCAGCTTCTGAATTCTTTCCTTTTTTCTGAAAGAGGAGCGTCCAGAGAACCCGGTGGAGTGGCTAGCGTATTACCTGCTCAAGAACAACACGATGGGCTGCGGGCTTAGCAAAGGTCAGCACATCACTGTGCAGCGTCGCGCCCATTGCAACTTTGAAAACCGTGCAGGAACGTGTATGCTCTAAGCTGCATACTTGCCACTCTTGCCACAATGGTGCTCTGCGCGCTGTGCCCGCGTGACTTTTGGGTCTCAGCCCCTCTTACCCGTTCTCATTCAGCAGGATGCTCCAGGCTGCACGCTGCATGCGGGAAGAGCGAGCACAGACAGCGTTCAAGCTCTGCTTTCCTGGATGCCGTCTGAGGGAAGAAGCCAGCGGAGGAGAAAAAGGCCACAGCACATCCCTTTGCATCTCTTGTTTTCCGTGTTTTCTGATCTCGTGACGGTTCGCAGGCAGAGGATGCGGCGCCAGAGCAATAGACTGTTTCCACCTGTGCATGAGTGCACGGCCTTGACTTCGCTGTTCAGCTGTGCAAAATGTGCACCCTTGCGCAGAAATTTTCAGGAGTAGCTACAGATGCTGCAGCAGCCTCTAGCCCTGCAGCCCTCCATTTCAAATTGGTGCAGGTCTGTCAAAGGAAGCCATTCGTGGCTCCAAGCTGTGGTAAATGATTGATAGATATGTAGACAACCTGTGTCTCCTCACGCCGCCTGATGATGAGGAGGACATATGCAAACCAGACATACCATGGAGTTCAGTCAGCAACAGCAGCTCCTGCTGAGGAGGAGCGGAAAAACACAAAGGCCGGATGGTCTCTGATGAGTCACCTGGGTGTCACAGATGCGCAATCCGAAAGGCTGTTTTGAAGCTTCTGGATCCTGTAGAACATTTGGAGCAATGGCGCGTCATCTGCTTCTCAGCTCGCAAGTCTGCACTGAGCGCTGATAAGCGAAGCCTGGCATGCGATTCCACGAAGGCATTGACTTCCATCGTTTCCGAGCAAAATGTCCGGACAAATGCAAGGCCCAAGCGTCTCATTTCTTGAAAATACAAGAAGCGTTGATTTGTGCCAGACACGTCAGCGTGTTTGCGCACCGCTAGAAGGAGCTGATCCGTCAAGGAATTCCGGAATTTCTTCGTGGTTCTGTGCGCGGCCTTACATCGCCAATTCTTTACAACAACTGCTGGTGGAAGACAGCAAGCAGGTGTGGCAGAAGCTCGCGCTTTCACGGGAGCTGCTGCACAAGCACCCGAAGGACACGCGTCCACATCACCGAAGTTTTCTGACCAGGCGTTCATGTCCAGTGGCTGTGCAAATGCAAGGATATCTATGAGCAGATGAGACGAGCCGAAGAAGCCCCGTGCGAGGGCGATATTGTTCCTTACTTCTTCTCAGGATGCTTTTCTTGGCTACATGACTTTCTGCGAATAAGGCACCCTCCCCCTACCTGTTGTACAACAGTCTGGATCCGGAGACGTGTTAGGGAGTTTCAGGTGTGGGAAATGCGGCCCAAACACGAATACTAGCCTTTACCCCCACTAATCGCGTGGATTTGAAAGCAGGCTGGACTCGGAAAATGTGTGTGGGAGAGGCCGGAGTGTTTACTTTGGGTTGGGTGAGTTGGGCGGGTTAATTCATTGAACTGGGTTTGCTCGGCAGGTGCTTGGCCTGAACCGTTAAGAAGGGGAGCCCTGAACTTCTCTCCCAGTGGTCAGCAGACAGAGCTCTGCAGAGTCCGAGGTTCGAGACATCAACCGCACTTTCCCAAAGCACGTCCTTTATCGTGCCTTCGACTGAGTGTCTGACTGGGCTGATGGTAGGAGCTGTTGCAGACATTGGCCTGGAACGTACACTTAGGACAAGCAAGGGTTGGGCCAGCAGCAGCTGCTGAATGTACTGAGAGCATACTCAGTATTCAACGCCGAAGTTGGATACTGCCGATTCCTCACGCTTCAGAAGTCAAGAATTTACTCATCGAAAGCCACCACGCTGGTTTTGGAGAGGTCAGGGTATGGGATTCATCTGCGGCGTCTTGCTGATGTACATGGGTGAGGATGATGCGCCCCTTGTATGTTGGCATACCTGGTGTGTGTGTGTGTGTGTGTGTCTCTGTGTGGAAAAGCTTGCAGAAGGCATTTCTGATGCTGATATCGCTGCTCGAGAACTATCGGATGGCCGGACTTTTCATGTCTGGTGCCTCACGCCTATCGTAGAGCAGCTGTGCACAGAAGTGATCGACACTCGACTGCCCAGGCCGAATCTCCCACTCCTCAACAAGTACTTCTTCCAGCTGCAAAGGCTGTTGGAGATGAATCTGCCAGGTTCTCGGTACAGATTGTCGAGCCTCCCCCGTGGCTCTCCGCTTGTCAGTCCTGTTTGCGCCCAAAGCAGGTGCAGCAGCTACTCGTGTAAAAGTTGCTGATATCTGCTGATGCTTGTTCCAGACATGTGGCAACACATGGGGCAACTGTCGTGCTAAATATGTAGTCGAGTGTCACCAATGACACAGGAAGCTTACTGAGTTCACCAGAGGCAATGGTTTGTTTGCTTGTGCACGTGTGTAAGGCAAGGATATGCGACGTGAAGGAAGAATCTGCGGTTTAAGCAAGCTCCCACAGGCAGTGCATCCGAACCATGCACCGTCAACACAGTGAGAACTTGATGAGGGCACGTCAGTAAGCACAGACCGTAGCCATTGCATCTAGGCCAATAGGTGTTTTTGTTTGCTGCTTGGTCTGTCTGTTTCAGCCATCATACGAACTGTCGCTTCGTGCAACACACATTGCAGTCACGAACCATTTTGCTGGGTTTCAAGGCCTCACCTGTACGAGCATCTTGCTGAGCAAGGCAAGTGACTGCCAGGTGACTCAACGCAGAGCTAGAGTGCACTGTAGCACCAAGGTGTTGAGCCGACCATGTATGCCTCTCAGTGGTTCATGACTGCCGGAACCTCGCCAAGGGAAAGGGACGAAGCTGGCCTGCACGGGTCGTTCTTTCGGCCAAGGTCTGCATCTACAACTTTCCCTTCTCAACAGTTGTGCGAGTATGGGACATCTTCCTGGCAGAGGGAGCGCGACCCCTGGACCCATGCAGTATTGCAGTAAAGACAGTCAGAGGCATGTCGCACGGCTGCACGGCATAAGGTGAAAATAATCTTTCGCATTGCTTTGGCGCTGCTGAAGTTTCGTCCCCAGCGCTCACATGTCGTCTGTGGGCTTTTGTCAGCTGTTCTTCTGGCTGATGGCGATGATGGTGGACCAACTTGTTGCTCCAAGTAGTCCTTCACTTGTGCTGTCTAGGTTGAACCAGGATGCCCTCCTGAACCAATCGTTTGAGCAAATCCTGCAGACTCTGAAACAGGTGCTCCTTGAAGCGGGTCAGAATCAGCTGTTTTGCTTCTTTTCAGTACTAGAAACCTGTCAGGCGCCCAGCGCCGTGGAATCTGAGATGCCTGGCTGGCATCTTGAGAGCCACAGCAAGGAGTTTTTTCATTTCTTGTGCTGCCAGGCTCATCAAGACGGCGCTCAGTATCAAGCTAAAGAACAAGACATTGAAGGACATCGAGTTCCAGCCTGAGCTCGCGGCATGTCAGGTCGTATGTTGGAACAGCCTGTCACAGCTGCTCTGAATCGAATCGTAGAGACTGCCAAGGTCTGAGTGGCTTCTGGAAAGGACGCCAGGTTTATGATCAGCCGGCGAAAATCAGATGCGCTGCAAAGCACGGTCTGCCTGACACGGGACATGCGAGATGAAGCAAGGCAGGTAGATGGAAGGCCAGCAGGTTTCAGCAGGGTCACGGAAAGGAACGAACATGTGGTCTAAAGATGTCTAAAGCATGGTTTTCCTGCACCTGGCTCGGCTCGAGACAGCTGGCACCGGCCGTAAGGCTGCCATAGGGTGCGCTTGAATGTTAACGTAGTTGCCTCGCCATGCTACCATGGAGGCTCTTGTCGATATGGGCACCTCTGCAATGCCTGGCATCTCTGCGAGTGGATTCAAGGAAGGATCCCGTCACCAAGGTGGTGAGTTTGTTGGAGGAGCCTTTCACTAACCAAAAACGATTTCACATTCACCCTAAAATCGATTTTACATTCACCTTGATCTGGAGTTAAGGGTGTTGTAGCGCGTTCACCCTCAGCTGCACGGCAATTCAAGCGGTTGCTTGTCAGGGCTGAGTCCAGGACATGGCAAAGCAGCTGGAAGTTGATGCGAAGAAAGACGAAGACATATATGACAAGATGGTCTGATTCTCAGCGGTGGGAAGAGTACGCCTGAGGAGAGCCAGGGTAGTTGAGGAGTTGGATCAGTGTGGCTTGCTGAGGTATGTTGGTGCACAGACACTCAGAAGGCAAAGCAGAAGTCCATTGATGAAGGCGCTGCTCGAATAGATTCTTTGTCAGCCGAGATCGAGCAGGGCGTTGCCTTATCAGCGCGTCTGCAGCCAGAGATAGACAGCCTTAAGAAGGAAGCTGAGAAGAACAAACAGGCCCTGGAACAA